GGAGACCGTTGAAAAGGCCGATATAGGACCTTTAAATGCCGATAGAGACCGTTAGATGCCGTTAAATTGCGTTAGAGACCGTTATTATCTGGTAGACACAGTTAAAGTCCGTTAGAAATCGTTAAGGATTCATCTCAAGTAGTGGTGCATACTGATAATTGGTGATAGATGAATATAAAAAGAAATTATCTACTGTAATTGCCTCTCTCTCTCTCTCTCTCTCTCTCTCTCTCTCTCTCTCTCGTTCCTCGTGTCCTAAAACTCGATCAGCTTCCCATTACAGCGAGTCCTCTCCCGGCTGGCTCCTCCTCCGACCTTTTTTTTTTATACGGGGATTAACCCACCCGGGTCACAGGTCACTGACCCACATCGGGGTCTGGGGGGCGAAAATGTAATAATAATAATAATAATAAAAATAAAAATAATAATAATTCAGAGTAAATATAATTTATAATAAATATACAAAATTAAAAATAAAATAATAATGACAACCATAATAATAGCAACATGGTTATTATAATAATAATAATAATAATAATAATAATAATAATAATAATAATAATAATAATAATAATAATATTAATAAAGAACCATAAAGAAATACAATAATGAAAAAAAACAATAGTGAGAAACAATATATTATGTTGTGTTGTCAAAGTAAGAGCAACACTTGAGACCCTGCAATTGTGTGTAAATGAGGCAGAAAGTCAGATCAGCAACCTGGGACTTGGTCACATTTTTTGTGATGCCATATGGCAGCAGGGTCTACCATTAGACAACACATTATGTTTCCAATATCTTCCCAGGCGGTAGTACCAACCTACCTACCTATATACATACATACATACAGGGACATACATACATACATAATGACGATGATAATGTGATGATGATGATTATAATGATAATAATAATATTACAATGTAGTATTAAGATAATAGTTATGATAATCTCCAACACTTCCTACCCACCAACCACCTCTACCTCAAACCATCACTATTCCCATCTCCCCCTGTCCACCATCACCAACACCTCCCCACCATCCCCATCTCCCCCTGTCCACCATCACCAACACCTCCCCACCATCCCCATCTCCCCCTGTCCACCATCACCAACACCTCCCACCATCCCATCTCCTCTGTCACCATCTCCCCACCATCCCCATCTCCCCTACACCACCATCACCTCCCCACCATCCCCATCTCCCCCTGTCCACCATCACCATCACCTCCCCACCATCCCCATCTCCCCTACACCACCATCACCAACAACTTGAGAGTGGGAGACAAGCCACATACCCACCATACCTTCCGCATCTCCTTCGTCGACCACCTTCGAGTTTTCTCACCAAATACCATCACCCCCTCGCTGTCTCCGTTCCTCTTGGCGTTATTAATAGTTCTTCCCCTTACTCTTATTCACTGATTTGTCACTATTTTTCCTATTACAAGACTTCTACTAGATTGGACCACGACTGTACTAGAGGAATGTGTTATGTAACTTGTTGAAGAATGTTTGTATCTGTCTTTACAGCCTGTTAGTCATTAACGATGACCAAAGACTCGTTCTCACTCCTTCATCTGTTCCTATTGTCTTTGTTTATAGTTAATTTCATATAATTACCTAATTAGATATATATATACCTAATTACACATCTTTAATCATATCATATTAAACTGCAAGAGGAGGATAAAAAGGTTATTACAGCAATACAGAATACAGTAGTTATTCTCTCAGTACTGTATCGCCACTATGTATCTCACTTCACTTGTGTATTCGTTTCTAAGCCAAGAGAGGTGAGGTGTCCGTCCCCCCTCCCTCCCTAGTGATGGTTGTGCCCTCTCATGTTATATCCTCACCCACGACACTCAAGGCTCATGCATAGAATATGTTTCCTCTGGCGGGGAATTAAATGAACGCCTTTAGTTACGAAATAGTCTCATGGTGTTGTTGACGTCATTTATTGCTTCTGTGTTGTGGTTATGTGAGTCAGCTTGATGAGTTAAGAAGCTTTTAAGGGCTTTCTGGGAGGGTTGAATCGACATTTTGTTTACCATATTATTGTTTTTGTCCATTATTTTCTATACCTGTTATTTTTTTTATTATTCTGCCTATTGTTAATTTGTGTGGCGATTTTTTCCACTAACGAAATCTATTGTTTGTGTTAACTTAGTGGGTAGATAGTTAGGTAGTTTCTTGACTTCTGTTTAGGGTGGAAAGTTATCGTAGGTACTAGAGGGGTTCTGATTTATTCCTAGGGTGTACACAAATGTTTTTATCGGTTTATATACGTGGAGAGTGTGAGCGAGGGACTCTACCATGATGAAGAGAGAGAGAGAGAGCGAGAGAGGGAAATGACTCCAAAATCCATACCCCTCACCAACACCTGTGACGAGTCAGGTTGGACGATCAGGAATGAGTTAATTGGGTCGAGTTGATGAGGGGATGTTTACCTGGGTGGCTACGAAGGGGCGCCTCAAAGACACGAGGGGCTGTGTTAAGTTATGAAGAGGGACTGTGAGGGGACATAAGGGGAAAGAGTAATGAGTGAGGGGAGATGAAGGCACGTGGGTGTGTGTATGTGGATGTGTGAGTGTACGTGGGTGTCAATGAATTGATCAGCTTGCAAATTGAGTGGCAGAAGCAATGATCTGAAGGAGGGAGAGGTGGAAAGCAGAGGCCCAAGTGTAATAATAATATTAATAATAATAATAATAATAATAATTATAATAATAATAATAATAATAATAATAAACGGTTCATTAATAGAGTTGCAGCCGGTGGCACAAAATATACAAACTTACATGTGATTTAGACATAATAATATACGTTCAATACATTTACAGGGCTGTACATTACATAAATCAGGAGCTGTGTGTGGGGGGGTGTAACTTAAAAAAAACTCATTATTAAACGCATTGAAAGCAAAGAAAAACAAAAATAAGAAGACAGGTTTGCACAATCAGTATCTAGGACTCAAATCACAAATGCTTTCCTCCCGTCGACCGTAAACTTAACGTCAGACGTTACGTCAGTGCTGCTTTGGCCACCATGAAAGGAGGTTACCGCTCCTGGTCCAGAGAACAAGATCAAAGCCTCGACGCAGATGGAAGGCGGCAACATTAATATTCATGTCTCAGGGGAATATTCTGTTTCTCTCCACATATTGTCTGAGGGAATTAATGTCTCCAGTATCAAGTTTAGTACTATTTTAAGATAGTTTGCGTTTCCTGAAGAGCGAATGGATGATCGCCTTGAGAATTAGACACTGGGTGAGGCTCTACTTCACTTAACAAAGCCAATAGTTCCGACTCATTGATCACTTGACCCAAAATACGTCTCATGTTACTCCAGGGAGTTGGTCATAGTATTAGAAGGGTTAAGTCACCACACTCAAGGGATCGGGATACCCTAATGAGTTAACTGACTGTACTTAAGGGGTTTTGACAGCCTACACTCAAGGGTTTAAAGCGAAAGATCGGCTGAATAGTTTATCTAAATCCACGCAAGACAAATATTTAAATCTATGAGAACAAGCATAGAAATTTCTGATACCGCCCCTCCGTTCCTCCATACTCTTTGAGGATGAAAAAAAAATCATATATTCGATAAATTTTTACAGATATGCCATAAACTTCAGCAGGGTAGAGTGCGTGACCAAGAGTGAGTGAGTGAGTTTGATATAAGGTGCGTTTAGAATTTCCAACATTAAATATATAAGCGCCTTAGTGTAATGGATTTGTAATTAATGTTTTCTTAAATCTAATATTAAATCTTTAAGATGGAACATTTAATTCGTGATAAATATTTATTTTTTTAATCCAAGATGTCGGATTAAAGTCATTGATATTACGATATATTAAATCAGTCCTATAATGGTCAAGTTCATCCTTAAATCAAGCAAAATGAACATAAATTAATAAGAGATTTCGAGTAATGTTCAGTATTAATGGTGACGGTGGGAACGCAAGAACCGTGAAATTAGTTTGGGCGGGAGACTGTGGCTGAGTTAATCTTATTGGTCAGAGGTTCTCCAGATTCTCAAGAGTTCGTACTACCAATTGTTCTCGTAAATGAATATAAGAAGGGGCTAAAAAGTGTTTGACTGCAGCTAAAACAACAAGAATAACGAAAATAATTAGCTACAAAAAGGACAGAGATTCTACTTTATCCAGATTGTCACTTAACACCAGATATGAGATAAAATTTAACATAGGGAAATTCTTGGAAGTGATAATGTACCTTGATTATGTCTTGTGTTAGTGAACAAACATAGTTAAGATAATCTCAGTATATGATTAGGATATTTGTGAACATTAATTTGTGTTTTATCTTAAGTCAGTTTGTTACATTAATTCTTAAAGCTTCACTTACAATACATATTACAGACCTTTCGTGAACCTGGAAGGAACACTGAAGCTGCCTGGTTGTGTCTAGATTACCTGCGGCTTATTAGCCATCCAGGAGTTCATTATAAACCTATATCTGTGCTATGACCTTACGACACAACAGTATAAACAACACATCCATGCTATGACCTCACAACACCAAAGTATCCTCTGTGTGGTCTAACCTTACAACATATTATGGAAGCGCATGAATACCTGAAACGTGACACAAGAAATTTAGGATGTGTGTTCCTGCAGTGAACCTATATGATGATTTTACTGAATATATCTATCTTTTTATACATTTAAAATGAAAGTCATTAACAGAACACAGCTTAAGGTTGAAGAAGCCACAAATTCAGAAAATTGTGAGGGCAAACTTTTTTGGAGTTAGGGTTGTGAGCTATTGGTACAATCTGCCAGAGAGTGTTGTGCCAGCCTTGACTGTGAGCTCTTTCATGACCAGACTTGACCAACACTGGAGCAGGTACAGATACATTCAGGAGCCAGTACATGGTCCAATACTTGCTAACAGTGAAACAAAAACGTGACCTACTGCCCAAACCGCTAACAGGTCGATCGGTGGCGAAGAGGATAAAGTAAATAAATAGCTTTAAAAATCCTGTATTTTGCATAATACTGGCTGAATAAATATAATTCTGACTGCAGAATATAACACTAGCAGTCTTATTATAATAATTGATGGATAATACAGAATAGTCTTATAACTAACTTCAACATATCTTAACGTCTATAAACAAAGAGTATTTTAGAAAGTTCCAACTACTCCCGCTGAAAGCAAGTTTACCTTAGGCACCCCTGCAAGAGGCCCAGCAATGGTCATTTTCTTTGATCATCAGTAGTGTATGTGTGAGATGTTTCGCGGAAATTCACGAGGGTACAAATTTGTACTTATTGTATTGTTATTGTACTCAAAGGATTGTCATAGAATTCTTGAGTTAAAGCAACATATTAAGAGTGTTAAATAAGAGTACTTAGTAGGCAGTAGGTTGTCATTGTACTTAGTGTACTTAGGAAGAGTGTAGGCAAGACGTTTCAGTCAAACAGGTATTTCATATTTTTCTATTTGTATAATTCTGCTAGACTTTATTTTAGTCGTGTTTTTAGACTATTTTATCCTAATTACCTAAGTCAGTGAGTTTTTTTTAATAGCGATGTATCTTGAAGAGTATACACTATGTGTCATAATCCTTGATATGTTAAGGTTGCACGTCTGTTGCAGCACTTGTTGGCTCAAACGGCAAAAGGTGATGGCTTCAACCTTAGAGTGTCTGCAGCCTGGTTGAGAAGCCTCGTTCATGCAGCCACTGGGAGATGACGTGGTAGTTGGTGTCCATCCAGACCACGTTGTTGGCAGTCTGCTGAATGGCCTTCCTGGACGCTTCCACTACACTCGGCTGGTCCTGATGCTCCTCCAGGAACACCTCCAGCTGCAGGCACGTGGTTAATAGACGCTGATATATAGGTGTGGCAGGGTAAGTTTATTTAGCACTAGTTTATTTCCATATACAATGTAATGCTGTAATTCTGACTGTTTTACGGTATGGACACTTAGGGACATAAAGACACAGAGATGCAGAGATGACTCAAGGGTAAGTATTCCGGATTGACCATTCACGGAAATTACTTAAAAAAAATGTATACTGTTTATCACTTTTTCACGAATATGACCTTCATTTCCAGCGGAGACATGACCCCCTCCCCCGTCAATTACCAACATTGTGGGGTAAAACACGCAAAAACGACTCTCAAATATGTCAATACATGTCTAACTTAAATTAACCAGAGAAACCAGAAGGACCTGACTTAACCCCTATTCAGCCCATCCCTGGACTCCCCGGTGTGTAAACCTAACCTAATCTAATTACTATGATCTTTATGGTGATCCTGGAACCTGTATCGAACAAAATATAAGCGGTAGTGTCTTTTACTGCAACACCATGCGTGGCGACCTTGACGATACAGTCAGTCTGAATTACACCTTGGACACTTTACTGAACCAAGGAGAACACCACGAGACCTGAAGATGTCGACAGCTGCGGCTTCTTTCTTAAATACTCGTTGAATTACGCGCCAGTCTTCCAACGAGCAATCATTACAGATAGAAGTCATCTTCCCACTAATTCAAATTCATGTGACATCGAGACTTCCGCTGATTGGCTGAATTAGATTGTACTTTAAATGCTCGCCTCGCAAGCGAGCAGACCCAGGTTCGATCCCCGGGCAGGGTGAAACTATGGGCAAGTTTCTTTGCACCATTTGCCTCTGTCTACCCAGCAGTAATTAGGAACCTGGATGTTAATCGACTTGCCGATCGTGTTCCGGGGTAATGGTTAAGTCAGTGCAGAAGTCGAGTTGTCCGGTCTTCTCGGATTATTCCTTGACACTGGGTTATGCAGCCCGTTAACTCAGGGTGTGGTTGTTGTGTTGGCGACAGCTTCTACACTTAAAAAAATTCACGCCTTGGTGGCCCTACGGCCGACCATCCTCGTTACACGAGGGGGAAACCATAAAAAAAAATAAAATAAAATATAGAGAAATGTGAAAATAACGCAAACTATAATTTTCTGTCGGAAACGCTATCGAATAAAATATGCTTAGTTTTTTATGCTCGATCTCCCTATATAAGACTCAATATAAATCTCTGTGAATGGTCACTACTGAATATTAACCGACTCGAGTAAGACCTCAGCAGGAGATGCACAGGAGGGTGGGTCCTTACCTCGGCCAGCTGGTACTGGGTGTTGAAAGGTTTACTGGCAGTTCTCACGATGACGTCGACTAAGGAGTCTTCCGTGCCGAACCTTGCAAGAATTACATTATTATGGTGGGAAGTTATTGGTGACAAGAATATAAAAGTATGACAGTTTAACCCTTTTATTCTCTCCATCATTCTTTTAAGTGTTAAACAACCATCTTCATGTAATTTCATTACCTTCATTAAAGGGTTAAACCATCATACTGTTGTCTTCAAAGGGCTAAGGACTTTAATTACTGTTAAAATGGCGTGAAAATGGGGGAAATATCTCAATTTTTCAAAACATTTTTGCACAAGCGAAAACTCGGGTGGCAGAAGTTATGGCCAAATAGAAAACGAAGGACTAAATTGTTTCAAGGCCTTTCCCGCCACAGTACAAGATGACCAGAAACAAAAGCAGACACACTTCCCCCATTCGTAGTCATTCATTTACATATAGAGGCAGGAAGCGACACGAGACTCACATGGCAGTAACGTTCTCCCAGTTCTGCAGAATGAACTCCCAGGCCAAGGGCGGCCCCTCCACCTGTGCTGCCACCGAACTAAACACCTGGAAAGTGTCATGGTTCCTGATGTTCACGCCGGGGGTGAAGGCCATATCCAAGTACCTGAAGGAGGGTCAGGAGATTGGTTGTAATAGGGTGGCTACTGGAGGGTGAGGTGTCGAAGTAGGCAACTGACACATACATGAAAAAACACACACAAGCATATATACGCACACCATAACCTAACCTCTCACCCCAACACCCAGGTAACCCACATCAACACTTACCTGTTTTTCATCCAGGATTCCTTGGTGCAGGCGAGGCCCTTCAGGAGTTGGTCCTTTTGGTGGTCGTCGTCACTAGTGAGGTACTGTGTCCACCCGAACTGCCACTCCTCCTCCCCTCCGTGGGCTATAGCTGTGCAGTACACAACCTCCAGCATACCTTCAGGAGCCAGGCTGCCACAGATTCCACGACAAGTAAGAGAAATGAAGGAATGAAAGTTAGGATTTGTTTTTGAGAAGTTTGCATTAGATCCTAGAGAACAACATATCAAGCATGTCCGCTTGTCCGTAATCTTAAAGTACACGTCTGTCGTCCTTCACCCTAACTATAAGTCATTTGTAGCGGTTAGTCGAATACACAGCACTAACTAGTACATAAGAGTTAGTAGCGGAGTATTTCCGGTTAATACACCCATTGTGGTAGGTGAGGACAATACCTCTTTACCAAACCTGATTGATGGATGAAAACTGTTGTTTAATCTACATGAGTTAGCTGGTCCTCACCTGGTGGCGTTGGGTTTTTCCATAAACTGCCTGTAAAGTGTCTGGGAGTCCTGAACACAGCGTGGGTGGCCGAAGTAACAGGCCCACTTCACCACCTCGTAGCACCACGGGCTGTTGGGAACCTTACCCGCTGCACTGAGCTTCTCGTACACCGGCGTTATCACAGACAACCAGTACTTCTGTAGACGTTAGCATCATCGTTGTTAGTGGAGTCCCTCGTTGTCACTTATAGTGTATTAAAGTCTGTTTTGTTTTTCACCAGAAAGCAGCTTTTAAAAATTAGGAGATATTCTTTCTAACATGTCAGTGTCTCGATACAACTAAGTTGCCTAAAAATATATGGTAAATCTGTCTAGTTGGGCTGTTGACAGTGTGTGAACCTCATGTGAGACGAGTGTCACCGCCACGAGGCTGTCTACCTCTTCCTCTATTACTCGACTGTATGGAACTTTCCTGCTTCTCCGCGCAAATCTCAATGATCTCACACGTGCTACTTACATCTAAGTAACCTTCATTAGAGGAACTTTATTGTTAACACACTACGTAACTATTAGCTTGAGTATTCCTTGGAATTCTTGCGTACAACATCAATTGTTAACTAGTGGTTCTACATCCTGACACTTAACTGTATAAAAACTGTAGGTGCTTTGATTTCACAGTTTTGATGAGTGTGTGTGTGTGTGTGTGTGTGTGTGTGTGTGTGTGTGTGCGCGTTCGTGCATCTGTATGTACGTACACTATTTAGGTCAGCCTCACCTTGAAGCCGCCATAAGCAGCAGTGTTGGCCAGCATAGTGTTGAGGTGGTCGAGGCTGGTTAGCACTACGTCCCACACCTTCGCGTCTTTCTCCTTCGTCAGATACTTTGTCACATTCAGCGCCGTCTCGTAAGACAACTTCCCTGAAAGTATCACGAGAATTAGACAACGAAAAAAAAAGAGCCAAAAACTGGTCACAGGTCTCGGTTAGCCATACACTCGATGAAAGTTTAGTGCAGACCCACCTGCTCCAGCGAGGTTCATGGCATCGTCGATGATCTGAGCTCTGTTGATGGTGTTGATGACTCGGTGGTCGGTGAGGAGCTGCTGGATCAACAGGTTCCAGTTGTCTTGGTCGTAGTTGACTCTGTAGTAACCCGTCTCCTGCAGGTTGAAGATGACCCACTGGTCCTTGGTGGGCAGGGACGGGATGGTGATGTGTGTCTCAGAGTCCTTCATCCACACCTTGGCCCGGGTCTCGTTGAAATTGGGGTCGTCGCCCACTGTGTACGTCAGCGGCACCCACCACTTGTTAGAAGCTTCACTTTGAGATAATCGGAAGCTCTCCTGAATAAAAAAAAATGTTAATGACCAGATGAGCTAATTGTTATATTGTATCACTTAATTTTGAATGTGTTGATGTTGACATTTTTTGAAACGAGTTTTCTTTAAATTTGGTTACTGCCATGTGACAGTGTATGCTGAGTATTTGCTGCTATATTCTGACATTATCTCACCTGAGAGACAGTGGCCGAGGTACCGTCTGGGCTCCTCTCCACCTTGATGACGGGGTAGCCCATCTGCAGCGTCCAGGTGTCCATGATGGTCTTAACAGTGAGGTCTTGAGGCAGCGTGTCGTCCTGGTGGGCCGCCGTCGTCAGGTGCCGCCATAGGTCGTCCTGCTCTGCGGTATCGTACTTACTGCCAACCAAAACAACAACTCTAACCACGTGTGTCTCACGCCCGTATTATTAAACATCTTCCCTTAAAGAGGGTCGTCGTGTTTCAACCCGAGATTTAAACTAAATGAATCCTGAGGGACACCGCAGTACTGTACTTAACGGGGCGGTGTGGCCATATATCCTGATTTTCTCATCCCCTGGCACACTATATTTCAGCTAGCCACTTGAACTTCTCATGTAATCATTATTTTTATGATATTCCTATTCTTCTTCTTCTTCTTACTATTATTAACACTCTTCTTCTTCCTCTCTTTATTATTATTTATACTCTTATGACTTTGCTGCCAGTATCACTGTAAAAGCGATTACGTAATCATAGGCATGACTAGATTATACAACAGTTTCAAACAACATATAGGTACTTATCTCTCCGGTTGCCTCGCTGAACTTTAGACTTTAGGGAATTTAAATTTAAGCCTTCTAATGGCTCTCAGGTATTGCCCTTCCTCCTGTTGCACCTTATATATTTGCTGCATGCACAATAAAATCCTCTTTTTTCATCCTTTGGAAATCGATGAAATCACGAACTTTTATCATGTACAGAGGGTAGTCTGTAATTTGATATGCATCCAGATACGGAGCATTTATCAGGCATTGTCACAGACATTCGCACCATGACGGCCAGCTGGTAACAGAGGTCCCACCCAGGACCACCGCCCGGGTTGCCGGCCAGATGACGTCATGCGCGGTGAAGGACGAATTTTCAACTCGAAGTGGGTTGACTTGGCACAATTATACTTTGGATTTCACCTTCAAAACCCACACCTACAGTACAGTTCTTGTTGGTTGAAATTGCCTACGTAGACTTAGAAAAGTTAGAATAGACACAGATAGACAGACACACACACACACACACACACGTATGTATAGGGATGACCATCTACAATATCTTACTGTCTCTGGATGAAGTTTGTGAGGCCTGTTCTGAAGGTCTTTTCTGAGAGGCAGTGACGCAACATCCGGACAACAGAGGAACCTGAGAGAGAGCGACAGAGAGAGTAAACATGACCTCATAACAACGTGTTGAAGAATAAGAAGAGGGTCTTAAGTGTAATCTCTATATGTTTTAAGCTTTGAAGGTTTATTAGCCATAACAAGTTAAACCACCATCATTAACAGGTTAGGTTAGATTACATTACATTAGGTTAGATGATGTTTGGTTTGGTTAGGTTATGTTAGGTTTGGTTAGGTTACATTCTTAATCTTCAGGTGACCTCAATTAGGATACCACCAACACTCGCCTTTCTGGAAGACGAGATTGAGGAGGAAGTCCACTATGTCCTCAGAGTTTAAGGCGGGCATGTAGAGCGGGAAGGAGGAGGAGAGACTGTCCTTATGTAGAGCTTTTTGGAGGTCCTTGACCTGATCGTTATTTAGACTCCATGATGACTCCACCTGTAAGATGAAGAGGAGGAGATAAGGGGTAAGAAATGAAGGAATGAGAAGCAAAGAAGGAAGAGAAGAAGGTGTTGAAAGGATGATAAACGAAGAAGGAAGATATGGAGTACAAAGCGAGACTAATGTGGAGAGGCGAGTCACGTGGAAACTGTATCGACGTGTAGATTAACATTTAAAATTTTCCAGTTTTGAGCGTTGATACATACAGAAGGGGCGGGGAATATGAACCATAAACAAAACAAATATTAGGCATCCAATTAGTCTAAATCACAACCTGCTTCCCCACTACCTCAGTCAGGCTAAGTATTATCACCGTGTATCTCAGAGCACCACAGAACAGGACTTACACTGGAGACAGCCACGTTGTCCAGGTAGGAGGCGAGGCCCTCATAGAGCCATATGTGTGACCATGTCTTCGGCGTGACCAGGTTGCCCAGCCATTGGTGAGATACCTCGTGGGCCAGCACCTCCGCCACATGCTGTTTGTGGGACGACGTTGAGGATGACGCGTCGTACATCCCCGCTGCCTCCCTATGGACACCCGAAAGTTATAGGGCATTAAATTTCGGAGAAAACATGTGATATGTACAGTACATCCACAAAAAAATTATTCGGCACCTGTGTCATATTCTATCACGCCGTAAGGGTGCCGAATAATTTTTAGTGGGTGTACATGTATGTATCGTGCATGTATACGTGTGTGTGTGTGTGTGTGTGTGTGTGTGTGTGTGTATCCTGTGAACATCTGGGAGTTATAGGACATTTAATTGTAGTGGACATCTTTAAGAAATCTAGAACCGGTATCAACAATACTTACTGGTAGATGACAATTAGCCCTGGACTGGAGATCGCCTGAGTTTCATTCCCGGGGACGATGACCACATCCAGCTTGGTGAGTGGGTAAGACACGTTGAAATACTGCTCGAAGAAGGTGAGGAAACGCGGGGTGAACTCTTGCAGGAAGGTAGTGTGCTGGAGAACGCCTTGCCTCGCCCACACTGCGACGACAAGGATCAGACAGGAAAAGTCAGACACTCATCTGATAATTTATTTTACTATTATGCCATAGACCACTACAACAAGTAATATAAACAGAACTCTAATAATGTTAATTTATTGTACTTTCTCACCTGTGATTGGTAGGCCACTTAATGAGGTGTTCCGGGCGGGGGCGAGGGAGGAGACGGCGAAGGCGAGGGAGTGAGTGGGTATGTGAGGAGTCGTCAGGAAGCTGTCCACCACCCACCCCTCCTGACCCTCCCTGTGTGGTGAGAAGAACGTTAATTTCTGCACGTTAATAATTAAAACAAAACTTAATAATCTTATCTCCACATTAAAATTTAAGAGAGCTTTAATAAAATCCATGAAAGCTCAGTAACTTTCACTAGGTTAATGACGATCTCTCAACACTAAAACCTAACAAAGCTTTAATAAGACATAACAAAGCTCTAGAAAACCTATCAAAGCTTAATCTCTCTCTCTCTCTCAGAACATAACCAACAGCTCACAAGGGAGAAGTGTCCACCAGGGGCATGAGGGAGACGCTAGTCATGTTGTTCTCTCTGGCAAGCTGGATGTCAAAGGTCGCCTTCAGATGAGGTTCGTCGAAGCAGGGGAAGGCTCGTCTGGCGTACGAGGGCGGGAACTTAGTGATCGCCAGACTCCTAGAGAAAAAGGTAAATTTAAGAACACACTTTTATAAGGCTATCTTTGATCACCACGCAAGTTCACCACAACAAAAGTTCACCACAACAAAAGTATCACCATCATCATCACCAACTCACCTCTCACCACCATCTTCGTCCTTGTACTTGACACTATAGAAGCCTTTGTCCGTGTTCTTGAGATTAGAATAGAAGTTCATGGAATAGCGATACCTTCTGCCAGGGTTCAGTGGCTTCGTCAGGTGAGCAGTGAAGGTGTGGACGCCGCTATGACCTGTGAAGTGGGTAATGGTGGGGGCTGAGTGTCCGTCCTCCACTTCCCCCACCGCCACCAGCTGCCAGGAAGAAGGGCTTTAATCAGTGTGGGTGATGGTAAGGAGGTTGTGGAGGTAGCTGTGAAAAATGGAGGAAGTTATTGATAGAAAATGGGCTGAGCATTTGCTACCGCCACAATAGGATAAACTAGAGAGAGAGAGAGAGAGAGAGAGAGAGAGAGAGAGAGAGAGAGAGAGAGAGAGAGATTGTTTACAACGAACTTTGCTGAGGTGTTAAATGAGAAACAGATGGCTCCTTGTGGCTGGCTAGCCCGCTCCCTCTGTGGGGTTCAGAAGACAGTCTCTAGCCGTCCAGGTGGCTAACCAGTCCTACCCTAGATCCGCAACACGTAAGTGCTCTATGGTTTAACACCCCACTCTACACTAATGGATACCCTATGTAGTTGTTAATAATGTATCGGGGAGCTTCCCTGTGAAACTTACAAGTGATTTAACCAACTCATTTGCACTTTTGTATTCAACAGGTTTTGACCGAATAAAGAAAAATCGCGTTCAACGTTACGGGTCTCATTATTCCACAATCGCCCGACGAGCGGCTACATTTATTTCTCAATCACAGTCATTCTTTTGCTTAAGAGCTAAGTGAAGCATGTAGGATTATTGGTCGTTGTGGCTACTAAACTCTTATGCCAAGGTTAGGTTAGGTCAGGTCAGGTTAGTTTAGGTTAGGTCTGATTAGGTTAGCATTTGGGTAGGCTAGTGTTCGGGTAGGTTAACGTTTGGTTAGATTAACGTTTGGTTGTTTAATTATTAGAAGAAATAAACTGGGATGCCTGATGTTCACGTGACCTGATATTCCTAACACTATCCTCCGCCTACTGTACCTTGACAGAGTTAACGATGACCCGGAGATCAGCCAGGTGGAGGGTGATGTTGGTGGTGGACTCTAGAGCCTCCACCTCCACTTCCACAAAACCATGGACGCTGAAGTTGCCGTTGAGGAAGGGCTGTAATCTGACGAGGTAGTGGAGAGGCCTGACGGAGCGCGGGAGAGGAGTGTCTGGGCCTGGTTCCTCCGCGGACATCTCTTGGCTCACCTCGATTGGTGTCGTCGGTACAGGAGTCTTGGGCCCTGTCGTGTGCTGCTGCGTGCTGGTAAGTGTCGTCATAAAGTGCTCTTGGTTATCTTGTCCCTCCAACTGAGTATTGGTAATGATACATAATAAAAATCAGGGATGTGTATGTTGCAGTCGGTGTGAATTTTTTGAGGTATTTTAACCTCAACAAAATTCACACCGACGGAAATGTAAAGATTATTTTAGTGCATATTGTTAAGAATGGTTGACAGGTAAACGAAGGGTAATTTTATCATTCAACTTTTGCAGTATGTTTAATTCAAAATGAAAATTTTATATATCTTTCAATGTTAGAAGTAGAATGAAAAGACACACATACACACACACAACACTGACCGTATTAAGAGGTAACAGAGTGGGGAGTTCATCTCTCAACCTGCGGAAGGCCGAGGTATATAGTGGCCCTGTCACCAGCAGCAGCAGCAGGAGGCAGCAAGACCCTGGAGCCCCACCACCACCACCATCTCTCTTACCAGCCAACATGACGGAGGTGAAGACGCGGTCAGCCCTCTGTCACTGTAGCTGTGGTGTGACCCTGGTACAGTTACCGGACACTGTAGGAACAATACTCGTCCTCAACAACTACCTGCTCTGAGTCACTTGATTTCTGCTCCTCCTTGACCTTATCCAGTAAAGTAATATATATTTCAATACACAGTTCTCTCTTGTAAGTATATAAAAGACAGCTATGAAGGTTATACGTGAAACAGAGAGAGGAAGAGATAGGAGATAATTTAGTCGACTCTTGGCTCTTACTTCAAGGAGTAAATCAATAGCTTCATCAGTATTCATTCTCTCAAGTTTTTGCTTTTCCTAAACCTGACGTCACCACTAATAAACAATTTAACCCAAAACTAAAAATTTAACGAGATTGAAAAAATAATGCATCCATATAAAAAACTTACAAGAAAGTATAAAAACAAACAAAAAGAATCGGTATTTTTACTACACACAGGCAAGTGCTGAAGGTAACTTGTGAAATCTCCGGGAGTGTTGACCCACAACAAAAAGAGCAGACAAACACTGGGCAGACGAGGATGTCATATACCACTACAGTTCGAGGAAGATCTAGATAGCCTCCACCCAGTACTCACAAGTAAGTAAATAAGAAAGACGTAATTGAGGATATTTCACCCCCAAAATAAGAAGATTCATGAATATTTCCTATAATTCAACACCTTACGGATATCTAGGACTTGAAAGTACGCTGATCAGTGTTACCGATCATATTACACTGACCAGCTCCTCTCCTTAATGCTCGTCTGAAGAAACACAATCCTAACGTCATCGAAACTTGGACATTATACCAATAATCAAATAAAATATCGAGACTCTGCTTTATAGGTATCTAAACTAGTTCTGCAATAACAGGTTTTTATTTTCTCTCCCCGCCTCAAGAAAAACTAGATTAACCACTAAACACTATATCAACACAAACACACGGTAAAACTTTAACAAAACTGTTGAAATATCAAAAACCAATCAATGCTAAATGTATGACTGCGTTAAACTACAAAAGTAATACAAACCCTGGAGCACTCTTAGTACGTCAGGCAAGGAGCACCACCTGACACACACTGACCCAACCAACCCCTCAGCCCTCACTCGAGTCACTCACCTCCTCACACCCCGTTGTCAAGTAAACATTTTCACGAACAATATTCCTTCCCTTACACTAATATTACCTCCTTGTAGCAATAGCAATAAGGCAAGACGAAGTGATTTTGTTCAATATATTTTACTAATACCGTAACATTAACCCGATTTGAACGTTTATTTCCAGTTTTGGGGGAAGGATGACGATGTGGAACTTGTTTAATGATCTGCTGGGTGTATCATCATGGCAGAAGGTAATGCAGGAGGCCCGGGGCTACACACACTACTACTCGCGAACCTAATCTTGCACAGGTATAAAGGAAGTTTAAGTTAGTCATCATAGCAACACACTATTCGTAACTGTTATTCACTTCACGAGGCCAGGGTCAAATATCTGCTCCGCGAGGACTCTTCATTAGGATTATTCATTTTTTCTTCTTATGGCCGAATCTGCCCTGCGCTTGTCCAGTCCCTCGCCAAGACGTTAAAATTATTTCCATTTTTAGTTAGTTAACATTTAATTCTGATATAATTACAGCATTTAACAAAACCTAGCTTATTTCACCTGAAGATTAACCGCCCTAGCACTAACACTAACCTAACCAAATACCCCAGTTAGCGTTTAGGGTGGTTAATCTTCAGGTGAAATAAGCTGAGGTGTATAATTCTCAGGTAATCTTAAAGTAATCCCCAGATGTGTATGGCTTTACTTCACCCCTGTATCGTTTCGCCTTCAGGTATAAGTCACCGGTAACTTGTATATGAAGGTACTCGACTGTCGCAACCATCTCCATCAGAGACTCCCTGATGAGGCTTCACCCAGCATACACTACTCCCCGCAATAAGTCACGATCTTAGGTTCCCTCCCTCCCTCCCTAATCAACCCCCTTTCAGTAGTAATGATTTATACCCCTTCGTAGTAGCAATGACCTCCCGTGGTAACAACAGAACCTGGGTGCCTTTAGTGAGGACAGCCTCAGGGACACTACTATAATGTGGAGGTGATGCAGCGAGTCTTGTGAAGGTCACCTTGAAGTGAGCGAGGTTCCTGAGGGAGGTATTCTGGAACTCCCTCTGTTTTACATTGATTTGAATAATATAGGACACAGCTCTATCCTCCAATAGTGTTTTCAAATAGTAATCAGATGGTGGAGTTTTTACGTTAATTATGAAAGAGCGAGAGAAGTATTACTAGACCAAGAAATACGAATGAGAGAAACTGAAATCGCAACAGTGTCATAAAAACGGTAAACACCCCTTGGGTTGGGTAGGTCGTGTTGCCTCTCTAAATTCAGGTAAGGTTATAATAGGTCCGGGCGTCAACCTTTACTGTTACTAAGTTTGTGCTCTGGGGTATAAGTGAGGCAGGGAAGGGGAGAGGGAGGGAAGGGTAAAGGGAGGAAAGGGGTTGAGAGAAGAAGGAAGGGGAGAGGGAATGAGAAAGACAGAAGGGGTAGAGGGAAAGGGAGGAAAAAGGTGGGGGGGGGAGAGGTGATGGGGAGGAGAGAGAAAGACGAGGTGTGTGTGTCGCTGGGAAGACAAGAGAACAAATGCCAGAATTCTCGCTAACACCAACTGCAGGAACATCGAGGCTACCATTATCCATGAACAACTACTGTACGTTGGACTGGCCATGTTACCCGCATGGACGACAGTAGGCTGCCAAAGCAGCTCCTTTACAGTCACCTAACGAATAGTAAACGTAACGCTGGTGGGCAACAGAAAAGGCATAAGGATAGTCTTAAGACAAACCTGAAAAGGTGCCAAATCGACCCCTTCACCTGGGAGACGATTACTCAATACCGTAACGCTTGGACGACCACAACACACGAAGGTGTTTATACTTGCGAGTTAGCCCGACTGCATAACGAGGCAGATAAGCGCCAACGCCGGAAAGACGGTGCCACTGCCCCTCCCGCACTAGATGTACCCCCCCCCCCACATGTGTAACATCTGTGAACGACCCTGCCGGTCCCGTATCGGCCTCTTTAGACACCTCAGAGCTCACCAACGTAGGTGACCAATATTATAGTTATTCTTATACTTTTCATTAGACGTCAGAGTTTGGTGTTTATGTTCATTCTTCCTTCATTGGTTTTGTTTACTTAAATTCAAAATGGCCTCAGTTAGGTTTACCTCCACTGAACAGTATTGTACAAAATATTGAGGGTTTTTTAAATTAAGTTGCTGTAGCTTCTTAGAGACTTTAGATTAACCTGACTTAACCCAACTTAACCTAACCCTTCAGGCAGCGTTAGAGTGTTTAATAATCAAGAAGAAAAGGTTAAGGGGTTATTCTTCTGATGATCCGAATGACTTATTTACTGTAAGCATTAATTTCATGACACACATGCATACGTACATTACACACACACACACACACACACACACACACACACACACACAAAGACTGACACGCAAACACACACACACCCACAAAGACTGACACGCAAACACACACACACCCACAAAGACTGACACGCAAACACACACACACCCACAAAGACTGACACACAAACACGGGATACAAAAACAAGATTGGATTAGAAAGTTTGTTTGGTGTAAAAGAATGTGTCCTGCCAGGTGCCGCGATGTTCATGAGGGCGTTAACATGTCTCAAGATGGAGGGGGAGGGATGCGACCAACTCTTTCGTCTAGTGTACGCCCATGATTGTGACATAAAATAATATTCATGGTTTGGTTCCGGGATAATGACTGAGTGTGGAAGACAGTAATGAGCTGAGACTAGAGAGACAAAGATGGTAACAGTAATCATCAATGTACAAGCTCTGCAAATACTAGTTCACGCCGCCACGACTACTGAACACCCGGGGTATGGTTGTTAAACTTGGGTGGCGTGTGTGTGTGTGTGGAGGTGGGTGAGGGGCTGCCTGGCGACAGGGCTCAGTAAATGGGCTATGGGGAATGGGGGGAGGAGAGAAGCCCAGGGCTGGTGAGGGTCATCCTCGGACGTTAACCTTGCCAATACCCGCCCGTGGCACAATCTTCAGTCTTGTCATTAAGTGCAGGTGAGGGTAAACACAACAATCATCTCACTTCTACTGAACCTCTTCACTGGTTGATGACGATGGCTTATGAAGTTACCTTTGTTCATTGTCGTCACACACCCGAGGTTATACCAGACCATGACCTCCTGAACTAGTTTCTGATACTCGTTCATCCAAAGTTCAGTAAACTAAAAAGCCAAACCTTTCTTCCTTAATTTACATAAACAGACGTTAGCCTCCCACCACCAAAGACAGATAAGGCATATAACCTAGAAAATCAAATTGAGTTGGTTGACATAGATATGACAGCAGAGAGCAACAGTTTAACCTCAGTGAGCGGCAGCAGAGTGTAGTGTGTGGTGGTGTGAGACGGGTTGCTCTGACTGCCTGGAGTATCACCTTCACAATTCTCTACTGTAAGGTGACAGAGCTCCTACAACCCGCTGTTATTAACCCCATTACCTGTTCGGTCTCCATTGCTATGTCTCTTAAAAACGAATATAAATATTACGTTTATGATTTGTTTTGACCTCCGCCAGCGTTTACAGCTCGAGTGATGGCATTTATGAATCATCTTGGTGTTGTTCTTTATCATTCCGTTCTTGGTCTACATTTCCAAGACACATTTGTAACGATTAATTAATTTATGTCCTCAATGTGTCAACAGTGTGTGCGTGTGTGTGTTAATTACCGCGTGTATTCTTAATGTGTCCTCAGCAATGTGTCCTAGATAGTGTGTGTGTCCTCAACAATGTGTGTAATCGACAATGTTTGGATCACCTTAAGATTAGGCACCTTAACTAATTTCACCTGATAATTAACCACCTTAACTCTAACCTAAACTAACTTAACAGTGAAACCTAACTAAACCTAACCTAACCCCTCCAGGTAGTGTTAATCAGCAGGTGAATTAAGCTGGGGGCCTAATAGGTGACCTGTTTTTTTTTCATATCCACAGTCACCGAGTAAAAAAAATATCGCGCACGAAACTTTGTGAATTTGAAAACTTACGACACGAATTGTTGTCAGCAGTAGGACCAGACACGAGGCAGTTTACCTGAAGGAGGCCCAGGAGAAGGACTCTACAGTAGTCTTGTGTGTGTTGTCTCGTCACTTCTCGCATCAACGTCTTCATCATGTTAGCGTTTAAGAGGAGTGACTGGCCTGCCAAGGGTGTAAGGACCCACAGGTATAGTGTCCTCGTCCCCCTCCTCCTGCTGGTGGTGATAGGGCCGTCCTCCACTTCTGCGCTCCGTCGGCTGAAGAATGGACTACCCACCCCACTACACAGCAACACGGTAAGCAAATTCCATTCCCCCCCCAAAGAAAATTAAGTACGTCTTGCTAAGTACATTTTTTTTCACCCTTTCAACAATCAGTGTGAAGTGTGTTGTTGTGAATGTGTTAAACTATCGTCCTTGGAAATATTAATTATCATCCGAAAGGCATTAAACCATTATCCAGTTAAACCATCGTCATCTAAGGGTTTATTTAACACACGTAAAACTAGATTATCGTCCAGATCAGTGTGTCAAGCATCACGTGTAGAAGCCATTTAAGAATTTCTCATTGATATAATTTTCCTCAGTTGGGATCACTGGACAACCTCAAGTGGAGAACATCTTCGTCTATCTCCTCTAAAGACAGAACAGAATCTACGACCACAACGACCACAACGATCTCACCACCTACAACGACATCAGTACCAGGGACAAATTCAACGTCGCCACCAATATCGGAATTCACGACTTGGGAAACGACAAATTCAGCTTCGACTTTAACAGAAATTACAACCTTGAGAACGACAGATTCAGCATTAGTAATTTCAAAACCAACGACTCCAGCAAAGGCAAACTTACCATCATTGACTTCAGACACAACGACAAACTTACCAATGACAACATTTCCAGAATCCACAACAACAACAAAATCACTTTCACAATCAACCACTCCACAATCAACGACCACTTTAACCACAATCAGAACAACAACAACCGCACTAGAGGAACATACACCTCCCCTTAACCCTATAATCACTATAATTTCACCCAGCTCAACAAATCAACCAGACTTCAACTATCTCCTCCCCAGGGTCATGAAGCCACTCCACTATGACATCTACGTGCAGCCTTTTATCAATGGGAATTATAGCATTAATGGTTCTATGGCTGTGGACATGGTAGTGCTCCAACCTACCTCCAACATCACTCTTCATGCTTCTAATATGAAAATCACCAAAGATACGATTAAGGTGAAGGAGTATTAATTTTGTTGTAGTTTTAGGGTGAAATGGATAGATGATTGCATTGATGGATAGATTGGTAGATTCATGGGTAGATAGATAGGTACTGTAAATATTCTTTGTTTTAAAGATAAGGAGAGAGAGTTAAGAGAACATTTATCTCTGTATTTCTTATTTTTTGCCGACCTATTTATTTATTTATCTATCAAATGATCTATCTTTCCTTCTATTGCCTTATAATGTCTATCGATCAATCTTTTAATCAATCTATCTAACTTTTCATCTGTCGTTATTTCTATAAATTTATCAGTCTATCCTCGATCTTTCTATCATTCTATCTCCCAGTCTATCTATATACACACATACATACTCTCACTACAGCTGGCAGCGGCTGAGGGTGAGGCAGGAGACGACCTCCCCAGCATCAAGTCCTTCACGGTGGACACAACTCGTCAGTTCTTCACAGCTCACCTGACGGGGGAGCTGAGACCCGGCAGGAGACTCCTCTACTCCATGAACTACATCAGTAGCCTCCACAACCACCAGTCAGGTTTCTTTGGTGTCCAGTACCTCGACAGCAATGGTACCCAAAGGTGAGTATTAAAAAGTCTGATAGACGAGAGGCGTTTTTTAGAGTCTGTGACTGTGTTTTAGTGCGAGTAACGAAGGTGCGTGTGTGTTTGTGCTGATATGAAGACCTTTTTTTACTTGAATATATAACCTAGTGTTTCGTGTTCTCAGGCATCTAGTGACCACGCTGCTACAGGCCACCCACGCCAGAAAAGCCTTCCCCTGCTTCGACGAGCCCGACCTCAAGGCGACCTTCAAGCTGCGGGTGGCCAGGCAGAGCAACATGACCGCCATCTCCAACATGCCCATACGACGCACCGTGCCAATGTGAGCACGTTAGTGGTGAAAGAAGGGCCGTGTAGCAGGTGTAAACATTGATGTATCGAGAAAATGAATTAAAGTAGAGCACAGTAAATGTTTTGTTGTGATACGTAGCTAATAATAATAATAATAATAATAATAATAATAATAATAATAATAATCGTATTCATTATCATTGTCATCATAGAATCAGTAAGTTAATTTAATTCTTGCCGTGGTTATCTCTTTCCTGGCCTCCCTTCTCTGTTGCGTGACTCAGGGAGGAGGAAGGCTGGGTGGTGGACGAGTTTGACACCAGCCCCCTCATGCCCACCTACCTCCTCGTCCTGGTCATCGCTCACCTGGATTACGTCAGTGTTACCAGCCACGGCCGCGTTCCTATTAGAGGTGAGCAAGTTTATTTCTCTTGTTCTCCAGAGTTTGCCAAAAAAGTCCTTCTATTTCCAGGACAAAAATCCCTGGTTGTTTGTGTATCCCCGTCTCTCTCACTGTAGTAGGGAATTGCTCTTTAGCTATGGAGAACCATTTAAGATTTAACTGTTACATATTTTGATCATGTAATTCTTAATTGCCATTAAATGAAAATATCCCTGTTGTAACATATCCAATCTTTTGTTATTTTTCCTCCTCTGTTCTTTATTTTTATCAATGTTCAATCTTTATCTTCACACTTCCATAATCTTGTTCCTGAGAGTAAGTGAAGTGTTTCTCCTGGTTAGTGTGGGCGAGGCCGGAGCTGCTCCACAAGACAGCTCTCGTGCAGCAGGTCGCACCGGTGACCCTGTCGTACCTGGAGCAGTACCTCAACATGTCATACCCTCTGCCCAAGCTGGATTTTGTCGCGTTACCCAGTGATATTGGCACAGCGTTCGAAGGCTGGGGTATCATCGTCAACTATAAGTAGGTAGAGTGTGTGTGTGTTTGTGTGTGATAATTAATTCAGCTATAAATACTACTTTCGTGTCTTTGTAAATGCCTTTTTTTATAGAATTGATATGAATTGTTGAGCTTTAACACGAATTTATCTCTTACTCTTATCACACACACACACACACACACACACACACACACACACACACACACACACACACACACTAATATCCCGATGATATCTTTGTATTTGTAAATATGAAAAATATCTGTACTGATCACTTTCTGAACAACTTAGAGTACCGGTATTCTATTTTAATAATAATAATTGATATTCAGTCAATGTGACCAAGGATAGCTGACAAGGCCATGAGATGCTTGTATCCAGTAGAGTTTTTATGCCAGGGGGTCACCCATCCGAGCACAACTCATTTTGGTTAAACACGAAGGTAAATGAGGTCAAGCAAAAATCAATTATGAAAAAATACAGGTAGTTCAGGCTAAAAATCACTACGCGCTTAACAGTCTGACACAAATAAACACTGAAATTCTTACGACAAATTTGAAATGGAACACAAAGATTCAGCCACTCAGTTTATTTCACCTGAGGATTAAACACCATAACGCTACCTTGGTGGAAGTTAGATTTTTGTACGGTCATTAGTCCCCCCGGGCACAGGTCAATGACCCTCATCAGGGCCTGGGAGGCTAAGGTATATTGATAGAAAGAAGAAGAATAATAAAGAACCATAAATAAATACAAAAATTAAACAAGAAAAACCAAGAGTGAGAAACAATATACAGTAGGTATGTTGTGTTAAAGTAAGAGAAACAATTGAGACCCTGCAACTGTGTGTAACTGAGGCAGAAAGTTATATCAACAACCTGGGACTTGGTCACAATTTTTGTGGTGCCATATGGCAGCAGGGTCTACCATCAGAGAACACATTATGCCTCCAATATCTTCCCCAGTCGGTAGTACCTCCCTGTTTGATAGCTGCCTACTACCTCTAGATTAAGTTATGTTATTTGAAGTTAGATTAGGTTCTAATATGTTAGATTAGGTTGTTATTTGAAGTTAGATTATGTTATGTTGTGTTATGTTATGTTAGGTCAGGTTATATGAAGTTAGAGTCGGTTTATATTATATTATGTTCGATTAGGTCAGGTTAGCTTAGCTTTCGGGTGATGTAAGGTGAAAATAGGCTGTTAAATGATCCGTTGTTATTATTAACTTGTTATTCTTTTGATTTTGACAGCGAAGAGTTAATGTTGTTCAGCCCAGACGCAGACCCAAAAGACCAGAGGGATATGGTGGTTCACATCCAGGCACACGAGTTGGCTCACCAGTGGTTCGGTAACCTGGTCACCCCGAGTTGGTGGACTGACCTGTGGCTGAGTGAGGGTTTCGCTTCCTACCTGCAAGTTCTAGCTTTCACTAAGGTATGTGGAGTACCTGTGTTTCTTTGCTTGTGTGTATGTATGTGTGCACTGCTCTCTTCTGCTGGTCACACCCATCACATCAAAATTATACGTAGAAAAATAAGCTTTTTATTCATTCTGTGGAAGCCACTAGCAATGACACACAAACAGGAATATAGTTAACTTGTATATTGCATGTTGTTTACTTTATCTGTTAAATTTGGTACATAAAATTAATCTACTGTATTCCAATAATTGTTCTTTATGTAATTAATTCATCATATAACTAATTAATACTATTCACCGTTAAGTTTATGGAATACTTTTTATCCCACTATTTGGACTTATTGTAACCTTTGTATCACTTTGTAACTGTACTACTGTAACATTAAACCTGCAAGTCACTGCATCACTCTTCTGCCTCCCGCAGATGAACCGGTCACCCAACATGTTAGAGGAGATGGCAGAGCTCTTGCAAGATATTCTTCAAAGCGACAGTGAACCTTCGTCCCATCCCATCCGCCTCCCTGTTTACAACCCGAGGGACATATGGGCACTCTTTAACCCCATCTCTTATTATAAAGGTGAGTCGCTGTATCAAAAACACTCAATCAGTTAATTCATGTGAATTTTAAACCAATTATTACGCCTATATAGAATCTACATCCGTATGTTTAACGCTATTATTATCCTCGGTATGCAGTGAAATATTGTTAGTATAGTTTGCCCACCAACAGTTAAAGAAGAAAATGGAAGTGTTTTTATGGCTACCTATATCATAATTAAGGTTCGTCTGTTCCCCATTAGGGTCGTATATCATCCACATGATGAGTCACTTCCTCTCTGAGAACACCTTCAGGAAAGGCATCATCAACTTTCTTAAGGACCGGTGAGTTAATTGATGAGTTATGAACGAATAATTTTATAGTAATTGATGGATATTTTCACACTTAGTGGGGAGACGGAGACAAAGATGACATGAATAATATCCCTTAAAGACTCATTAAATTGTTAATATATAGTTACTAGTTAATTAAAGGGTATTATGGTATTTTTAATAATTAAGAAATGAGTTTTTAAACACATGATTGGTTAGAGTAGATTGATACGATTAGATAGTGAATCTAAAAAAAATTTGAAGTTAATTAATATGCATAATATGCTGGACATGTAGATTATTCTCAGCAATGGTGTACCTCTAGTTTGGGTGTCCGTTAGGTAATATTATGTAGGTAAATTAGAATAGGCTACGCACCATAAACGCCAATTATAAACTTATGTTAATTTTATACAAATTTGTTCTATTCTAGTTCTTAAAACCTCATTCAAAAGTTTACAATAGTGAGAAGTCAATTCAAAACTTATTTACTAATTTACTCGTTTAACCTCGTCATAACCTGTTAAATTAATTATCGGTCAGCTAATCGGTCACACACTGTTGGCAAGCACCAGACTTGTGCACTCTTGACTGAATATATACAGTATATCTAAACACACACACACACACACACACACACTTAATCCTCTTCACCATCTGTCAGTACACTAAACGGTCTTGCGGTTCTCTGTTCAATAAATTATTGATTGAGATACCATATATTTCTCCTGATGCCAAAACTGTCGTGCAGTATCCAATATGACGCAGGATTTTCTGGTGAATAGTAAATACAAGAACGCAGAACAAGACGACCTGTGGAGGCACCTGACAGTCGCTGCCCATCAGGACGGCACACTGCCCTGGGACGTCACTGTTAAGACCATCATGGACACCTGGACGCTGCAGACTGGCTACCCCGTCATCAAGGTGGTGAGGAGCCCAGATGGTACCTCGGCTACTGTCCATCAGGTACGACACTCCATTACATTTTTTTATAGTCAATTACAACTACTCGGCAATTTCTTTAAAATTTTTATAAATTTCAATAAATTACAATTTCAAATTACAACTCCCTCATGTCTGCCTTCTACGGTCATGAAACACAAAGCTCAAGTCAGTTTCTGCACTAAAAAATAACTACAAATTGAATCAAGAAGCTATTTGGTTAACCATTTATTATTATTTCAAGTTTTTAGTTCGTTTACCATTCACGCAAGGAAATTTTGTCAGAATGAAAATTGTAATCATCATTTTCGGTGTTATATATTATTATGGTATTGTTATGCAAATATACTGGACATACATTCATACACGTTTTCGGAACCTTATAAAATGTGTAACAGTGGCAGGATATCGAGTATTATGTTGTCAATACAGGAGAGGTTTCTACTGGACGGGTCTGAAAAACTTACAGACAGAAATTTCTACAAGTGGTGGGTGCCGCTGACGTACACAAGGCAGGACAATCCCGATTTCAACAACACCAAGGCTAAGGTATGGATTAGGAACACCGAGTCACAGATAATGATCCCGTCCCTACCAGACAAACACCAGTGGGTCATCTTCAACATACAGAGTACAGGTTATTACAGAGTCAATTACGACCTCGGCAACTGGAAACTATTAATCAAACAGCTCCTCACTGACCACCGAGTCTTCCCCGTCACAAACAGAGCTCAGATGATTGACGATGCTCTTGATCTTGCTCTAGTTGGTAAGTATCCTCTTGGCTATTTAACCTGGACTGATTTAGACATGTATTAGATTTGGGTTCCATAATACCATTTCCTTTATTAATGTTTTGATATATCTTTAAAAAAATGTAATCTTACAGAAGTTCACATAATCTATACATTTATCATCTTTTTTCGTATTTTATTGGAAAAACGTAGAACGTTTAGGAGAATTGAGTCCTCTTGTGAGTACTTAGCCAGAAGTATTCAAGAATAAAGAACAGTAAAATATGTCAATAGATCAACATATAGACGGATACATGAATAAATAGATAAAAGAGAGATTGAGTTATAGACAAATGGATACCTTGTTAAATTCATCTCTCCTTCTCAGGTGAACTATAGATATTTTGCTTAATGTCTCTTACTCTGGCAGGTAAACTCTCTTACAAGACGGCCCTCAGTGTAACCGAGTATTTGCGGAATGAGACTGAAAGGTTGCCGGTACAATCATGCTTCCACAACATGGAGCACTTGGAAAAGATGCTTTGGAACACCCCAGTTTATGGAGGCTTCAAGGTGAGTGAATCTTAAGGATGTTGTCATCATTTTATATTGTTAGCTGCCTTACTGTGTTTCTTGGAAACTGGACAAATGGATAGCATGATAGATGAAGTGATATAAATTTCACTGATGGACAGATAGGAAAATATGCTCGGAATCGAGTATGACGATCATACAGCTATGGGACAAAGATATGAGTTATTAAGGATGTCACCTTCGTTGGTGAGATCTGAAGTGACTGGAGAGGCCGATACGGGCCCGGCAGTGTCGTCCACAGATACTGTCCATGCGGGAGGGGCGGCTGCACCGTCTTTCCGGCGTTTGCACTTGTCTGCCTCAGTATGCAGTCGGGCTAACTCGAAAGTATTGACACCTTTTCGTGAGGTGATCCTCCAAGTGTTACGATGTGGAGTAATCGTCTCCCAGGTGAGGGGATCGATGTGGGACTTTTCAGGTTTGTTTTAAGACTATACTAATACCTTTTTAGTTGCCTGCCAGCGTTACATTTACTATTCGTTTGGTGACTGTAAAGTAGCTGCTTTGGCAGTCTACTGTCGTCCATGCGGGTAACATGGCCAGTCCAGCGTAGTTGTTCATGGATAATGGTAGCCTCGATGCTCCTACAATTGGTGTCAGCAAGAATACTGGCATTGTTCTCTTGTCTTCCGCGAACTGGGAAGATGGAACGTAGAGAAGCTGCCAACACCTTTGTTCCTGCCTGGAGTCGTCTATGTTGAAAAGTACCTTCATCCGGTACTGGATGTCCACCCCGCTGGCTAAATTGGCACTAGCACGAGTAAGGAAGGCAGCCAAGAAAATGGAAAAGAGCGTTGGTGCCAGTACACATCCTAATTTTATCCCCATTTGAATGGGGAACACTCAGACTGGATGCCATTGTGTAGGACACTGCTTTCATGCCATCGTGGAGTTGCTCCACAATGGCAATGGATTTTGGTGGGCAGCCAAAATGGCTGAGGGTCCGCCAGAGGGCTTCCCTGTTGACCAAATCGAAGGCCTTGGTTAGGTCGATGAAGGCCATGTACAGGTCACGACGCTGTTCTCTGCACTTTTCCTGTATCTGGCGGGCAACAAAGGTCATGTCAGTGGTGCCATGTGATGATCTAAAGCCACATTGAGATTCTGGGAGAAAGTTTTCCGCCTCAGGAAGAAGTCTGTTTATCCGCCTCAGGAAGAAGTCTGTTTAGAAGGACTCGGGTGATAATCTTACCAGCTATGAACAGCAGTGAGATCCTGCAGTAGTTGCCACAGTTTGATCGTTCTCCCCTGTTCTTAAAAATGTTGACGATGGAGGCATTTTGAAGAACTTGGGGAATTTCCTTCTATTTCCATATATTCTCTATGAGAGAGTGGAGGCTTTGTTATTTTTCATCTGTTATTTTTCATCGGTATTGAATAAACTGCAGTTTTTACTTTTCCCCTACAGAAGTACATGCTATCGTTGCTGGTGCCATTGTACAGTGCGCTGAAAATCCACAACGACCAGCAGGTTGAAGCCGTCCAGAAGGAACATGCAGACCTGGTGAAGCGGCTGTGTGACCTGAACCACCCTGACTGTGTACACCTCGCCACCTCTCTCTACAGCCAGTGGATGCAGGAACCCAAAAATCTCAAGTGAGACAACTTTTTTTCTTCTGTGTCATGTTTCAGTTACTTGTATGCTATTAATTTGTAAGATAGCGTTATAATTTTTTTAGTCATTGCTCTACACTGCCACAAAGTGCGTGCTTCTCACCAGTGTACCACAGGTTCGATCCCCGGTCTTGGCCAGTGAGAAAAATGCTATCCATTGTGACGTCACCAAATACTGCAGGTTTTCTCTGGGTCATCCAGTTTCCTCCTGTACTAACACTGGAAAATGAAGGTCGTATAAAGTAACAAAGAACAAACCAACCGCCCGAACGACCCATGAAAGGCTGAAAATTAAACTGGAAGGATACGGGATTCGAGGAAGTGTCCTAGCAAAGATCTGAGAATTTCTCCATAACCGCATGCAGTGTGTGGTTATTAATGGCACGAAATCATCATGTGTACCCGTCACAAGCGGGGTACCACAGGGTAGTGTACTGGGCCCACTGTTGTGTGTTTGCTTCATAAGTGACATGCCTGACGCTGTACATTCCTCCATATAAATGTTTGAGGATGACGCCAAGTTATTTCGGGAAAATAAGAACCATACAGACTGTGAAGAGCTGCAGAAGGATGTCTGTGAGCTTCAAGAATGGTCGAAGAAATGGCTGCTAAGATTCAATGTCACGAAGTGTAAGAGGCTGCACCTGGGGCGTACCAACAGTAAGGAGGCGTGTCATATGTCCCAACGGGACGAAGAAACTGCAGTAATTGAGACTGAATGTGAAAAGGACCTAGGTGTGTATGTTGACAATGAGCTGAAATTCTCGGACCATTGCGAGAAGAAGGTAAATGAGGCAACTAAATTATTAGGTCTCATAAGAAGGTCGTAAAGATCTTCAAGAATGAGGTGCTTCCCCGTCTGGACTATTGTCACCCCATCTGGTCCCCGAAATATGCTAGGGACTGTCAGTTGATTGAAAATGTCCATAGGAGGGCCACCAGACTGGTGCCTGCACTTCGACACCTCAGCTACCCTGAGAGCCTAAGGCGCCTGAAATTGCTTAACTTATACTACAGACGGGCAACGGGGACCTAATTGAGGTGTATAAACATCTCAAAGGGCACCACTCAGTCGAGCGTCCTTACCTGGAGCTGGCGGACGCTCGCCCCACAAGGGATCACAGCTCAAGGTTGAAGAAGCCGCAAATCCAGAAAGCTGTGAGGGGTAACTTTTTCGTAGTGAGAGTTGTGAACTCTTGGAACAATCTGCCAGAGAGTGTTGTGACGTCGCCGAGTGTGAGGTCTTTCAAGACCAGACTTGACAAGCGCTGGAGCAGGTTCAGATACATTCAGGAGCCAATGCATGCCCAGTACTTGCCAACAGTGCGTAACAGAGACGTGACCGATCGCCCAAGTAGCTAACGAGCCGATCAGTGGTGAATAGGATAAAAGTAAAAAAAAAAGAAAAGAAAAATTTAAATAAAAATATTCCACTGTAAGATAATGCTCTATTCATCTCAGTCAGTATTTGTGTTCCCCAAAAATAATTTAACTACCTAATTTACTCAATAGCTTATGCTGGTAGACGGAAACAAGTTCACTAGTTAGTATTTGTCTAAAAAGTAAACTTGTTCACAATATTTAATGTAGAAATTTTAATGTTTACCTTAGGGTATCAGCCCATTTACAACATTTAAAACAGAATGTTGAATTTATTATCAAATAGCATATCTTGTAATTTAAAAAAAGGTTTACTATTTATTTATAACAGAGAACTTTTGATTAACAAGTAGAGACTGGAGGTCTGGGATGGGGCACAGAACTACTTTATAAAAGTTATCCATCATCGCTGGCCATCACAGAAAACTTAACATATTTTACAAGTTTGTTATAGCATACACAAAATAAATAAATTTGAGTTGAGTTCAACATAGAGTTGTGAAACTTTTATTTTTCTTATGGAATCTTTATACTTTTGTGATCGCAGTAAATAGAAAATTATAATATGTGTGACTGGATCCAAGTAACGAATTATTTAGAATCTATGAATGAACTCTCAGCCATTATTGAAATCTCAACTTGCTCGTTAAGTCCCGGCTGCATCATTCTTTCAGCATAGAATCTGAGGTGAAGCTGAACTTTAATGTGACAAAATTTACACAATACGGTCTAATACATCCATCGCAACACTCAAAACACAGTGATAGACTAACATGATCCAGCCAGGACACAAACACACAGCCAAGATTCTACATTAGGAAGTGATAATTTTACTAACATTAACTTCGTATTCGATTACTTAATGCAAGCTCGAAACTTTGTTAAAATGTTTTAGTTTAAATCATTTTTTTTTTAGGAGTGAAAAAATTTAATATAAACTATAATCAGACTACACTCACACACAGGTCGGTGCCACAGCAAATACGGGAGACTGTGTACTGCACAGCCATAGCCCACGGCGGGGAGGAGGAGTGGCAATTCGCGTGGAGGCAGTACTTCCTGAGTAACGACGATGACCACAAGGATCAGCTGCTGAAAGCCCTCGGCTGTACTAAAGACTCCTGGGTCAAGGCTGGGTGCGTACTGCCGAGGGAAGGGTCAAAGAGTAACGTCCTATTATAGTATTTGATGAATCTTAATTACACAACTTATTAATATAAATTTATCCACCACCCAGAAATAAATAATAAATTTTATCTTTCTTACAAAATGAATAGTCACGATTTTTTTTGTCAGTAAACACCATCTAACACCTTGGTCCAACTTGTCTATTTACAATTAACTATAAATTTGAAAATAAAGACACCCCAAATTAGGAGAAGGTGCCTATAATATTGTGAAAATAATACATTAAATTCACTCTTTCTACATTATGTTATCAACCTTTATTTAGTTCGGGGAGATATTGTCATTCTGATTCTATAGCAAACATTTATGATCCGGTATATGTAGTTGATTAAGACTATTAAACTAGATAATTTCAGAACTTTAAAATGTGAAATTTGAGGGTTTTTTAAGTAATAATATCCTAGGAAGCTTTAAATACATATACTGATGACTTAAGTGCCAGTAAATTAAGAAACTTTAAATGCAAAGAAAATAATAATCTTAATATTTGTAACCTGAAATAATTTATTATGGAGGTAAATTAAATACTTCCTATTCACCACAGTGATAACTTACACATCCAGGAGCTTTAAATCACTACCTTCTCCCTCCTTCAGGTACCTTAACTTGGCCTTTACCCCTGGCGTGAAGCTGAGGTCCCAAGACATGTTCCAGGTGTTCAGTTCGGTGGCGTCAAAGGTCCAGGGCCATCACGTAGCCTGGGACTTTCTGCTCAATAGGTGGAATAATGTTACAGCATTGTGAGTCTGACTAGGTTATGTGTCAAGTTTCTGGGCATTAAACTCGCATTAATTGACAGAAAATTATATTCAACCACTGTCATTTTTATTCCCATTGATATTCGGCTCAACCGAAAGTGCGAGAATGATTCTTGCACTCACAAATATAAAGTGTGTGAGAGAGCCTCGAAACGACAATCTTGAATGTCTATCTTTTAATGTGAATCTTGTTTCCAAAAGTTAAGAATCACTTTATGGTTAATCTTATCCAAATGGTTCTTGGTGTTATTATGTAATCAAAAAAATAAAATCAGTGAAAGGAGTGAGGGTGAGAGAATGTGGTTGAGAGGAAGGGGTCGATTATTGAGGATTGTGAGTGGTTATGTAAGGATATCATGGCGTGGAGGATGCTGTACATGACTCATCCACTGGCTATGGTAAAGAGGTTTAGAGGCTTTATTTAAAATGTAAGTAGAATACAGGTTTAGGTATAACGTGTAGGTGGAGGTGTATATAAAACATTGTCAACAGCGTGATGGTGGTCCAAGAGGAGAGGCATTAGTATAGGGTAGAGTAGACCTTCCACTTGTCCCTTTATCAGATTCTTGTTGGTTACGATGTTTAGGAAAGTATGAATTGATTGACGGAAATTTCGACTGCTTATACCATATACCACTAAATTATTAATTCATTAATTTAGTGAAACTCATGTAAAGGCAAATACTAATTTCACTCACATAAAACTACAGCTAACACATCAGAGGAATTGTTAATGCTTTGATCATTACAGATTTGGTAATGGAGAGAACGTGGCCGAGATATTCCTGAAGACGGCCACCGAGTCCTTCAACACCAGGCAGAACCTGATGGAGGTGAGGCTGTCACTTGTCACTTTCAGCTCACACTAACAAACTTTCTCGCCCTTCTTCCAAGCAGTCCACACTTCTCCGCAGACAAAGCGAACATAAATATTTCCCCTGTGTTTTCTATATTTGTTGTCAAGTGTTTGAATTGTGTACGTGCTTAGAGACCTTTCTTATTGATGTTAAGAAAATTGTTTTAAGGTAACAGGGATGGTAAATTTCATATTGCCAGTTCAAATTTCAATCTCTTCACCTTCAACCACTCAAATATAGTAACCCAGCAAGCATGATCACGTCTTTGTCACCCTTGCTTGTGTGTGTTTATGTAAACCGCCTGAACTCTACTGTGTTTATTTGCAGCTGAAGTTCTTCATGAGGACAAACAAGAAGTACCAGGGGGTTGAGAAGGCTTCTGAATCTGCCATGACACGGACTTACTCCAACATTGCTTGGATGGACAGGAACTATGATGACATCCGCCTGTGGCTCAACAATAACGGCTACTCTACCAATTTGCAGGTTTTATGAGTTTCCAGACCCACAGAACATAATGCTGCCTCAATGTTTCTGTACCAAGTGACAAATACCTCGAAGACCTCAAGCATACAAAGTACCAAATCCACTGAAGTGTCTTCATTCCATCTTGAAATTCAGTGCCAAGCCATTGCATGTATTAAGCTCCGGTTCGCCTGGCAACTCTCTGGTGTTTGTGTGCTAGCACTAATGTATATATCCCGAGTGCTTGTTGTATATGAGTGTAACTATTCTAGTTACTAAGCGGTAGTTCACCTGTTGATCGCTCCACCCACTGTTACCAGTTTATTTTATATTCTTAATTTGTTATCAAGTCATTCTCTTCCTACGGCCAAGTCCACAGAGTCATTTCTATATTAAATCACAGTCATTTATATCTATTAAATCACCCGGTCATTTCTATTTATAATAAATCACAGTCTTCTCTATCTGTATTAAATCACAGAGGCACTTAGGACAATATTCTGGTACAGTACTCGGCTATAACTACATTATGAGTGAGATTTTCCCTCTTGGTGCAGCAGTACTGAAAATGTCCAGACTTCAGTAAACGTGTAAACAAATGACTTTCGTCTGTTTTAACACTCTGGACTCACCTAACTCTTTAGACTTCACTCTGAGAATCAAACTACAAACTTATTATCAAACAACATTATTATTTGTGGGTATTTTATCAGTAGAACCATCCGAAAAAGAATTGCCATTGTATAAAAACTGTCTTTTCCAGGGACTTACTGTAAAGGTGTTGATGAAGACCATCTTACCTGGTTAATGAGCGTGTGAGTTTATTGATTAAAAAATATAAGTTCTTTTACTGGATCAAGATTAATAACTTATGACCATAGTGTAGTAAAATGATTCAACAAACTCAGGGGTAAATAATGACGTCTTAATATTGAAAGACTGAGAGTGATTTGGTTGTTTGCTTGAAGTCATCCCTAAATAGATACGAATATAATTTATTTTCTGTTGTACTTATTGTTGGAGAATAAATGACATACTGTTATAGTTTGGGTAATATTAATCCTTATTGTATTTTGGGTAATACTCTACTTATTATATTTTGGGTAAGATAGATTAGACAGACAGACAGACAGACAGATGGATGGGCGGGCAGTCATGCGTACACACATTCGGTGAAATCGTCAAATAAGTTTATATTGTTTCATTATGTATATAGAGAGTACAGATATACAAATAATGGTAAGCCCTCCTCTCTCATAGTCACAGGTCCTCCAGCCAGGTAAATATTCACGGTAGAATAGCACTGTAATGCACCTGAGACACCTGTTCCTTCACCTGCTCTCATCTTAACCTTGGCTTAACCTTGGGACTCGACAGCATCTTAACCACCGAGACACGGCTATCGTCATCCTCTCTCAGCTAAGTTTATGCATCACGTCACACACACACACACACACACACACACACATGACTATATATCTCTCTCATCGCTTCGGGGGGCAGAAAGTGATTCTTTTCTTTCGTGTTCGTGTTAATCATTATTATTTATCTCAAGTGACCACGCACACCCGTCGAGCAGCATTCCTCAAGCAAGAACTGGTACATAGATCCTACATTTGGGGGAGAAGAAGTAAGAACCCAGCCTCTTCCTCATCTCCCCCTTCTCTTCTCCCTCTTCTCTTCTCCATCTTTCTCTTCTCCCCCTCCTCTTCTCCCCCTCCTCTTCTCCTCCTCCTCTTTTCTTCCTCCTCTTCTCCCCCTCATCTTCTCCTCCTCTTCTCCCCCTCATCTTCTCCTTCCTCCTCTTCTCCTTCCTCCGTCCTCACAAAACAGAATCGCGAGTCATGCTTTCTTTCAAGGACTCGACTCTCACTCTCAGTCACATTCTACTTCACGTTCATAGCTCGTCCTTCCCTTTATGGTCAGGATTGAGGGAGTTTTATCGAGTCATTAAACTGTCCAGCGGCGTTAATCTTGTCACTTATACAAATTTTAACCCATTTTTTTTAAGAGAATCTATTAAATCCTTCAAGAGTTGTTGCTCCTATACGGGATATAAGGAACACACGAGGCGACGAATGCGGTTCCGTAATATTCCTGAAGTTTGATCAGCGATATAATTGGTAACTTGGTCTGTCGCCTTGTATAAATAAAAGGTCTATGAGGTACAGTAATTGCTACGGTAATATTTTTTCTTTTCGGTGAGTCTTTCTTCTCGCGTCATGCTAAGAAAGAAAAAAAAAACACTATTAAAACACTCGCAATGTTTAATGAAAGTATGCTTCAGCGTCCCTGGTGTGTCGGGTACAAACGTGGAGGTACTGGGCAGCTACCATCCTTTTTCTTGTACATGACTGATTTGTAAATGTAAACAGTGACGCAGCTTGTGTGTGAGAGGGTGACCAACCACATGCACTTCATAACCTCTTTAATTCTAACTTTCCCAACAACACGTTCCCTGCTTGAGGAATCGATGGAGGAAGGGAGTCTTGGCTACCTATGTCGTGTTTATTGATGTTTAAAGTAAGCTAAGACACCTCAACAGGTCTCGGTATAACGGGATGATACGCAGATGAAGAAACTCCTAAACTCACCCAAGCACAGAAAAGCGTACATGATAAAGTGAGTTATTGCCAACACAAACCTGTTTACCCTCCTAATATCAACTTCCTTCTAAAGGTCGTAGAGGAAGATGACATACGAAGATAAGTACAAAAACCAGAGGAGGAGTATATACCGTCATCAGGAGGATATGAGGGAGGAGGAAAGAGGGGAGGGAGGAGGGAATGGCAGACAACCAGCTCACACTTCCCCCCCTGTCCAGGTCTTCCTCTTAGCCAGTTGGTGGGTAGTTGCCGTCCTGTGCACATACCCAGTGACTCTCCTGCCGCTGCCGCTGCTGTAGGTGCTGCTCCTGACGCGGCTATTCCAGGGTAGTACTGCTGTACCCTCGCCACACCTCGGGTAGGTTCCGACGCTTATTTTATTTTCACAGGAACCAAGTTTTACCAACCTACACACACACAGACACACACTCACTCACTTACTTACTTTCCCCTCCCCCTCCCCACAACCCCCCCCACCTCCCCCCCACACGCATCTTCCCCTCACACACACACACTACTACTACTTTGCTGTCACTCGGAATCGAGTATGACGATCATCCAGCTATGATACAATGGTATGAGTTATTAAGGGACCGGTAGGGTCGTTTACAGGTTTTGCACATGTGGGGGGCTACATCTAGTGCGAGAGGGACGGCGACAGAGTCTTTCCGGCGTTGACGCTTGTCTGCCTCGGTTTGCATTCGAGCTAACTCGAAAGTATTGACACCTTCTCGTGTGGTGCTCCTCCAAGCGTTACTGTGTGGACGACAGTAGACTGCCAGAGCAGCTACTTTGCAGTCACCTAACGAATAGTAAACGTAACGCCGGCGGGCAGCTGAAAAGGTATAAGGATAGTCTTAAGACAAACCTGAAAAAAAATGACAAATCGACCCCCCCCCCCACACACACACATCTCTACGCTGCACTGAAACGCCTAACACCCACCCAAGCCCGTAAACCCTCACAACTCGCAGTAATCCGCCCATAGCCTCCCCCCCTTCCACCGCCCACCAAGAAGTGTGTGTGTGTGAGATTCACTGCTTGGCCCAAACAATCATCTATTCACATCTCAAGTGGCCAGGCAGTGTTTACAAGTGTGCTCTGTAGAGCTTTATAGTGGTTGAGTGGTGGAATTATTTGAGTTAGTTTCAGTATGGTATAGACAGGTGTATGAGGTGGTGTGATGATGTATGGGATGTCTAGGGTGTGTGGAGCAGTGCTGGGATGTGTTAGGCGAGAGGGGGAGGACATGTATTAGGCGTTTGTCTGCCGTCTCCACCCCCTCTTTCCTCTCCCTCTCTCTTTAATAATGAATGGCTAAAAAAAATCCTTTATAAACACAACACTTTTATTTCAACATATACAGTACACACCCTCCCTCCAACACATACACTCTCCACCAACATCAACAAATACACTCGCCCTCAATACAAGTGTACACTCTCAGAATCTTTCCTAATATATACGTCCTTGTTTCACGACCCAAGATACCGCGGCGCTCATGTTAGCATGGTGACGAGGCTATAGGAGATTATTATTCTCACTCTCTCTCTCTCTCCACACACACAGTTGCTAGGGAGACGGTGAGAGTATAAAAGCCCTTCACTGAGATGTTTACGGACGTGTAAAGGGAAAGTTGTGTTGGTGTGTGGTGCAATAGAGGGAGAGTTTTGGGTCTGAATGCCTCGGTTATACTCTTCATCACCTGTCTCGGTTATGTTTACTAGCCTGTCGCATATCAGGTTATAGTAGATTCATTACGTCACACACACACACTACTACTCTGCTGTCACTCGAAATCGAATATGACGATCATCCAGCTATGATACAATAATATGAGTTATTAGGGATGTCACCTTCATTGGGGAGTTTTGAGCTGACTAAAGAGGGCGATACGGGACCCGCAGTGTCGTCCACATTCGTTGCACACGTGGAGGGCTGCATCTACTGTGTGTGTGGGGGAAGGGGGGGGGGTGGCAGCGTCTTTCCGACGTTGGCGCTTGTCTGCCTCAGTTTGCAGTCGGGCTAACTCGAAAGTATTGACACCTTCTCGTGTGGTGCTCCTCCAAGCGTTACGATGTGGAGTAATCGACTTCTAGGTGAAGGGGTCGATTTGGCACCTTTTCAGGTTTGTCTTAAGACTATCCTTATACCTTTTCAGTTGCCCGCCGGCGTTACGTTCACAATTCGTTAAGTGACTGTAAAGTAGCTGCTTTGGCAGTCTACTATCGTTCATGCGGGTAACACGGCCAGTCCGACGTAGTTGTTCATGGATAATGGTAGCCTCGATGCTCCTCCAGTTGGTGTCGGCAAGAATACTAGCATTTGCTCTCTTGTCTTCCCAGCTAACTCGGAGGACGGAACGTAGACTACGTTGGTGAACGTTTTCAAGTGCCTTGTGGTGCCTCCTGTATGTGACCCATGTCTCACTGCCTTATAGGAGGGTGGGCAGGACCACTGCTTGATATACGTGCAGCTTTGTGGATAATTTCAGCTCCCTACAGCTGAAGACACGGTTTCGGAATGCGCCAAAGGCTTGAGATGCACAACTGATCCGATGTTGAATCTCTTTATCAATGTTTGCGGTGGTGGACAGGTGGGAGCCGAGATACCGAAAGTGGGCAACATTAGAGAGGGTAGTACCGTTAAGCTGGATGAATGGTGGAAGTGTATCTGAACCTGGGGCAGGTTGAAAGAGAATCTGAGTCTTACGCACATTCACCTCAAGGCCGAAGTGTGCTTGCGCATCTGCGTAAGGAACAGATTAGCGGACCCCTCGTAAATTTATTTACAAAATCATTAGACACGGGAGTTGTGCCAGACTTGTGGAAACAGGCAAATGTAGTACCCATATTCAAAAAGGGAGGCAGAGCATCAGCGTCAAATTACCGGTCGTCGATTAGTTTGACGTCAGTAGTGGGGAAATTTCTTGAATCAATTATAGCAAATAGCGTCCGATAGCATTTTGAGAAAAGCAAATTAATCTACGACTCTTAACACGGGTTTACAAAGGGAAAATCTTGTCTAACAAATCTGCTAACGTTTTTTAGGAAAGTCTTCGAGGTAGTAGATAATGACGAAAATTACGATGTTATTTACTTAAACAAGCAAAGCGTTTGGCAGAGTACCGCATCAGAGGCTTCTGAGAAAAGTTAAGGCTCATGGTATCGAGGGGAAAGTTTTGAATTGGATAAAATCATGGCTCGCCGATAGAACACAGAGGGTCAGCGTAGATGGTGTTAAATCTGAGTGGGGTTGTGTAACCAGTGGGGTTCCCCAGGGGTCAGTACTGGGCCCACTCTTGTTCAAAATCTACATAAACGATCTAGATACTGGGATCAGCAGTGACATAAGCAAGTTTGCGGATGACACCAAAATAGGGCGGCAAATTAATTCAGGGCAGGATGCAAACGCACTACAGGAGGATTTAAATCAACTTCAGGAGTGGTCAGAAAAAAGGCAAATGAAATTCAGCACCAGCAAGTGCAGAGTACTTAATATTGGAAGAACAAATATTGTCAATGTATACAGCCTTAACAACATCAACCTAGAGAAGTCGACTTGTGAAAGAGACTTAGGGGTACTTGTAAGCCCGGACCTACGGCCTAGAAAACAGTGTGTTAATGTTCGAAATAAGGCAAACAGAGTATTAGGTTTTATATCAAGAAGTGTAAGTAATAAGAATGCAGAGGTCTTATAGCAATTATACCTTGCGCTAGTCAGGCCGCACCTCGATTATGCGGTTCAGTTCTGGTGCCCTTATTATAGAATGGATATCAATTCACTGGAGTCGGTGCAGCGAAAAATGACGAAAATTATTCCGGGATTTAGAAACCTTCCATATCAAGATAGGTTAGAGAAACTAAACTTGCATTCCCTAGAAAGACGAAGAGTGCGGGCAGATATGATAGAAGTATTTAAGTAGGTGAAAGGAATCAATAAAGGCGATATAGATAAAGTTCTTATAATATCCGAGCAGGACAGGACTCGTAGCAACGGGTTTAAGTTGGATGCGTTTAGGTTTAGGAGGAAGATAGGAAGGAACTGGTTCACAAATAGGGTGGTGGACGAGTGGAACAAGCTTAGCAACTTTGTAGTAAGTGCTGGAACGCTGGAAAGTTTTAAAAGGAGGCTAGATAGATTCATGGATGATAGAGAGTGGTAGTAACTCTCGACAGGAGCTGCAATGCACAGGCCAACCGGACTATTGCAGACTCCTTATGTTCTTATGTGTTCAGTCTGAGCAACAAGGCTGAGGTCGTTTGCATACTGAAGTTTAGTTATGGAAGCTGCCGACACTTCTGTTCTTGTCTGGAGTCATCTTATGTTGAAAAGACCCCCCTTCACCCGGTGACCTTACTAAACATAAGGTCAGGCCATAAACATGACATCCACTAATCCGCACACCAACACCACCACACACGCAAAGGAGCTTAAGAGAAAGGGCGATGTGACTAGTCAAGTCAGGTCAAAAATATGGGACCCACTCATCAAGATTTTTCTTATCCACGTTTTCATTGTGGATATATATATATATATATATATATATATATATATATATATATATATATATATATATATATATATATATATATATATATATATATATATATATATATATATATAAATATGAAAATCAATATTGTTTCCCCTGTAAAAATACATGGCAGAATTTTTTATCACAAATACTATTATTGTAAACAATTCCTACCGACAGCTACTCACCACCACCTGAACAGACTGATAAGATGTTCGGTCTGGCCAGATTCATCTGTGTGATGGGGTCTGCCATATTGGCCTCCTGCACCGTGACTACCACGCCCGCCCCGATCACAATGCCCACCGTGAGTGTACGTTGATGCATTTTTGTAGATTGTGTGGCAGCATAATAATACTGTATGTGTGTATTACAATTCAGATGTATTAGGCCCTAACAATGAATTATCCCATTGAGTAAGATGACTTAACTCTTTTAGTACGATGATTAAACCCCTTGAGTTCGATGACATGACTCCTTAAGTGTGATAATTTAACCCCTTAAGTACAATTTTACTGTACTCATTGCAATAAGCCATCGAATGCATAGCGTTAAAACCACTGGAGGACAGATGAATTGTAATCAAGGAGTGATGTCGTCATGCTCAAGGCGTCAAGTCATCATACTCAAAGTGTCAAATTATCACATTCAAGTGGCCAAGTCATCATACTCAAGTGCCCAAGAAATCATTATCAAGTCGTCATACCCAAAGAATTAATAAAGATCTTTTCGTATATCCTGCAGGAGGAGGGAGACAAGTCTATCGTTCTCCTGCCGAAGACGGTGCGGCCACTCCACTACCTGGTCAAACTTCAACCTTTCATCAACGGTAACTTCAGCATCCATGGGCACGTCAAGATTGACTTCCATGTGTTGGTCTCTACCCACCACCTCGTCCTCCACATGGCCGACATAGTCACCCTCAACGACACTACTAAGGTACCCAACTTATCCGTTATAAATTGATTCTTTAGTAAAGTTAAATTTATCCCTTTTTATGGGGGTTAGCCCACCCGGGCACAGGTCACTGACCCACATTGGGGCCTAGGGGCCAAAATGTAATAATAATAACAATAATAATAATAATTAGTTCATAGTAAATAAAATTTATAATAAAAATTATACAAAATAAAAATAATAATAACAATAGAAATTATAACAACAACACTGATAATAATAATAATATTAATAATAATAATAATAATAATAATAATAATAATAATAATAATAATAAAGAACCACAAAGAAATACAAAAATGAAAAAAGATCAATAGCGAAAAACGATTATGTATGTTGTGTTGTCAAAGTAAGAGAAACAATTGAGACCCTGCCATTGTGTGTAAATGAGGCAGAAAGTCAGATTAGCAACCTGGGTCACAATTTTCGTGATGTCATATGGCAGCAGGGTCTACCATTAGACAACACATTATGCTTCCAATGGCGTGTACCTCCCTGTTCAATAGCTGCCTACTACCTACTACCGTGATACCCGTTTTCTTTGATTCTCTAGTAAAGTTTAATTGATTCGTTTTCTTTGATTCTCTAGTAAAGTTAAATTTGCCCGTTTTCTTTAATTCTCTAATAAAGTTATAGTCCAGTCTTCCGGAAGGTAATTTTTTCAATGCTAATATGACTTCACTGCCGTGTGACTTTATGGAGTTTTGAAACATTGGGTAAGTTTTCTGTGGTTTTCGACTTTAATTATCCAGAAAAACAAAAAGTAAAAGTTTCTGTCGTATACGGGATGATGATACTCCTAGTGACAAAAATAACCACGGATGTAAGCCAGAAACGACGAGAAAAGTTACTGGTCAAAATTCAGAGAGTAGACCCTATACCAGCCATATGTAACAATCCTAGCATGTATTGATCACTTTATTACTGGTAAGGAACCCCGTGTCGAGTTGATATGTTTGGGCGGTGGCCACCATCCAAACATATCAACTCGTCTCAGCTAGGTGCACAGCCCACTTGCTATCATCCCCTACTACTTTACTTCCCGTTTCTATGCTTTACTTCTCTCTCCTCTCCTCTTCCAGGTCAAAGTCATTTGCCACTTTGCTTCATTATCATCATCAACATCGTGTCATCTTTAGACTTATAAATTATGATAGTTTACGTATGGAAGTTTTTTTATTCTGTATGTTTTCAGCTCTAAATGTGTACTTCTCACACAAACCTTCGCCAGCAGACGATAGCAACCAGTACCGGTATGATTTTCACTCTCGCCCAACTGGTGGCCACGCTCAACAGGAATAACAGTCACGGATTTGGTCAATTATTAGTTATGTGAGTGTGAATCCTGAATAACCAGTACAATGAGCCGCTAGGTTATGATCTTAAACCTGCACCAGCGTCACAGTGGCAGTCTCCTCTAGGTAAACAAACCGATATAATAACAATGCCCTTCCCTGTCTACTTTTCGTTTCTAGTCAGGGTGACAGGACCCTTCACCAGTTAGAAGATATAGTAGACGTGCGCCAGGCAGCAGATACAGTTGTATACAGCTCCTGGATCAAATTATCAACACCAATTGACGGTGATTTCCCCGCTAATGGCACACACACAAGCCGACTTCCCACCCCTCAATTTGGTTGCAGACCTCCCCGCTGTGAAAAGGATGCGACGGCTACTCTGATTGATGGATCAGCAGCCCGAACCTAGACACCATCACAGGGAGGCCGGTCAGCTGGAGGATGTGACACATACAGTTATTATACAAGTACCGGGTCCTTCCACCCCTATAATTCCCAACATCCGTCACAAAACGTCCATCAGGATTCCCGATAAATTTTGTTAGTTGACCCGCAAGAGAAAGCTCCATCACAGTTAACTAATGCCCTACCCTCCCGCAATTCCCTAAATAAACCTCTCTTAGTAAATCTTAACCGCTACCATATCCCTGTAGAGTGTTAGTTCTCTATGGTATCCAACTTGTCCTGAGTCTCATCCTCTGAACACTGGCACACTCAAGCCAGCAGACCTCTAGGGTTACACGCTTGGATTACCCCACAAGTCAACGGAGTAGTTAGGAAAAATCCATCTTAACACTGCCCGGTCCTTCTTCACCTTAACCTTGGTCAAGTGAGTCTTTGTCCTCCCCCCAAGTGGCGTGACTCAACCTACCTACAACAATCCTTTAAACATCCGTGTGTTTGCTTGTGTTAAGATTCGTCTTGCAGTTTCTTTCAGTGTGTGATTGTCACTTAAGTCTATATGCTATCTACTTAACTGTATGATTGCCACTTAACTGTATGATTGCCACTTAACTGTATGATTGCCACTTAACTGTATGATTGCCACTTAACTGTATGATTGTCACTTAACTGTATAATTGCCATTTAACTGTAGAATTGCTACCTCCCTCATCCTTTCCTTCTTCCCTCTCTCTTATCCTCGCCCTTACCCATTCTGTCACCCACCATCATTCTCCCTCATCCACGACTATTTTCCACATCCTCCCTCCTCCTACACCCTCCACCCTCGCTCACTACTATCGACCCTCACCCACCATCCTCATCCTCCTCCCTCATCCACCATCACCACCTTCCTCCCTCACCCACTACCTTCCTCCCTCACCCACCACCTTCCTCCCTCATCATCCTCCATCACCTTCTCCTCTACACATATATTGTAAGAGATTGATCCAATGACTATAAAATATTTTCCCAAAAGAGATTAAGTTGTTTTCCTTCAGTTATGTTATGTAACCCGTCAGGTGATAGCGAAGGACAGCGAGCGAGAGGAAAAAATCGTACAACAAGGCTACAACTCCTCCAGGATGCTGTACATAGTCCACCTTCAGGAGCAACTGTCGGAGGGCCGTAACTACACTCTCTCCCTGGACTTCGTGGGTACACTAGGGGAACAGGCCCGGGGGTTCTACAGGTCCTCCTACAAGAAGCAAAATGGAGAGAGGAGGTAGAAGGAACTTGGTCTTGTAGTCTCGGTAGTAAAAGGTTTATTTTTTTTTTTTTGCTCCCCAGATTGTAAGCTTCATGAATTGAGTTGTTTAATACAGTGTAGTACAGTAGTCGGGTGGGTGCATCACAGTAGTTAAATACGGTCGTGGGATGAAAGTATACATCATCACAGAGAGCGGAGGATAAATTATTCCATTTTGCTATAACATAATTATCTCCTCATAAAAAGCCAACTAGGACTTGTACTTTACGTAACAACCTCCCAGGACAACCGTTTCACACTACCTTAAGTCTCTGATTTATTTATAAAGAGCGCTGTTACATTTTTTCCATACTAATTTGTTTCTCATTTTGCAAAAAAAAAATTAGGATTTTACATGGCCAAATTTACTCCTGCATTATACTGTACTAAAGTGAGTCTGTCCGTCACCAGCTGGGTAGCGTCCACACAGTTCCAGTCAACAGATGCACGACGAGCTTTCCCTTGCTTCGACGAGCCTGGACTGAAGGCCACTTTCAAGATCTTCCTGGCGAGAGAAGAGCACATGAACGCACTCTCCAACATGCCTCTCGTCTCTTCCACCCCAATGTGAGACCCTTGGCTCTCCTACAGGCTCAGGCTTGAGTTTATTATGTGATTCTAAATTAAGCTTTGCAGATCAGTCCATAAAGAACAGATCCTTCTAGCTGCTTCAGAGATCGTGAGAGTTGAATAGATGTGTCAGATGGGGAGGAGAATTTCGTCGACGTAAACAGGATCCTTTATACACCCATTCCAAAAAGTATCGAGACCCCGAGCGTCTGATAAAATATGAAACATCAGATGAAGACAAACCCTTGGAGTCTCAATACTTATTTTGATTGGCTAGACATGCTCCGAAAGTCTCTTCCATGGCAGACTTGGCAGACGAGGTATTCATAAATGGATAAATTCATTGCCAGATACGTTATTAAGTGAGACCATCAGTTTGTCACATGTTGTCAGGTAACAGAATTTTCTTCTTTTCTTTTCGTCATCAGTCTCCAATCTCCTTAGTGTCTTCTATTGTCGTGACAGAAACTAAACACATTGGTTGAAAATTCATAAGATATCGAGGATGAGACTTGTTATGAAAGCTCTCACGAACTCTTTAGCATCAGTGATATTGTTTTGATGAAGGTAGTACTTAAGTAGTCAGTCTTAATTGATGTATAGGATGTATAGCGATAATATGTGTCTTGTTGTTGTCATCAGTGAGGGTCAGGAGGAGTGGTTGTGGGACGAGTTCCAAGAGTCGGTGCCCATGTCTACCTACCTGGTCGCCTTCGCCATCTCAGACTTACCCTCCAAGGTTGTCAGCGATAACGGTACTCTCATCAGAGGTGAGTTCTGGCAACTATTAAGTGGCAAGGCTTGATATAAACACTGCTTGGTGTTTTGTGTTTTAATGTTTCTCTATGCTTTATACACTGGTAGGACCTGAGAGAAATATTTGGCAAGGTCTCTCTGGGGAAGTACTGTAACTAGCACTGGACAATGAATAAGTGTCGTGGTACTCCCTAAACATCATCTCGGTTATAAAACAGTATGACATGTCAACAAGAGGTCCCGCCAAGTAATATTTCCTGAAATCGTGAAATTTGATAAGTTTTTTTAACCGTTTCTTGTCGATGTTCCTCGGGGTTTTTATGTTCCTGACTACCTTAGATGAACCAAAAAGCGTCCTCCATTTTGTTTCAGGAAGGTATTGTGTTGAAGAATGAGTCTCTCTTGGAATTTTTATGCAACAATTTTAACTTCTCAAAAACGCTGACCACATTTTGTCTTTATCATGGTGTGAGTTTGTGGTGGGCCTCTGCTGGATGTGTTAAGTGTAGATGGACAGTTGCTTCGAGATTGATAATTTACGTATAGATTTGCAGAGAATATAAAAAAGGATACTCTTCATACTTCATTAAAAAATCTATATGTCTTACTTTACCAAATCATAAACTCACACCAATCAAAAAATTTGGGAGTTTTCGGGTTAATAATACCACCGATTGGTCCTCCTTACCTACCTGTTTACCGGTCTGTCTCTCACAAGTGGTGACACGGGCGGCGACGCAGGACTTTGCGGAGTACGGGGGACAGACAGCCACCAAGGTCCTCAGTTACTACAAGGACTACTTTAGCATCTCCTTCCCGCTCCCTAAAATTGACCTGATAAGTGTACCCGAGAACAGCTTCGCTGCCATGGAGAACTGGGGTCTCATTACCTTCAGGTGTGAAGAGTCGTGCACGCTGGTAGTGGTGGTGGTGCTTGGTGTAGACTGTAGAGGGCAGGCTGGTGGTGGTGCTTGGTGTAGACTGTAGAGGGTAAGATGGTAGAGTTATGGCTAGAGGGGTAAAATATAGGCTATATATGGTTGATACAGGTGGAAAATAAACCATAAATAGCTGCTTGACTTAGAATATAGACTGTGTATGGTTACGATATGACTGCTTGGTCTTGGTGTAGAGGGTCGGCTATTGGCCCATCTGTCCATATGCACCAAAGACAGGTCAGCCTTCGACATTTGTTTTTAAGACTAATTGACAGCGGCGAACCTTTGATCCACATTACATCCCATATCTTATTAACGACGTGTGGAATATTAACAAATGCTGGTTAGAGCCTGTACTATGATTCTCTCTGATTAATGATTATTCGCAAAACTCAAGGCTGGGAACTAATACTGTAACATGTTCTCTTTAATTGAAACGCTGCATTGCTTACTGTGATATACTAAACGGATTATCTCTCTCTCTCTCTCTCTTTCTCTCTCTCTCTCTCTCTCTCATTAGTGTGGGCTCGGGAAACGGAGGAGGACAAACTACACTACGGGTCACAAGTGGCTGTAAGAGGCCTTGAGTTCTTCGAGGACTTCTTCGAGATAGACTTTCCTCTCCCTAAGTTGGATTTCATATGTCCCCTGGAAATGGGTCCTAATGCCATGGAAAATTGGGGTTTGGTCACCTTCAGGTTAGTCTCCTCTAACTTCCACTGGAATTTTCAATGTGTGATGTATAATATAATCCTTGCATGAACGCGCTTGACGTATGCGATTAAGAGCTATGCATGGTTTTATTTATTAATTTGCTTTTGTATATAATTCGTTGTCCGGATTCTCAAAGATTCCTATAATGAATATTTATCGTAAATGAAATGTAAGAAAGTACCTAACTGGCTTACCTATACAGTAATTCAAAACTAACGTCCAGAAATAACAACAAAACTAACGACCAGAAGTAAGCATCAAAATTACAATACATTTTCACTTATCACCAATAGAAAACAATATTTATTTACAGGATCTTTATGAATCTCGACCAAAGATGACATAGAGTGATACACGGGTGGTTAATATAGATGAAAAATACGATAATATTGATACTAATCTTAAGTGTTATTGTTCCAGGTTATCTTATTAACAGAGTATTGATGTAAACAGAATAATCGAATCGTATTGTTAGAAGATATTAATATTTTTATACATTCTCTTTGGTTGTCTTTTTTTAAACTCTTATCTCTGTTTCTGTTTGTCTCTCAATCTATCTCGCTAATTGTCTTACCTCTCTTCTTCAATCTCGCTATCGCTTTCTTTCTCCTTTATCTCCCTGATTCACCACGGTTTCTCTCTCTCTCTCCCCTTTTTCTTTCTCCTCCTCCTTCTTCCTCCTTCATTTCATTCTCTCTCTCTCTCTCTCATATCCTTATCCCGGGCAACAGAGAGACAGGACTCCTATACGACCCAGAGAGCTCGCCGGCATCACAGAAGCAGTACGTGTGTTACCTGGTGTCACACGAGTTGGCCCACCAGTGGTTCGGCAACCTGGTCACACTCTCCTGGTGGACGGATCTGTGGCTTAACGAAGGCTTCGCTACCTACATGGGCGATACGGCTGTAGATCACGTGAGTCTGACTAGGCATGGGAAGGGGTCAAAAACAAGTTCGATTTTATTTTACTGGGTCATATCAGGAGGTTTGAAGGGTTTAAGGGATTATATCAGGGGTTTAAGAGGTCATATCAGGGATTTAAGGGGTTATATCAGGGGTTTAAGGGGTTATATCAGGGGTTTAAGGGGTTATATCAGGGGTTTAAGGGGTTATATCAGGGGTTTAAGGGGTTATATCAAGGGTTTAAGGGGTTATATCAGGGTTTAAGGGGTTATATCAAGGATTTAAGAGGTTATATCAGGGCTTTAAGAGGTTATATCAGGGCTTTAAGGGGTTATATCAAGGGTTTAAGGGGTTATATCAGGGTTCAAAGTTAAGAGTGTTTTTAAGAGACTCATTTATGTTCTCCATTTACGACCTCATATTTTATTCCCGATTTACGTCTTTCCCTAGCGTCTCCGATTTACGTCCCTCCACTTACGTTCCCGATTTACGTCCCTCCACTTACGTTCCCGATTTACGTCCTTCCACTTACACCCCCAATTTGCGTTCTCCCACTCAACTTCGTGTAGATCGAGCCCTCGTGGGGGATGCTGGATCAGTTCGTGGTGGAACGACAGCAGAAGGTGATGGCTCTGGATGCTCTTCGTTCCTCTCACCCCGTCAGAGTCCCTGTCAGCGACCCCGCCGAGATCAATGAAATCTTCGACGTCATCTCCTACAGTAAAGGTGTGTTTTTGACGCCATTATCTGGAGTAATGGTGTGTTTTTGGTCCTTTTGTGCTACACTAATGATGAGTTTCTGACCTGTAGAATTGTTATAATGGAGCAATATTGCCTTTGCTCTTTATTAATGATACAATTTTGTTTCCATGTCGTATAATAATGGTATGTTCTCTTTCAATTATTTTCTCGAGTATTATTTTATTTATTTTTTCTTGTTCATGACAATAAGTTCAATAAGACTTTTGTACATGTGTCGTCTTAAAATCACTGCTGACGTCACCTACCTTGTGTTTATGTTCTGACGTCACTTGTGTTTCTGACTTCACCTATCTTGTGTTTATATTCTGACAGCATCATTGTTTCATAGCTCTTCTAGTTTGTTATTTAGTTTTTTTTATGTGTATTGCTTTCTTATCTATATGTTAATGCCTTGACGTTGTTCCTATTACGTCATTTAATTTTCCTTTTTCTTCGTACTTCTTTTCTTCCTTATTTATGTTATTACTTATGTCTTATGTAGATTTTTTATGATTTCTATAAATTTCACGTTAAACATTTCTTTCGTTCATTACCACTATATCTATCCTGCCAGGAGCGTCTATTATCCGCATGATGAACCATTTCCTGACGGAGACCGTCTTCAGGAGGGGCCTCAAGACCTACCTCACTGACCTGTAAGTTAACATCTTGAATTCATGAGGAGTCTAACCTAGCTTGACCGAACCTAAATTAATCTAACAACCGAACCCAGTTTAACTTAACCTAACTTAACCGAACCTAACACAACCGAACCTAACCCGTAAACCAACACCATGAGTATATAATCAATCTAACCTCACCTAACCTAATCTAACCTTACCCCCCTGGCTTGACCTAACATAACATTCATTGGTTGATTGATAATATCATCGAAGATAACTTTTTTCACCCAGGAAGTACAAGAACGCGGACCAGGATGACCTATGGCGGCACCTAACGAAGGCAGCACGCGAGGAAGGGACGCTGGCGGAGCACCTCAGCGTCAAGACCATTATGGACACCTGGACGCTACAGAAGGGTTTCCCCATTGTCACCGTCACCCGCGCCGGCAACAGCTCCGCTGTCATCACCCAGGAATACTTCGTCTACGACAAGAATGCCACGACCTCGGAGTACAACTGGTGGATCCCTGTGACGTACACCTCGCAGGAGGGTCCTGAGTTCCACGACACCAATGTCAGGTTCTGGCTCAATGGTAAAGGCATCGACCCTGTGTCTTACATCGGGTTCCCTCAACCACACCACTGGGTCATCTTCAATCTTAAGCAGACAGGTGAGTGAGTCAGCTACATGAGTGAACGAGTCAACCAGATGGGTGAGTGAGTCAACTAGACGAGTGAATGAGTTGATCAGACCAGTGAATGAGTCGACCAGACGGGTGAATGAGCCAACCAGACGGGTGAGTGAGGCTACGAACTTAAAACTCAAGTCACATAATGATAAACAGCAGTAACAATCTACTTCCCTTTATCCTCAGGTTACTACCGAGTCAACTATGACGAGGCCAACTGGGAGCTCCTGACGCGGCAGCTGCAGGAGGACCACACCGTCATCCACATCACCAACAGAGCCCAGATCATAGACGATGTACTCAACTTGGCCAGGGCAGGTGAGCCACCCACTGACACCTGGGATAATAACACCCTCAAAACTTAATTAATCCCCAGTTAAACGGAAGTTGAAATTGTGTATACTTAAGTTCCTGCAATACGTCATTTTCTTTATAATCGAATTATCTTGTCGTCTTCATCATACATACATACATACATACAGTCCAGTACTTGCATGTGTACGTACTAACTTGTCCAGGACACCCACCACACACATACACGAAATTCAAGAATGATTGTCAGTACCAGTGTGAGTAAGACACCCAGTGAGGATCGGACAACACCCAGTAAGCTCATTTAATATTGGTGCAGGAAAACTGTCATACAAGACTGCCCTGGGTGTGCTGTCGTACCTAAGGAAGGAGAAGCAGTTCGTGCCGTGGAAGGCGGCCTTCAACAACTTCCAGTACCTGTACGACATGTTCTACAGAGACCCTGCTTATGGCGCCCTCAAGGTAAACACCCATTCTCTTGTAATGTGTAATACTATACAGAGTATTTATGTCTCGAACCTTGCTATGCATTATCTTATTTGGGTCAGAATTACGCACTTGTTTTACAATTCAATTTAGTGCATTTGTGCCCCGAATCTAATAGAAGTTACCATAAAAAGATCAAAACTACGGTACTTTTATCTAGCTATCTATCTATCTATCTATATATCTATTCTTCTTGCTGGTTGCAGGACTACCTTCTGTCAATCATTGTGCCAATGTACGATAAGTTGGGCTTCGAGGAGGAGCCAGGGGAGGACCAACTGGCTCAAAAACTCCGCACTGACGTAATCACCTGGGCGTGTAACTTGGGCCACCTGGACTGTCGCAATAAGTCCCTCGCCATTTTCAGACGATGGATGGCCGACCCCGAAAGTTTCAAGTAAGAACTCGTCAATTTTTCGTTTACTCTGAATAATTTGAGGATAACTCGCTGTTTTTGTTTTACAGGCATTAGCCCACATCAAGGCCTGGTGGGCGAAAATATAAAATAATAATAATAATAATAATAATAATAATAATAATAATAAATATCAATAATGAGAAATGATATACTGTATGTATGTTGTGTTGCTAAAGTAGGAGAAACAATTGAGACCCTGCAATTATGTGTAAATGAGGCAGAAAGTTAGATCAGCAACCTGGGACTTGGTCACAATTTTTGTGGTGCCATATGGCAGCAGGGTCTACCATTAGACAACACATTATGCTGCCAATATCTTCCCAGGCGGTAGCACCTCCCTGTTTGATAGCTGCCTACTACCTACTCTATACTCTACTTATAGTTTTTAACGTTCTGAGTAGATATTCATAAAATGAAAATCGTTGTCAAGTTCACATTGGTTAAAGCAAGTACATTGTCAGTACAGGAATAAAGACAGTAATAAAAATAACAATCCTATCACTTTGCTAATATATGAATCAAATACGTGAAGTTTATCTCCTGTGTCTGCCAACAGGGGTGTATCAGTCAACGTGGCCTCAGCGGTGTACTGCACTGCTATAGCGGAAGGCGGGGAACCAGAGTGGACCTTCGCCTGGAAACAAACCCAGAGCAACACCGTAGTCGACACATCTGAGCTGGTCAACGCTCTTGCCTGCACCGACCAGATCTGGCTCCTGACCAGGTCAGTGTTAATACTAGGATGGTTCTTTATGAATAGCAATAAAAACATCGCATTGCTCTGCGAGGCGAGAGAACACCGTCACAGACTCACAGGGACGCCAGAGGCGGATTTTGTATGCATTTATCTGCCTCAACAGCTACGTTTTTTAAAGCATATCTTATAAGTTAACTTTAACATAAGACAAAACTATCTGAATAAGTCAAACATACTTATCACGGTGTCTTAATACTTTTCGGTCGTATATTTTTTTCGACAGGTACCTGGACGGCGCGTTTAATGCCAACTCAAGAATCAGACGTCAGGACGCTGCTGGCACCTTCAGGAACATTGCTGCTGGTGGAGTAGGCAATATGCTGGCCTGGGACTACCTCAGGTCTCACTGGGCCAACATCACCGAGTAGTAAGTCACAGGATATTTTTATTCTGTATATTAGTGAGCGCTTTAGTCATGTATAATTTGATGACTGTATTTCCCTGATACCTTGTCTCACTTTCTTCTCACCTCCTACTACTACTTTGCACTTTTCTGTCTTTCTCTGATTTAATGATTTTTCTACCTCTTATCTCAATTAACTTAGTTTATTATTTTTCCCATTCTCTATAGTATCGGCTCCACATTCTTCGCGCTGCCAAAGATGGTGGATGATGTGACCAAGACCTTCAACACGCTGCAGCTTCTTCATGAGGTAAAGTGTCTCTTCTTGGCGTCCCAGGTTACCAGGGCAGTGACCAGTCAGTGAGATAATGTACTTGACGTTTACATACGCCTCGATAGGTAGATGGCCGATGCAATGTTTACAGTTTGACACCAGTTTTTTTGTTTTTTACCTTTGTTATGATAGTTTTTCCTAATGTTTAGTAAGTCCGTTTATCATTAAATAAAACTCCTTTACCAATGTCAATACGATTAATTTAAAAAAAAAATTGGGATTCTTTTACGTGCATCCTTCTTGTACTAAAAGGACTGATGGCTAGTTGTTATTTTAAGTGTACGTGAATTATTGTAGTTCCTCACTAACATACTATAGTTCTTAGTGCAACAGCCTGGTTGATCATTAACACACTTCATCTGGTATTTCCCGTAGCTTGAGGAATTTGAGCGTGTCAACAAGGATCAGCTACTGACGGCATCGCGGGCGGTGTCTCAGGCGGTGGAGGCTACAAAAATTAACTTAGCCTGGATGGAGGACAATCGTGACTTCATCGTCGACTGGCTCAAGGAACAAGGCTTCTCATCTAACCTCTCAGATCTTTAGACCCAACCTGACGCCTACATGAGTTGACTTGGTTATGACAAATCATTGACATCTACAACGCCTTTGGAAAACATCTAAGGCTTAGTTTGACTATGACGGATAATTGGCATAACAAAGCCTATGAAAAACACTCACGATCCAAACCTTTGTCCCTCAAATCCAAAAAAACCATCAGCAATGACTATTGCAAACCTGGCACCTGTGATGCCCTGGAAACGATTTATCTTAAAGGCTTTCTAGATAATACTCCAGGAATGTAGTCCCGCCTCAGTTCTCAGATATATTAGGTCCTCGTGATAAAATTGACAGCAAGTTTGAAATCCACATGACACCTGATGAAAACTTTGCATTTTCACATGTACTCAGATCCACTGCTGCGCACCCATAAAGATAAACTAGACGCAACTCTCGCATCAATAATGAGGGTCTCAGGAAGAACTCGACCCCAACCTCATCGTTTATAGAACCTTAGGAAAGCTCACTGGAATGATCCGATCGTTCGCGTCAACAGTTGGTTCCAAACAGCCCTCTGGAATGACTATTGAAATGTGTCCAACAAAACATCAAGTGTTTACTTATACTTTTACACCCTTATAGCATGGAGTTATAATTACATGGCTAGAAAGATTGTTACAGATGAATAATTGATTTGTACAGATATAAAACAAGATAGACGATTCGTAATAAAGATTGAGGAGCACATGACTTGTTTAAATGAGAATATTCCCTAAAAATAGTGTCAGTTGTTTTGTATATACTGAGGGTAATTAAACAGGATATAATTATATACTGCAGTATATGCATGGTAGTATACACACCGTACATGGGGTACAAAGATATATACACATTAGCCACGAAGGTTAATTAACACACAGTAGAAAACCTCCACTTGACACACAGCTTGGAGACGCCACTGTCGTGGAAGGATAAAAAATTTAGCATTGAGTGAACCTTCCTCTAGTCAATCAGTCTCAGTAACTCGAACTCACTCCAGTCTGTACAGTCAGGGACAGTGATGAGGGTGGTAGTGCCTTCTACTCTTGCCACCCTTCCCTGTTCACATGGCTGTTCAGAGCCGTTGACCAGAAATGAGAAAGTTGACTGTTGTCTTTTGCTACAAGGAAGTCTTAATTAATATTCATAGACATTAGCCACTCTCTCCTTGTTCACATACAGCCGCAGTATATTCAGTAACAATAAAACAAGAAGGCTAACGGCTGTCAACACGCCCCCACCCCCCTCCCCCACACCCCCCCTACAGTTTGCTACACTCCTGCCAAGTCTTTAGTGCGACATCTAAAGGAGGTGTGTCCCGGAGTTTTAGATTTTGCTGTGAGCAGTGAACAGTACTCGTACTGGGCAGTCTGGTGGGTAGTTCTTAATTTCTTACCCAAGACAGCTGTAAGTACTCGTGTTGTGACGGCCTGGAAGTAATTGCAAATATTTACTCTCCCAAGCCTGGCCGTGAACAGTGATTGTACTCGTGTCAGACAGTTTGGTGGAGAGTTTTACAGATTCTCCAACCCCAGACTGGCTGTAATGGTGTAGCACTAGAATTTTGAGAATCAGTGACTGCAAGCATCTAGAAATGGTGAGTGAACTTTGAAAAAACAACAGTGTGTATGTTGAAATTTACAGTGACTAGTGAAAGAACCGGTGAGGTCCTCCCCAGTAAGTACTATTCACAGTTCCACGACATTTGCTCACAAGAAAAATGCTCATTAGACAAATCTAACCTTACCTAACCTAACCTACCCTTTCCATTAATGTTGTGAGCATTTGTCTTGTGAGCAAATGTCAGCACACCACTGTATACACATTTCATTGTTGCACTTATTTTGTAGTGTGGTTCGGGATGATTGGGAAGGAATTATTACTAACTTCATGAATCTTGATTAAAGTTAAAGGCATAAGTTATCTAAATTTGTGCATTCCTTTGTTCGTGTTCCTTATTCCCTGTACAGTGTTGTAGTGATCCGGCAGGGTAATACTTCGTCGAGGTCTTATAAAGCAAATAGTGTGCGGCAAGAATCAAACCTAAGAACTTTTCCATGGTGTAGATTTGGTTTAATTCAAAGAATTCCTAAATAACAGATAAAATTTCCTTGTCACTATATAAGTTTGTTTTGATACACTGTACGTGTATCAATAGCGTACTCTCACATCATGACAGGAAACACAGGACTATAATTGCACTCATCACTACAGGTCTTGAAAAAACATTACATATCAGCTGGTTTAATCTTCACACAAAGAATAAATTGAGGTATAAACCATTATATTACCTTGGTGATAAATTTTAAATTATTAGTAATTAAATTTGAGCCTTTCCTGGTGTTGGTGTAATCATCCCGAGAATGACTGTACTGCATACACGATTAAACATTAGATTACAGTCACATGTGTTGCTTTTGTTTATACATTAAACTTATGAGAAGAAAAAAAAGCACCGCTGAATTGAGTCGAAAAACATTTGTCTGATACAATTTTCCAGTGCACATTGTATCCCTAACTAAAAAATAAAACTTATGCATTTTCGTTGCCTATTCTCAATGAAACCTTTTATCGAGGTATTGTCTACATTGATTGGTCAATTAGAATAGTTTATGGGTAGAACTTGGCCCCAAAGTACTGGTAGAACTAGTTACGGGGTAAAATTTCTTGCTCGTGCAACTGTTCAGTCTGTTGGTGGTAGCAATGAACTCGTCCCACTTCTCGACCCACTTCAGCATCAGGGCGGATTTTGCCTCTTCGTCCAAGGTGCTGTACCTGAGCACGACAACAACATTAATCCCCAGTCTAGTTCATGAAAAAGTGTGTTAACTATCGTCCCACTATTCTTTATCGATACGAAATAACATCATCTCTGTACAGTATTTATAGAAACTCTAAGTAATTTATTATTTTAATGTTAAATTCATGGATTATATTATCTTGAGCCTCCCTGTTTAGTAAGTAAACCAATCAGCCGCATTCATATTGCTGTTCCGATCACAAGTGCAAAATCATGAATTTCCTTGAATAAAAAATGGGATGATAAATCATTTTACTTCATCTTGACTTGTGTCAATTTCTGATAAGACAAAAAAAAATGGGTTATAAAGCTTACATGATGGAGTTGATAGCCAGTTGCTTGAGGAACCTGAGATCGGCCTTGGCTCCTCCCAAAGCCATAAATGCCTCATAAAAGTCGTGAGATATGCCAACGGCACCCCAGAAGCCAGGATCGTCAGAGGAAACCACCACAGGGAAGCCCTCAGCCACCAGCCCTGCAGCTGGGTGGTTCCTCAAGTCCGCCACAAGCTTTAGTACCTGGTGGAGGACACCACCGTCACCGTTCATATATCATAGTTCTGCAATGCTTAGAGCACCTGAGGAGGGACATTATTACCTTAAAATATCAAACAGTCCTACAACAGCTACAGCACTTGAAGGACACCGAGCTCACCTGGTTGGAAATAGGACAGATTTCAAGAGGGACGTCCTTCTCTATGGCGAGCTGCTTGGCCTCGGGGTGTTTAGTGATGGCATACCCATGGCCGATCCTCGTGGCGTTGAGCAGCAGAGCATCGACAAGGTTTTCGTCCGTACTTGTTCCCATCCAAGCTGACCAACACAACCAGTTACTCCAAATATTTTTTCATTGGAAGTCTTACATTTAGTAATCTAACAAGCAGGCACTGGTTGTTCAATTCACCTTAGTGACTAAAAACTAGTTATGTGTTCCCTTATAACCCCCCCCCCCAAAAAAAAATCTTACTGCCCTTAGTCTTTCGTTATCTTCAAGAAAAAATGTGGCTCTCTGTAACCCTTTTTCTCAAGTGCTCACAGTTTGCTTATTAATCCAAACTCAAGTTGTAAACTAGGGAAAACCTCCATTATTAAGACTTGTTCTTAGAAAACATCTTCCCTATATAGGTTTGGATTGTTCACACACCAACTAGTGCAGTACATACCTGTCTCTCCTGAGTGGTAGAACACAGGCACCTGAGCATCATGTAGTGGGAGAAGATAGGCCAGGAAGTCTATGAGAGGATTACCTAAGTCCTCCTGACCCACCAGGTCGAACCCCGCCACAAAGTCCGGGAACTGAGCTCTCAGTTCCCTTACCAATGCGACGTAGCCTTCCATGGTAGCATTGTCCACACTGCGAGGAGAGGAAAGGATATTCATATTTTTTTCTTTTAAGTTACAATCTGCTGAAACGCAGTGATATGTACAACATTTTCGGTTACAATTTTGGTCACTTTACCTCTATAGTGATTAACCAGGACAAAGCAAAAGTGACAGAAATTATGAACAACAATACTTTTAAGATTGACACTTGAAAATACCAAAGCAACAGACTTGAGTACTGAGTGGATGTAGTGGAATAGAATTAATAATTTATTTAAATGAGCATAGAAAAGGCCAGTCAGCCTCACGTCTGCCTTTCCCTGCACGCAGAATGGGTGAGGAACACCTGATCAAAAAAGTATCTGCACATTTTGCATGAAACAATGACACCATATATCACGACATTTTCTGTTTTATCCATAGTGAGTATTTTTATTTTATGCACATTCAGAAGAAAATAGATTAATCTTGCAAACAGTGTGTAGTGTGATTCATGTTGGTGGTTACATTGTGGCATAGGTGCATTGATCATTTAGGAAATCATCAGACCCAATGTACAGATATTTTTTTATCGTGTGTACAGTCAAAGACAAAAGTCATGTCGTGGTTTTGTCCGAAGATTAAATATAACTCGTGAAACATTATGAGAGCCCCTACCACAAGGCAGTGCTCACCAAAAGTTTAAGCCCTTCGGCATATGTTTTCATCATATTTCATGACACGACTTTTGTCTTTCATTGTACACCCATCAAAAACGGTATCGCAACCCTCGGGTCCGATGGAAATCAAAATGAGCAAATACGTACAAATACAGATGTATCTGTTGGGTTGGTGTCTCGGACTATGCTATAGGCCTAATATACTTTATCGTGCAAAGTTCTGTGATTAAGACTACTGAAATAATACTAAGCCTAATATTTGCACTGAAAAACATGGTCAAGTGCTCTACAGTAACATAATGATGAAGGGTTAGGGTGCTATTCGTGGCATGCAGTAGGAAAGGATGGCTTGAGAAATGAATAGAACAGTCGTCATTTCCCAAATGATATGTATTTGTGGGAGAAATTCAAAAGGTACCAATAGGGCTGACAGCGATAATCAGAGATTATATCGTATTTCTCCTTTGCTCTTTAGTCACATCAATTTAATTAAAAAACTTATTCTCACGAATCTCTCTCCGTCGGTTAGAGAATCTTGAAGTATGAATGATGGTCTCGGTTCATGTGATTCAATATGGCGGGAAGTCTTAAAAAATGTGGTTTCATGGTAGTGCAGGGTGTTATCCCACCCCTGATTTCCTATTAAGGGTTAAATTAAAGAAGTACTGTATGGGAACAGGCATACCAACATATCACCAACCACACCCAGGATATATGTAAAAATACTTCATTCTGTGTTCCAGAAGGCAAAGTACAGCAAGAGTCATGATACATCTTTTGTTGGGTGTACTTCTATACAGTATTAAATAATCATAAATGCATCAGTTCATTCTCTCAAGGATCACACAATACCTGTACCTAAATACAGTACCGTGTGAATGTGTTTGTCTCACGTATAATGAACCACTCATCACAAATAAGATATGTTTTGACAACCTAACAACTTACAGTCGAGGTGGAGCGTAGATATAGCGGGTACCGAAGAACTGGTCAGGATGATTATCGAGGAAGCGCTTGGCGGTGTCCCGATAAACCGCCGCCGACTCAATTTCGGTGAGCATCGTCCCGTTGAGCTCGTACAGCTGGCAACACAGTGACCCTTATGTAAACAAACGATCCAAGTAGAAAAGAAATTACTCTTATCTGCATTATAGTATTACTTGAGACGTAAGTAAGAATATGCTGTTGGATACTGACCAGGGGCAGTGTACCCCTGAACTCTATGTAGAGGACATTATCATGGGCAAACTCCTGGTGGGCCCGGTAGAGGTAGCTCTCCCACGCTGGTCGGTACATCAACATGCCTGTTATGGCTATAAACACACCCTGGAAGGCTGACCATACGCTGTTCAGGTCCGGATATTTCTCTAGGGAGTGAATACATATGAATTAGCAAAGGTCACTTTTTAGGTAAATTATTGGAAAGCTCTGGGCTGAGCTAGATATTTCTGAGCTGGACAAGGGGCAAATAGATATGCAAAATGGCATAGGAACAACTGAATATATGAGTTGGAGATATTTCTACTGAATTTATGATAGGACATAGGCCCTTTGAAGTGTATAGATACTCCCGTCCACATGTTTACCATCTGGGTTATCAGTCAGTATTGAGAGTCTACTGAGAAGCTCCTGGTCAAATTCGTCTGCTGAGGGGTACGACTCTCTCACTTCACTCATAAGCTGCCAGTCACAAGTTGTATCCGGAGTCTCGAAGAACCTGTACGAGGAAGTTACAATATAGTAAGCAGTTTATTAATTATAGATAGGTGAAAGCAAATATATTGTGAGCGTTAAGTGAGATGAATGAAATATGATGGGTGACGGGGAAAGCTTAGGACCATTCGAAATGAAACTAAAAAGATATATATACAAGATCACAACCTGAAGAGTTGTATGAAGACTTTGGTGGAAATAGAAATGACCTTTTTTAAGTGGATAGGCCATAAAAGCACATCAAAGCTGAAAGCTAATGTTGAAGAACAAGATTAAAGAAAATGCAGTACCAGCCATGCTGCCTCCTTGTGTACCGAAGGCTTAATATACAGTGAGCTGTATCTACACTGTCCCTATGGGACCCATTCACGACAGATAGCTGACGATTCCTTGAATGGAGTAATGCAGGTATGTGAAGGTTCCAAGTGTTCCCTGAAGAAAGCAGTGATGGGTAGGGAAACACCGGGTAACACTGAAGTCCATTTATTAAGGGATAGGAGAAATACAAGTGGTGACTTGCGTGTCCCATGCACGGCCCACAGAGTCAGACTGAGACTGCCTTGCCATATGGCAGCCTCGGGGCAATGTTGCCACCTAACACGTGCAGTGTTGCCACATGATTACATAAATAAATGCTACTCGGCACAGTAGCTTAGATACATACCCTACAGTATGCGTATTAGAATATTTCTTCATGGTAGTAACATGAAGAAGTATTCTAATACGGATACCTGAGGTCACAGTTTCAAACTGTTCAAGTTAACCACACCAGACTGCTATGATAATTTTACATGTGTTTTATACTGATAGAAAAATTCACTCGAGCTTGTGTTATTCTTTAATTAGGTTGACGTTAAATAAATACCTGGACAAAAGTTATGTAAACATAGACTAAGACTGATATCTGAATATATGTTATAAAGACTGCTTTAATAAAGATCTTCGTTTATAATTTTACAAACAGATGTCCGATACCTTTGACCAGCGCGGCCACAAATGATGCCCTTAACTAGTAGTATTAACCGCACCAACCAGCAACTGTCTTAAATTTATTCAGTTTAAAAAAACTCTGAGGCACTCGTATACTCACATCGTCAGAAGTTGGTCATCTTTAGTGTAGCACATGTAGAGGTTCGGCCAATAGGAGATCTCCTCCACCACCCAACTGGAAGACGCCATGGCGGTATCGTGCAAGTGTAGCGCCGCGCCTGCAAAGTCAACATAGTTACACCGTGCACTTCTGTATGTCATTATTTTCCCTTACATGTCTTGTGTCACTGTTACAGGTCGTGTCACAGTGGTAACCTCTCCCCTCACATGTTTCATCTCTACAGGGGAGTCCCTCAATAAAATTTTTATACCAGTAGAGACGAAATATGTCAAATTTCAGGGTATACGTTGACGCTGTGCCCTGACTATATTTCCCTACTGTAGTTTGAGACATGAATCCTTGGAACAAAATTTCATCCAGTGTTATTATCCCAGGAAGTGTTGAAGCTACAGCACAACTTTTCATGTTCACTTGAAGGCAGTGGAACTGAGCGTTAAATAATATTAACGTAGATCATAATTATGAACTGCTGCTTTTGACTGGCAAAGCTTACTTGTTAGGCTAAGGTAGAGTTAGATTAAGTTAAATAAGGGTGGTTTAACTTTTGTCGGACTAACTTAGGTTACCTTTAGGCATTTGCTGAATCATCTTGAAAACATCTGAAGCCTCGATCTCGTGCCTGACGGACATGAAGTTCTTGGAAGGAGGGAAATCGTGGGTCTCAAAGCTCTTGTCCATTTCCCTCATCTTGTTCAACATCAGTTCCTTGTTGACTGCTTGCTCGTCCGCCGATAACACCTGCTCCTGACCTGTAAAGTGGCCCACTTGTTATCACTGTTCCTCCACCGCCATCACTTGTTACTGCCCTACATCATTAACGTTTACAACACCTCAAATTAATGTCTTAGTAAGAACGATTGTGAAATTGAACTTGATATAATCAATAAAATAATTTCACAGAGTAACTAATACAAGCATAGCCCATTTAATTAAAACCTCACCTTGAAAAGTTCAGGAAATTAAATTTCGGGAAACTACTTTTCCGATCATTTACTTGAGAAACATTCAATATCAATTAATTTAATCGTTATCAGTAGAGGCTTGGCATTTCAACTGGCAATATATTTATGTTACCAATCTTACAATATAGTGTTTGGAAAAATTTTCCTTTAGTGAGATATTGACTAGGGTTTGAGTTCCTGGGTGGGTTAGAGTACTGTGACGACTGACCCATGATAGTAGTCTGCTCCTGGGCCAGCAGCATCGCCCTCTCCTCCAAGTATTCCTTCAAATCAATGGCATGAGAGGAGGCACACGCCAAGACCAACAGACCCACCAACGTCCACCACCATCCACGTTGCCTCACCGCCATCACGAACCCTGGACGGGATAAAAGGACCACAGTGTTAAAGTCGAACTGAACCAAGTTAACGCACCTCGAGTCGAAAATTCGTCCTTCCCCAAGCATGACGTCATCTGGTCCGTAGATGTCCACTAAGCTAAGAAAAATTCAGGGTCAATATCAGTCCATGTGAGATACTAACCTGGCGTCGATCCAAGATGGCGTCCTCGTTGTCACAGCAACTGTCACTAGGGCGTGTGAGTTGCTAGGAGCTGAAGTTTGATGACCTAGGAATGTCGGAGCTGGACACCGGGTGAAGTCTCAGGTCACTGGGTTCACTGAAGGTTCGCTGGGATCACTGATGAGAGATCCACGTCGAATGAAAACCACTGTGAGACTGACGAGCACAAGACAAGCTTCTCTGTATATAAGACTGCCTGTTACACAAGGAACACTTGCAACACACTACATTCACCAAGAGCCAAGGCAAACAACTTATGTCTACCAAGAGAAAAACTCAACTATGTTTAGAACACAGGAATGTTGCTGGGTAGTTTTGGTTTTGTTGCAAAGCGAGAGACTGCACGTTCTGTCAAGGTGTGAAGTAGCAACGTTCGCTCTCCCTGAATCGTCTCAAATTTCGCATACACGCTTCACAACGAGAAACATTCGACGAACACTTGACATCCCTGAAACAACTGGGTCGCGCCACACTACGTCACTATGACGCTATTGTAATGACCACGGTCTTACACGTCAGTTAGCGCCAAAATCAAATGATTCATATTACGCTCAATAGCCCACAAAACATGTAACTCGGCTTTCGTTTGAGTCCTCCATCTGAGGAGTCCGTTTTCTCATCACTTCAAGACACCTCAGTCCTCCGTTATCCCATTTTCTCTGACTTACTGAAACCAACCTCTCTATAAAATGAATGTGAGTGTGAGAGAGAACACCTTTGTTTTGAGTCAACTTAGATATGTCTGTTTACAGTTGGAACATTCAAGATCCATTGTGAGTGGGGTAGAATGCTTCAACTGTCCTTATCGTTAGAAGAACGTGTCCGTGTATATTCCACCTTTTCCTGGCAAGCTCAACCTCTGATTAGATTATATGAATAGACATAGGAAATTACCCTGATCAAGAACACCGGAGTTCATAACTAAGTCTACAGTGATCCAAAATGATAGAGAAGTTATGTTGTTGGTAAGATCGACCCTTCTGGTATGAATAGGGAGGCCCAAGCTGCCCAGCAGGTGCACATATATACCTCTACACGAGGGAGAATCACGCATTCGTGACTTCCTCAACGTCTCTCCAGTGTGTTGAGCTGAATACTCATCGGCTAACGTGGGGCGGTAACCGGGTTGGACGATGCCGTTGATTCGACAGGACTGAACTGGGAAGTCCGTTTCCCGCAAATCAGGCGCCTACTCCCTGAGCGTGTGTCGGGCTACAACCGACCCCTAACAGCGATCTTCATTTGTTGTAGAGACCAGTGTTACCCTGGGGCACTCCTCACAGTCACATAGGCCTAAGTATTATGGTACCTTGTTTGGGGGATAACTAGCAGAAATATAGTATCCCAGGTTAAGTATTGAACCACTGAATGAGAGTTAAAAGTGCCATGTTGTTCCTTGTGAATTAACAGGAGGTATTGTATGTTGAGATAATTGTGGAGTTGTCCAGTGTGCTATGTATTCATTGGTAGTGACCATGAAATGATAATCTGAGAGTATAATGATATAACCAAGAAGTGAAGAGTTAATTTGCTACTTGGTAAGGTAAGACCTGAGGGTCCAGTGATATCTGGTGTATACCCAGTACTGAATATCATTTGGCAGAGTGACAATGCCACAATTGTCGATTGAAGTAATAAGTATTTGGAGGTATTTAATGAGGTAATAAGTTCTTGAAGTGTTTGATGACTTAAGAAACAAATTGCAGTTCTGTTTTGTCTGAGTGAATCTAAGATGCATCTTATCCAATCACTGTGTTAATAAATATTGAATTAGTAATCTACGTCTACGAGTATCACCACTCTATCCTTTCCCACATTGGTTCTCAGAAAATAACTAACTCACGTGCCTAGAAGCTCGCTACCTAACAGTTAACTAAGAGATGTTATATTCTAGAAAATCCTGGGTGGTGGCAGGCTACCGTTGTCAGTATAATAAGTGTGGTAATAACAAAGACATGGTTTCCCAGGTTAATCCATGGTTTAGAATATAACTAGAACAAAATATATGGATGAGATCATAATATATGACAGGAAATGAAAAGAAAGAACATTGACTTGGAAAATATAAGCAGAGAAGCATACAAGCTACTTATATAAGAATATAGAAGAATAAGGATATATATGTAAAGAATTGAAGAAGGATAAGTATATAAAACCGGATACTCATTGAAAAGAATAGCTGGATGGTAAATTATTGAAAAGAGGAAACACGGCTCGTTACACTGTTAGTCCACATTAGGCTAATCAGCAATTTATTTCATTTACTTATACCCATTTTTAAGCTTTCGAAACTTAATGGTATACTTCAGTGTGAGTGTGTTAAGCGTGAAACCTGACTTGACTTGATTTGACGTCTGTAGATAAGGAAGAGGGCTATTGCTTGTGACCCACTTAAATACTTCTATCATATCTCCCCGCACTCTTCGTCTTTCTAGGGAATGCAAGTTAAGTTTCTTTAACCTATCCTGATATGGAAGGTTTCTAAGTCCCGGAATCATTTCGTCATTCTTCGCTGCACCGACTTCAGTGAATTGATATCCATTCTATAATACCCGGCTATGCAAGTTCTTGTGCTAAATCTCTGGGGGTTCTTGGCTACGCAAGTTCTTCCATGTATAATATATTATCACTACCTTTATGGCTTTTAGTTTATTAAGCTTACCACACAGATAACACTGGGATCACTGTCTGAAAAGAGCTACGTGGCACCTCTCATTCTTGTCTTGATATCACCCTCACAACACTTGGACTTTACCACAGTAAGAAACCTATTTTATGTTGTTGTTTTTCGTGTTTATTCGTACAATATTACCGACAAACAATTTACAAATTAACATTTCATAATTCACTCTAACTTTTGCTGATTTCTGCGTTTGTTATTATAGTCGCGTGTTTACTAATTAAATAAAAGAATTAAAGTCGATATATGTGTCACGTGGAATAAAGCTGACAAAAGCAAATACAGAATGTTGTGAATTTATCTAGATATACCTGGAATCATAGACAGTCTTAACTGCTAAAGTGTTGATCTTGTGTTCTTGCCTTGGTGAATGTGGCGAGCTACAGCTCCCGCGCCTGATGCTCCAGTGAACTATCAAATACCACTGACCAGAGCTTGGCGACCTTCCTCTGAGTGAAAGAGGAGGGGGGGTTGGATGGAGGGCGAGTAGGGAGGGGTAAGAAGTAGGACGATTAAGGGACGGAGGGGGGTGCAAGATAAGTGTGTTGTTGGTTGGGAGGGTATGGAACAAGGCCAACTGGCAGTATGTTATGTACGATAACAAGCCTCCTTGGGAAGTGTATACGTGCGAGTGTGATGGTTACGTCCGTGTTGTTGGTTGTTACGTAAGGAGTTCACATTATGGCCTCACATACAGGTAAGTAAACCAGGACTTCAGACAATAAAGCTAGGATTCCATTCAGGCGTTAGCGCCAAAAATAGATCACATTGAAATGTACACGGTTGTTTCCATTGGCACGGTTGCGCTAGCGGTAGCGTTAGCGTTATGCGTTTGCAGTACATGTCAATCGCTCCCTATAGCGATTGTAAACGGAAACGGTTGGAAACGGATGCGGTTATCCCACACTGTGACGTCACTATCCCTTTGTTTGCTCTTCTCACCCAGCTAAATGCCTCGAGGAAAAAAGTTTCTGTCGAGGAGACTGAGAAGTTGATTTCACTCAGAATATATCCTAACCTATTTTGTAATGCATTTATATAATGCATTTAAAAACCTTTACATATCATTTTACGAGATCCACGCATTTTTGACACAACTATTCTAAATTGAAGGTTCATGGTCTCAATACAAGGTTCACTGGAATACTAATTTTTATGTCACTTAATATTTATCTGCAGTTCCTAGTATTTCTTATTTATGAGCATAACTCACCTTACACTACTACTACGGACTGCCCAGTATGGGTCAATAGGCCCGCTGCAGTTTCCTCCATTCTTATGTTCTTATGTACTACTTTACTGTCACTCGGAATCGAATATGACGATCATCCAACTATGATACAATGATATGAGTTATTAAGGATGTCACCTTCATTAGTTGAGTTTTGAGGTGCCTAAAGAGGCCGATACGGGTCCTCCAGAGTCATTCACATGAGTTGCACATGTGGAGGGCTACATCGAGTGCGGGAGGGGCGGTGGCAGCGTCTTTCCGGCGTTGGCGCTTGTCTGCCTCGGTTTGCAGTCGGGCTAACTCGAAAGTATTCAAACCTTCTCGTGTGGTGCTCCTCCAAACGTTACGATGTGGAGTACTCGACTCCCAGGTGAGGGGGTCGATTTGGCACATTTTCAGGTTTGTCTTAAGACTATCCTTTTACCTTTTCAGTAGCCCGCCGGCGTTACGTTTACTATTCGTTAAATTACTGTAAAGTAGCTGCTTTGGCAGTCTACTGTCGTCCGTGCGGGTAACATGCCCAGTCCAGCGTAGTTGTTCATGGATAATGGTAGCTTTGATGCTCCCACAGTGCCTGTATGTGACCCATCTCTCACTGCCATATAGCAGGGTGGGGATGACCACTGCTCGATATACTTATAACTTTGTAGATAATTTCAGCTCCCTACAGCTGAAGACACGGTTTCGGAGTCTGCCAAAGGCTTGAGATGCACATCTGATCCGATGTTGAATCTCTTCATCGATGTCCGTCCTGGTGGACAGGTGGGAGCCAAGATACCGAAAGTGGGTAACATTAGAGAGGGTAGTTCCGTTAAGCTGGATGGATGGTGGGGGTGTGTCTGAACCAGGGGCAGGTTGACAGAGAATCTGAGTCTTACGTACATTCACCTTAGGGCCAAAGTGTGCATAGTCATCAGCGTAGGTGTTCATTTGGGCAAATGACTTCTCTGTTCCTGCAGTGTTTCAACAAATCCTCGTCAACCAGGAAAAGAACATGTACGAACTGTTGCCTGCTCAGACGAAAATATTCTTTGAATTTTTCTTCATCCAAGCTTAGGTCTTTTACCACAGTAGTGTAGGTAGTAGGTAGTAGGCAGCTCTCAAACAGGGAGGTACTACCACCTGGGAATATATTGGAATCATAATGCACTGTCCAAACACAACAATTGTGACCACGTCCTAGGTTGCTGATATGACTTTCTGTCTCATTTACACACAATTGCAGGGTCTCAATTGTTTATCTTACTTTAACAACACAACATACAAACTGTATATTGTTTCTCACTATTGATCTTTTTTATTTTATTATTATTATTATTATTTCATTTTTATTATTGTTGTTATTATTATTATTATTATTATTATTATTATTATTATTATTGTTATTTTTATTATTGTTATTTTTATTATTGTTATTATTATTATTATTATTATTATTATTATTATTATTATTATTATTATTATTATTATTATTATTATATTTCTATTTAATATTTTTTTAATTTTGTATCAATGTATATTTTTATTCATTTATTTATTATTATTATTTTTTTTTTGCACCCCCTACATCCTTGTTTAAGGTGAAGCGCAGAAGCGTTTACAGCGCCCAACAGGGAAGCATGCTAAGTTCATGCTTGCCTTTATGTCTCATGAGTTAATGGCGTAGAAGCCTGAAGAGTCAAGGGCGTAGAAGCCTGAAGAGTCAATGGTTTAAAGTTATTGGAAGCTCCAACAACTCCCTGAATACGAATTCGCAACTTTCGACTTACAACAGGTACCTACATTACTGATAGGTGAACAGGGACTAACGGGGGCTAGGAAGTATGTCCAAACAACTTCCACCGGCCCGGGAATCGAACCTGTGTTATTATGTTTTCGCCCCCAAGCCCTGATGTGGGTCATTGACCTGTGCCCTGGTGGGCTAATCCCGTAAAAAAAGGGCTCCATATTTGGTCCGACTCAGCAGCAATCTTTGAACCCACCATTTATGTTTCCTTGTCCGTTTTTGTCTTTGCTTTAAGCTTGATCTTATACAAACCCAGGATGTTTAGTTGCAAATCATCCTGTTCATATAAATAACGTCGTAGCTTCGATACACTTGACGCCACCTTTCCTGTCCTGTTCCCACTAGAAAGACAGCTGCATGTATGTGGAAACAGGGGTGTCCGTTTTTCAAAAATTTTACGCAAGCACATCCTGCTAACGTATACCGCAAAGTACAAAGAACATAAGAACATAAGAAAATAAGGAGTCTGCAAAAGGCCGGTTGGCCTGTGCATGGCAGCTCCTGTCGAGAGTTACTACCACTCTCTATCATCCATGAATCTATCTAGCCTCCTTTTGAAACTTTCCAGCGTTCCAGCACTTACTACAAAGTTGCTAAGCTTGTTCCACTCGTCCACCACCCTAATTGTGAACCAGTTTCTTCCTATCTCCCTCCTAAACCTAAACTTATCCAACTTGAATCCGTTGCTCCGAGTCCTATCCTGCTCGGATATTATAAGAACTTTATCTATATCCCCTTTATTGATTCCTTTCACCCACTTAAATACTTCTATTATATCTCCCCGCTCTTCGTCTTTCTAGGGAATGCAAGTTTAGTTTCTTTAACCTATCCTGATATGGAAGGTTTCTAAGTCCCGGAATCATTTTTGTCATTCTTCGCTGCACCGACTCTAGTGAATTGATATCCATTCTATAATAAGGGCACCAGAACTGAACCGCATAATCGAGGTGCGGCCTGACTAGCGCAAGATATAGTTGCAATAAGACCTCTGCACTCTTGTTACTTACACTTCTAGATATAAAACCCAATACTCTGTTTGCCTTATTTCGAATATTAACGCACTGTTTTCTAGGCCGTAGTTCCGGGCTTACAAGTACCCCTAGGTCTCTTTCACAAGTCGACTTCTCTAGGTTGTTGTTGTTAAGGCTGTATACATTATAAGTATTTGTTCTTCCAGTATTAAGTACTCTGCACTTGCTGGTGTTGAATTTCATTTGCCATTTTTCAGACCACCCCTGCAGTTTATTTAGATCCTCCTGTAATGCATTTGCATCCTGCCCTGAATTAATTTGCCGCCCTATTTTGGTGTCATCCGCAAACTTGCTTATGTCACTGCTGATTCCTAGTATCTAGATCGTTTATGTAGATTATGAACAAGAGTGGACCTAGTACTGACCCCTGGGAACCCCACTGGTTACACGGCCCCACTCAGGTTTAACACCATCTACGCTGACCCTCTGCGTTCTATCGGTGAGCCATGATTTTATCCAATTTAAAACTTTCCCCTCGATACCATGAGCCTTAATTTTTCTCAGAAGCCTCTGATGCGGTACTCTGTCAAATGCTTTGCTAAAGTCTAAGTAAATAACATCGTAATTTTTCGTCATTATCTACTACCTCGAAGACTTTCCTAAAAAACGTTAGCAGATTTGTTAGACAAGATTTTCCCTTTGTAAACCCATGTTGAGAGTCGTAGATTAATTTGCTTTTCTCTAGATGCGATCGGATGCTATCTGCTATAATTCAAGAAATTTCCCCACTACTGACGTCAAACTGATCGGCCGGTAATTTGACGCTGATGCTCTGTCTCCCTTTTTGAATATGGGTACTACATTTGCCTGTTTCCACAAGTCTGGCACAACTCCAGTGTCTAATGATTTTGTAAATAAGTTTATGAGGGGTCCGCTAATCTGTTCCCTCCACTCTTTCAAGACTCGAGGGAAAATTTCATCCGGCCCTGGGGATTTTGTTTTCTTTAGTTTATTTATCCTCTTAAGAACATCCTCTTTTCTGATAGTGATATTCTTTAATTTCTCTTCTTCCTTTCCCTTAAATATCAGTTCCACCTCTGGAATTTCATCGCAAATTTCTTCTGTGAAAACTGATAAGAAGTAGCTGTTCAATGCTTTGCTTATTTCTCCACTGCCATTTATCAATTCTCCCTTCCCTGACTTTAAAGGCCCAACTTTGTCCTTGACCTTTGTCCTATATACCTGGAAAAATACCTTGGGATTCGCCTTGAATTCTCTTGCTATTTTGATTTCATAGTCTCTCTTTGCTTTCCTTTACATTTTTCTTAACATTCCTAGATAGTTCATTATACCTATTTCTGAGCTGCTCCTCCCCACCCTTCAATTTCTTATATATTGACCCGTGTTTTCTTCTTTCTTTGTGGTTATCAGCATATACCTAGATCACGCGCACCTACAGTGATTTACTTGCACACACACACACACACACACACACACACACACACACATATATATATATATATATATATATATATATATATATATATATATATATATATATATATATATATATATATATATATATACCCCTGATTTTTATCTAAAACTGGAATCATAATACAAATCATAAGTGAATTAAGAAACTACAGCATTTATTAAGTTGAGCTTGATATACAAATGCGTTATAACAACAGACGAGACAGCTAGTACCGTAGCGCCATCTCTTGACCTAAGTCTTAGGTTCGTTAACGTTAGAACATGTGGTAACTGGTAAAGCCAGTCAGCTTAGGTTCGTTAACGTTAGAACATGTGGTAACTGGTAAAGCCAGTCAGCTTGCTCCTCTTATTATGTTTGTAACGTGTCAAAACAAAACAGGAGACATGTGCTGATCAAGCTTTGAGAACTATCAGTTATTTCTCTCTTATATGAGCAAAATAGGGATTTAAAATTAGCACAGAAGATAACCTTGATCGGGTTTGTGTTTTAACTGTGGTGTTGGAGTGACAGGTTGGTCCGAGTGGCAGGTTCCCGGTGTCAGCTGGTAAGGCTCTAGGTTGGTTTCTCTAATTTTATAAATGTTGTATTTGTGATAGGTATGGATGAGTTAAGTATACTAATAAGAAAGATTCATATAATATTAGATAAGGTAAAATATATGCATTTTAGAAGAAAGATTAACATAATATTGGTTATTAGGTCAACGGATACACCCCATTTCGTCACCAACCCTCTGTTCGTCATCAAATAAATCCATGAATAGAAATTACACATGTATACATATGACTCGAGAATTATTGTTATTATTATACATGAATATTATTTATTTAATAAAGGAAACTATTAAAACTGGTAAATAAACAAAATACAGAACAAATGCAGGCCTATTGACAATGTTTTTATTTTTTCCCATTAGTCTTTAATAAATTGTTTTAGTGAGATGCTTGTATGAGTAATAACGTTTTTATTTTCGTATTTATTAAATTGTCTTTGTGAGATGCTTGTATGATGCAATGTATTGTTATGAGAAGCATAATTTTGTATTACAATTTTGAAATCTATGTGTTTTGATTATTTTCTATCTCAAGCAACAGTTATTTTGGCAAATGTAGTGAAATTTTCGTGTAAGTATATATTGATGTATTAATTATGTAAGAATTTTCTGGAATGTATTGCGGTAAATTTGCATTGTCACATCATTCTCTGTTAGAAAGTCAAAAATATATTTTTCTAGCGTAGTTGTGTGTGTTTAGACCAAATATGACCTTCATTTCTGGCGGAAATTGGCCGGGTTTTTTTTCGTTGGACGTTTTCCGAAAAAAATCATGGCAAAAAACATTAGAAAAACCTAACCTAACCTAACCGACTCTCACCATATGGTGGAATCACCTATTTCTTGCCTTATTGGCCTGGTTCTTGTTCGTCTTTGCATTCTGGGATTCTTACCCAATGCCACATATGTTGGTCTTTGCGATATTTACATTCAGCCTTGCTCTTAGTACACTTTCCTGAGGTTGGAAGACCACCATGCAATCGAAAAAGTGCTATTGTTTCTACGTTTTTTTTTCCCAAAAACTCGCAATCAGCTCCATATACTTTAAGCGACACCCATCGCAGACTTCCATGGTCGAAACTGAAATTGAATTTCAAAATATGAGAGACCCAAAATAAAACTTGAATTTGATTGGGCCAAATATACTGCGAATTAAACCCAAAATCATTTTAATCGGTTGAAAAACAAAAACACTTTTGATTGGCTGCGTGACGTGTATGGGAACGCATGCGCGTGATGATTTATGAAGGAGACCCGCAGTGTTGGAGGTGAGGCAGGCGATAATGGAGGAAGATTAATGGAAGAATATAGAGAAAATTTTGGATATGCTATCTCCGTTATTATACATTTCCGCCGGTAATGTAATAGATGAAAATTCTCTTATAATTTTGAATATGATAATAGATTAGTGGTAGGAATGAACGGTGTGTAAACGCAATAATACCTGTATTGCATCATTTTTTTTTATGATTTAATTGTTATTGTAAGCCTCGAAGACAATTGTTGTGCAAGTATTGTGGAATTGTGATTAATATAAAGTGAGAAGACTGAGGAATTGTGCACTGGTAGTGTGCTGACTATATATTCGAAGTGTGGGTAAATTTATAGTAGTTCACATAACCCTGTTAGAAAGTCAAAACTATGTTTTCTAGTGCATGTTTTGTGTGTTTTGATTGGTTCTGACCTTGATTTCCGTCGGAAATTTCTTCTTTTAGTTATCGCCCCCCTTTACCCCCAACAAGATAGGAGATCCTGTTGGGAACCGGGGTTTAGGGTGGGGCTTTTTCCGACAAAAATCACAGCCAAGTGAAAACAAAATACACCAAAAAACACAAGAGAACTGAATAAACTAACATTTTGGGGGATAACCTAACCTAACATGATCTAAACTAACTCTCACGGTGTTTTTACATAACCAGACTCACCATATCACTTATTTCTTATCTTAATCTGAATTATAATCTTTATTGAGGTCGGGAGAACACCATTCGTAACCCGGGGATTGCCTGTAGTTTATAAGCCTGTGCCCCTGTATTGATTTTTTTTAAGGGTCTTTTGCAACTAAGGCTATCTTGCCCCTATGCATAAGTGTGAATGATAAACAAAGGGGAAGATTAGATTATCCATAAAGTAATCATTGTTTAATACCATAATAATGATTCCTGACAAATAGGTTGGGACTTGTACTTTATCTATACATTAGAGTACAGTATTATTCTTTTATGGTCACTTCTTGTCTCAGTAAATTGTGATTTTTAAAGTACTTTACAAATAATTGAACGTGTAAATGTCTTAACTGTACAGTACTTTTTGATGACACATGCTGTTGATGTAAATTTAATTTGAAGTAGTTTCTAATAAGTTATTTCATGCTCATGACAGAGGATGCCACTCTCTAGGGAGGAGGAAGAGGCTTTAAATGATCACTTTCTGGTCAACAGCTACGTGGAAGGTTTCACCACAAGCCAGGCTGATGCAGTTTTATTTTACCACTTTAAATCGACTCCCAGCCAAGACCTTCATAACCTTCACCGCTGGTATAAGCACATAGCCAGTTTTGGTAGTGATATATCTAAGTTTGCCGGCCATAAAAGAAACAACTTGACTCTCTCTTTGAATGGAAAAAAGGTTAGTTGATGGCAATTGAAATTAGTTCAATATAAAAGACAGTGTTGATGTACCTGCTATACAGTATTTGCTTCTTTTATGCACTCTTCTGTCTGTGGTATAGATCTTACAAAGGGTCTTGTGATGTAAGCCAGTGTAAGACAAAGAGAGAAGTTAATGCATGTACTGTGGTAGTTACCTCAGACACTGTTTCTTGTGTATTCTGCATGTACAGATGCACTGAAAAGCCATACTGAAGTTAATTTGCTTAAGAGTTCTGCATTGCTAACCCATAAGCCCCGGGTTAGGGGTGCTGCTGGCAGTACAGGGGGGGGGGGTATAAATCAAGAAAAAATCGACTTAAAAAAAAACAGTGGCGGGAATAGGCGGACGTTCTGGAACGTCACCTGGGGCCTATGGGTTAAGGTTGGCCATCATCAATCTTTAGTAAATGCTGTACAATACACTAGAGACAAGTAGACAAAGTTTATATTACTGTAATATACAGTATTCTTTTCACATAAATTTATTCACAGCTACATGTCTTGAAACCAGAAATATCAATCTTTTTTTTTTCGTGTTTTTTTTCTTTTTATCATCTGGTTTTAATAGTGATTCTTGTGTAGGGAGTGGAGTTGTGTTCTGATGTGTGTGCAGTAGGTTGCTCTACAGATGCCATAGCTACTTCATTCCTGAGCAGTTGCTTCAAGTATATAAGGGATTCATTCGTCCTAACTTGGAGTACTGCTCATATCTGGGGTGGCTCTTCTTCTGTCCAACTGTTAGATAGGGTGGAATCAAAGGTATATCTTCTTATTGACTCTCCTCCTTTAGTTGATAATCTTTCTTCCCTTTCTCTTTGCTGCAATGTTGCTTCACACACACTCTTTTACAGGTACAGTACTTTAATAGGCAATGCTCGGTGGATTTGGCATCCTGTGTACCTCCGGTAAGACCATAGGCTCGTAACACTCGTCTTGCCCGCGGTGCCCACCGTTTCTGTGTGGATGTCGGTCACACTAGAATAGCCCATTATAGTACATCCTTCTTTCCTCACACAGCCAAATTGTGGAATGCTCTGCCTTCTTCTATATGTTTCCGTACTTATACAATCTGTCTCACTTCAAAAAGCTAGTTTTCCTGCATCTTTGTGGTGTAGATTAATATAATCTTTTTCATTTATATTTTTAATTTCTTTTTACTCTTATTTTTTTGCCCCCTAGGCCCCGTTGTGGGTTGATGACCTGTGCCGGGTGGGATGTTCCCCGTAAAAAAAAAAAAATTAGACAAACCAGCTTTGGGCGATGGTTCACTGTACATGTACTGTATTTTATTTTATTTTTATTTTTTTTTTAACACGTGCTTCATTAAGTCTTAGAATTTTACACGTTTTTAATGTCATAGAAGGTACACTAAATTTAATTCTACCTCTGTGTGGTAATCAATATTGCTACGTAACTGAGACCACAAACTTTTTTATTTATTTTTTATTCAGTCATCTGACCTCTAGTCTTGTTTTGGCCACAGAGTTAGCAACCAAAGCATTATTAATATTAGTTGTTGTTATTACCACCGTACAGAAGAACGTCGATTTAAAGCGATTCAATTTAAGGTTAATTATTTAAAGGGACACCCACAATTAAGGACAATGTTTTAATTTAAAGCGAATCTGTCCTATTTTGCGCAAGTCAATCTGATGCATCATATTTTAAAATTCGCGCCTAATGTTTCTCTGGGCACGCTTCACTGTCCTTAGGGCAAAGCTGTACAGTACTGTACATGTACTCAAAATAATGTACTAAATGGTTACGAAAATTTTTGTCTAGTGCAAACTATTGCATGATTATATTCAAATTAATCACTATCTTATAAGTATTCCAGCAATGTAAATTATATTCTCCCCGGTCTTTTCTGTGACAGTTATAAACAAAAAACAAAAACTCAATCTATAGGACATAAACAAATAAATACTTCACTGGACCTTCGGCGCAACTGTCAAACGTGTCGCCTCCCCTTCCTCCCTCCCTCTCCCCCATTTTCCCAGCCAGGGTTGGGTGGTTATAGGCTTACAGTTTTTATCATATATAATATCACAGATTAAAGTTAGGAGAATATAATTTGCATTGTTAGAATCCTTGCAAGACAGCAAATAATTTTAATATAAACGTCATATATTTTGCACAAGAGATAAAAATTTTAGCCCTTTGTAATAAAATTAATTAGAACATGTCAGTTCAATGACATTTTATAAGAGAAAAACTTCGTCACTCCTAAGGACAGATAAATAAATAAGCACTAGACCTGAGCATCAACTGTCAAACATATCACCTCACCTCACCTCTCCCCCACCCTCCCCCACCCTCCCCCCTCCCATCTTCAGCTGATCGCTAGTAAACAGACCATTTCACTTCCCATAATTTTAGAGGTATTGATTTATGAATGTTTGTTTTAACATAATACAGTGGTCCCTCGATTAACGAACACAATTGCCTCCACAGAATTGTTTAACTAAATCTATTATTTCAATGGGAAATTGGGTAATTGGTTCCAACTCACAGAAAAAGTACATACCGTACAAAGTACTGTACAGTATACCGGTAATAGAATTAACAAATCATTAAATATAAACTAAATACAATACTGTACTGTACATTATACTGTATAATAATAAATAAAAAACAATAGAATACTTTATTTTAACTTACTTTGAGGTGTGTGTGTCGTATTACCGGCAGCTTTGTTGACATATCAAACAGCTAATTGTAGAGGCAGTCGATGATGACATGCCATGTTCTTTACAGAGTGCATTGGTTCTAATGCCTTCTTCATGATTCATAATAATTTCTGCACTGTATATTATCAATATGTGAACTAAATTTCAGAATGACCAATAATTTTAATGTAAAATTGCAAAAATATTCAAGAGACCAACAAACTGGATGTTCACTCCACTGTAAACAAAGTTAAACTGAGAAGCGTTGGTGGGTGATTCGATCAGTTGATCGGCACACAAAAACTGTTCCCTGTTCCCTGTTAACTAAATTAGAATGACCAATAATTTTAATATAAAAAATGCAAAAGTATTCAAGAGCACAACTTTCTTGATATTTACTCCACTGGAAACGAATGTTAACATAGAACCAATTTCTCTATTGGCGGACTAGCCGATCAGCTGATGCGCACAACAAAGCGTGTTTCTCGTAAGGCTTTCATTAATGGAATTAAAAATCCTTATGGGAGCTAATTCGTTAACCGAAATTTCATTAATTGAACAGTTCGTTAATCAAGGGACCATTGTACTACAAGAAACAATGATTTGTTTATTCTAGGAGATGGGCTGAGGTACATCTGGATAGACTCTTAGTCTTTTTAGTATTTTGTTTCTCTCAAGTACCAAACTAAATTATTCCATTGGAACAACACATCGATTTAGTGCGAATTTGGTTGAAAGTGACCTCTCTTGGAACGTATTTCGTGTTATATCGATGTTCTACTGAATTAGTATTATTATTATCTGTATTTTAATCTCTATCTCTCAATAGAACACAAGTCTTTTCCTCCTATAATTCATTGATAAGTACTGTAGTATAGTAATTGGGCATGCTTTACTTTACATGTAATATATAGGATGATATTTTTATAGTTGGTGGATTCTCAGATAACAATCGCGATGGAGAACAACAGTGAGAAGCAAATTAATGGCGAGGAAGGCACGGAGCAACAGGAGCAGAAAACAGCTGAGGACATTGTTGACCCGTGGAATGTACAGGCATCTAGTAATAAGGGCATTGACTATGATAAGTTGATAGGTAAGCTGTTTTAGTAGTTAATTTGTTTTATATATAGTACCTGTACTGTACCAGTATTTGAATGCAGTATTTGCCTCTTCTTTTTAAGTACAGTACTTGTACTGTATAGTGAAACCTCGTTAATTTGAATTTGGGGAAAGGTGATCCAGATTATTGCAAATTTCAGAGCACAAAGGTCTACCACATAGAAGTAAATGACATTAACAGATGTAATTCAAAAACACAATAGTATCCTGTAAAATACGAATACCCTTTAATTCCAAAGAGCTCCTGGCTTCTGAAGGTGGTGTAGAGGTATTGATGGTAGGTAGTGAGGTACACTTTACACTATCATATACTACAGTACAATACTACTCCCTCACAAATCACTTATACTATTCAGTACACTAATTTTAAGTCGCTCTCAAAGGTCTGCCCTTAAACACTTATAGTTTTTCATCAGACTCATTATATTGTAATATCTGTTAAGGAGGTTCAGGAGAAGGTGTAGTAATGACAGAGATCTGACTTGCCACTAAGACTTGAACCACAATGGAAAGAAATAGAAGGACCAGGAATTGACACATTACTCACCGCATGATCTGGATTAAGTGCTATCCAGTTCATCTGCATCCGAATTAATGGGGATTCACTTTATTTAATTCAATTAGTGTTCTCTATAATATATCCCCCCTTCCCATCTCCCATAATCCAGGAAAAAAATATATTGATGCATTGATTTCTTTTATTGTTCTCATTTGTTATTGAAAACATGTAATTCATTAGAACTCTGTGCCTAGACAGATTTGGGTCTTCTCGTATTGACGATACTCTCTTGGAAAGATTTGAGAAGCTCACTGGACAGAAGCCTCACCACTTTCTGAGACGAGGGATATTCTTCTCACATCGGGATATGCACAGGTGAGTGTTTCATACAACTTGATATATAATGGAAGAAAGTCAAACAGCTTATATGAGTAATTTTATCAATTCTTAAAGTTATGTATTTGATTTTATTAATGATTATGTAAGAAATTTGGGCAATTAATTCTTCGCAGATGATATATTCAGTATTTCTTGTAGTGAGAGAGAATGTGTGGTAACACTCACATGGCACCACTTCATTGTCACCTGATGTATGTAATTGTTCAAACTCCTCGTTTCCCTTCTATTGCATGCTGATTTCTTGTTTTTTTGTTTTTTTTGTTTTTTTTTACCTTCTTAATTATTGGTTTATCCTTACTTGAGAAGCCCTCGGTCATCTCTTCTCTTTGTGTTTATACATGGTAAATCCTCAACTTCTGTTATATGGCAAGTCACTGAGACTCTGCGCCGAGCCGAGAGAGCGTAGCGGGGCCAGATAAGAGAGGGTGACACGCCACAGAAAGAAGTCTGTGACGACGCAAAACGACGTAGTATTGGATCACCGGGACGTTTTGGTCTCTAAAGTTTAGCGACTTAGTACCGAAACAACGTTTAGCGCGGACTACCTGTATACTATATACAGTTAAGTCCTTTTGTATGGAAGAATTAATGAGGCTGATGGCTTCACTTAGTATGTTAAGCCTTGGAAGTAATCTAGAGGTTAAGGATTCACATTATATATACCATTTCAAGTTTTTCTAAAAGAGTTTCAACCCCCCCTTTTTTTTCATATGCACTTTTCATGAACTGTATCACTCGTCTGTAATATTCCCTCCCATTCTTGATACAGGTACAGTATTTCTATGTCCTTAGATTACTGTATGCATATTGATGTGGCAGAAAGGTAATACAGTAGTGTAGATAAGATGTTGAATATATTTAGAACTCTTTTATGTTTGTGGTATTGTTGATTTCTATACAGGTCTTAGTATGACAGTAAATCCAAATTAATATACTGTAATTTTCATAACATATGGATAAGACTCTAGAACTGGTCATTGTCAGAATCATCCCTGACTAGTAACAAGCTCAGTGTAGTGTAAGCATCCTGATTCTATATTATTTCAGTATTTACATTTTATATTTTCTTTTTATTTCAGAATTCTTAACCTGATTGAAGCAGGCAAGAAATTCTTCCTTTACACTGGTCGGGGTCCATCATCAGAAGCCATGCATCTAGGGCACCTCATCCCATTTCTTTTAACTAAGTAAGTGGTAATTTGGTTAAAAATTATTTACAGAGTACTGGTACAGTTGAACCTCTCCAATTTGGTAAACTTTGGACCTGAGGAGAGCTGGATCATAGAATTATCTGGTTCATGGGAGTTTACACATAAGGTATAAGTTACTTACAGAACCACAATATAGTACAGTATGAGGGCTGCTACTGCCACCCTTCATGAGGGCCTGTGTGCCAGTAACAATTCCTTTTACTCTTATATATCACCATTGGTAGCGTGACGATAGGAGGCTCGTGGGTAGGTGTAATGATAGTATCAAGCAATAGGGAAGAAATAACGGTAAATACTGTAGGTAAATAATATACACAATTATACAAATACAAAGTTTATTTAAACATGAATATGAAATTAGAAGAAAGAATTGGTTTGTACTAACAGACGAAATCTATTACTAGGCCCTCAGGCTCAACATACTCACACCATTACTGGGTGGACATATTCAATACCCTTCCAACCCTACGGGGTGGACATACTCAATAACACAACTATGATAGTCACTTAGCACCATAAATACTAGGCAACTGCCACTACAACACTCAGTCGTCAGGAGTGATACTCAAGCAACAGCCATGGGGTCCAGCCACCATGGAGTACTATCCGACGAACTCTGGAGATCCCAGTGGGTTAATTCCACCACACAAATATAGCCCTACTGAGGTAGACATTCATCCACCAATGATGGGGGCTGGTAGTGGTGTGTGGCTTGGTGGTCCAGGGTCACCTCGTGGACCGAGCGTTAGGGCCAGACGAGCCAGCTATGGGGGCTATAGGTGGTCTGAAGTGTCTGACGGCCGGGTCTCACGAAGGTAACTGATCCTACTGGACCTCGGACATGTCCCCAGACATAGTGGATACAACATCCACCCTACAGACACGGCCTAGGCTGCGTTAGGGACCTGTATGGATGAAGGGACGGGCACTTACTAACTGGTGACAACAACAACACGTTTCAGGGGACGTTAAAGACGTAAATATGACTTTACTCAGAGCATATCAACTACGTTACTGTAACACTTGCACAATCAACTATTAATTGGGTCAAATCACTTAAAGAAGGGCAAATTACAACACAGCGTGGAATGGCATACCTGTATGGATGAAGGGACGGGCACTTACTAACGGTTAAAATGCCCGCGGCGCCCTCACTCAAACTAGGCCAGGGAGTCCAGCTACTCCTATTCCAATGAATTAATTTACGGTACCCTCTGACGTTGAAATTGAGACTATGAACTCCTTTTCATTCTCTACTATTATCTTCACTAACAATGCTCTGACTCAGCTATCGAAAGCAGAATTAAATTGATTACAAAGGAATGGATGGCAACAGGTCCCAGCATACAGCGTCTGCTCCCATAGACAAAGGCGGGGGAAACAGAGAAAACGGGGGACGTTTCCACTGGGGGACTCGGAAGGTTTTGTGGACGTTTGAGCGTAATATGAATCCTTAAGGTTTTCAGGTTAGCTCTTATCATGACCATTACAACAGTACCATACAGTACTTGTAACATAAACTTAATCTACTGTACATTTTACCTGTTGCAGCAGCTTGGTAGCACATAGCTTTTCTGTTAGTGGATGTTTATTGAACAGTTGAACCCATGATCGTAAGTATAACTTTTTCTAGTGAGGTAAATGATTATGCACTCATTGTCATTTTTCTTGTCATTGCTTGTTTCATGTTTTAAAGGTGACAGAGGCATCAGCTATATCAAGACGAAGGTTGTCAACAGTTAGCCAGATGTTGTTTCCCGAGAAGTTTTGCTAATTACTATTGTAACTGTAGGGACATTCAGTATATTAATAGATTTAATGCATTTTATCACAGTTGTCATACAGTATATGTATTTGTTTGGTCTATCAAACTCAAAAACATATTGTTAAAACCCTGGTTCTTTGTTTTGATTGCAGCTGTTAAATCCACAATGTCAAATATATCTCCTGCTGAAAAACACATAAAATAATGAGTCTGTTCTGCAGTATTTACAAACATTCTTTATGGTTTCCAATTTAATTGCTACTGTTTAACCCAAAATATATGCTATGTCTTCAGGTGATACAATTAATTACACTTGAATATTATTACAGATGGCTCCAGGATGCATTTGATGTCCCCTTGATAATCCAGCTGACTGATGATGAGAAGTACCTCTGGAAGGACCTGAAGTTGGAACAATGTAATAAACTTGCTTATGAGAATGTAAAGGACATCATTGCAGTTGGATTTGATATGAACAAAACATTTATATTCTCAGATATTGATTTTCTTGGTGGAGAATTTTATAAGTAAGTATTATATTTTTTCACACACATTCCGGGTAGTTATTAATCATACTGTACTGTACTTAAAAACCTCATCAATGTCGCTTTCTAAAGACAAGTTTATGTACAGGGGAAACTTGTTGGTTGAAGGTATTGGATCATCTTTAGGGAGTGAAGAGGCAGCACTGGTGGGGCGTGAGGAGACAGCAATGGGGGACTTCTTAAAATAGATGTCCAATTTAGACTGCACAGTTTGCTTTTTCTTTTCATCGTAAATTTTCGTATAGCAAGCAAGTGCATCTTGGACCATTCTGTTAACTTTGGCAAAACGCTCATAATTTTGATCCATTCCCCTTATTAATTGTAGCAAATGCCTCTGCCATTTGCTTCACTGAAAAATTTTGGGGGGGTTCAGGTTCTTCTTCTACATTTCGACTCGCTTCTTCCTCTGCATTTTTGTGTGCTTCCAGTTCGATAAGATCCTCATTACTTAGCTCTTCTGTTACACTTTCAACCAACTGTTCAACATCTTCATTATCAATTTCTAACTGAAGCTGTTTACCTAACTCCACTATCTTGTTACTGATCTCAGAAATAACTTCATTTTCATTAAATCCTCTGAAACTGTTCACATATCTTTTCAGTATTTTCTTCCATATTCCATTCATGCACTGTTGTGTAGCCTCATCCCATGTTGCAATAATGTTCTTTATACATGTCAAAATGTTGTAGTCCTTCCAAAACTGTCTGAGCGTTTTCTCACCTTCAGTAGCAGCAACAGCCTGAGCGAAGGTCGTACGTAAATAATTTGCTTTAAAAGCTGCAATAGCACCGTGATCCATGGGTTGGATGACAGAAGTAGTGTTATGTGGAATGTAGACCACCTTAACATCAGGGTGCATGTCGTCCAGGTGTGGTGGGTGGTCTCGGAGCATTATCTAAAATCAGCAAAATCTTGAATGCATTCCCTTGTTGCAGACAATACTCCTTGGCTCGAGGAAACAATTCATGAACCAATCCTTAAACAGTACTAGGGTCATCCAGGCTTTCTTGTTACTTTGATAAAACACTGGCAGTGTGTGCTTGCTGACATGTTTAAAAGTCCTGGGGTTCTCTGAATGATAGATCATGAAGGGCTTGATCTTGAAACCAGCAACATTCCCCCCTAACAGAAGTGTAATTCGGTCCTTGAATGCCTTGAATTCTGGCATTGTTTTCGCCTCTTTGTGGGTGTATGTCCGTTCAGGCATGCGCTTCCACAATAATCCAGTTTCATCTACATTGAATATTTGCTCAGGCAAATAATTTCCTTCCACAATCACACGATCTAGCTCTTCCTTAAAAGCTTCGGCAGCACCAACATTAGCACTAGCTGCCTCTCCACTCACCTTAGCATTATGTAAACTGTAGTGGTTCTTAAATCTGTTAAACCACCCATGACTTGCTGTGAAGGTTTGGTCGCACTCATCTCCTGCTTGCTCCTTCAGGCTTTCGAACAGGCTTCTTTCCTTAGCCTGTAATGTTAGAAGGCTTAAGGGTACACACTTCTGTATCTGGTCTTCCATCCATATCACCAATAATTTTTCCATCTCGTGAATGGGACCTTGTCATTTCTTCGTAATTGTAGTTCCCTGTATAGGTGCTGATCCTTTCCCTACATCACGAATACGTTCCTTGTCCTTCAGAATAGTGGATATGGTCAAGTGCGAAAACCCTAGGTCGTGTGAAATTGTTGCTACAGTTTTTCCATTTTCAAACTGCATTATTATCTTCATTTTCGTCTCAAAAGTAATAGACTGTCTCCTTTTCTTCTGAGCACCACCAGCACACCTCTACATCACTTCTTAATACTTTGTACCATATATTATTACTTAAATCTTGTCACAACACAGTATTTACGGTTGAGAGATGCATGTTAGTGGATAAAGTATTTAATAATATGCCCATGAGTGTGATGCATGTTTTTGTTGGTTCACTACCTGACCCTCACTTTATGCTGTGGTTGCATTCTGTGACAACACAGCATAATGGGAATCCACAAATAGTGAATACTTAATCTTATGGGGAAATTTAGGATATGTTCCACAACGACTAAAAGTCAACAGTAATGCTATAAAAGTTGTGGAAAAATCATTACAAAACTCTAATGTGGGTTGAAAATAAATATAATACAATATATAACTATAAACTAAGACATATGAAGTGCATGGATGTTTGTGTAGAAAGTGTGTCTGACTCACCACTCCAGCCGCGTCCCGTGATGTCACATACAGCGCAGTGCACACACACACACACACACACACACACACACACACACACACACACACACATTGTGCCATGTTTCACAACCATTTCTAGAGCACTAATGCTGTAAAAGTTGTGGAAAAATCATTCAAAATACTCTAATGTGGCTTATAAATGAAGATAATATAATAACAATATAAAACTTTTGTGCCATACCTTCTATAGAATGCATAATAGGGAATCTTTTCCACATAAAATGAATTATGGGTAGAAATAGGGCCACCGCAAAAACGCGAATTCGTATACAGTGAATGCACATAAAGCGTAGGTCCAGTGTACCACAACGTTGACGTCTGTTGACAGTTGAGAGTCCAGTGGCTGTTCCCCTGAACGTTTTACCCCCTCCCAGACTGTGTGTATTTATATTGAGTTTTATCGGTGATATGAATTATTTGGGATTTATCTAGCCATATAAACTGTACAGTAGTTTGTTACCTATTGTGCTATATTTTTTATCATTTGATTCTGTTTGCCACACAACAAAGAAACATGAAAATACTTCACTTAAAGCAAATTTCATCTTTGACTTTGACCTTTTAAGATATTTAAAAATTTCTAACATTCTCTCTGAATTGCTAATGCTTTGAAATCTTTTGCATTTTGATAGTCCAGTTATTAAACATTATTTTAGAGAATAACAGGTCTGCTTACCAGTTGTGAACTTGTTTAGTTTGAATAAATGGACTGCTACACGAACATTTCTTTGAACCAATCGGCTATTTCTAGCTATAGATGAGAGGCATGGCTTACGGGCCAGGTTAGCATGGAAATACTATAACCTGCCTTTTAGTATAATTAATGTAAAATAAAATTTGACTTTTTTTTTATATTCATCTTCTTTTACCCCCAGAAACATTTTAAGGGTTCAGAAGCATGTTACGTTCAACCAAGTCAAAGGAATATTTGGGTTTGATGAATCGTCTAACATTGGCAAGATCATGTTTCCCGCTATTCAGGCAGTTCCAAGCTTCTCATCCAGTTTTCCTTTCATATTTGGTGAAAAGAAGGATATTCCCTGCCTCATTCCCTGTGCAATCGACCAGGTAAGCAAGAGGTTAAGCTAACTAACAAGAAGAGTAAGAGAGTAAATACAAATGAGTGAAATGAAAGAAAGATGAGAAAGGAAATCAAGCAAGACAATAGACCCTGACTGATTAAAAATAGAAATGAGGATGGAAGATTTAGTAAAGAACTGTAGCTATAAAAAAGGAGTTAGAGCATAAACAGGGAATTTCATATTGAAAGATACACAATTTTTAACATGAGTTGGTGAGTTATGTGAGTTTAAAGGAATGTCAAATGATGTGTAGCTCCCTGAAGGCTTTTCATGGCAATAAGTAGTATTGAACTATCATCATCCAGAGTACATATAATTCAATAATAAGGTAAACAAAAATTAATACTGGTAAATCATGAAATATTATGAGAACTGGGGGAATTGATTGACTTGAGAACAGGTGTTCCCAACCTGTAGGTCGCGGAGGGTTGGCTGGGGGCCGAGAAGCCTTGGGAGAAGAACTTAGTACATCAGCAGGAACATTACCAAAACTTTCATTTCACTGATATGCCAGTAACCTAGAACACACAACATAATGTTGTGTCGGTGGATTAATAATTGTTTTCTCTTTCTTCCCTTTCATTCTCAGAAAAATTTGTAAAACTGAAATAGCTGATGGCAGGGGGGTCGCATGTGTTTCGGGGTTTTGAGAAAAGGGCCGCAAGTACAAAAAGGTTAGGAACCACTGCTAAGAATGAAAATTTAATGTGCATTGACTTTTTCAGGACCCTTACTTCCGAATGACAAGAGATGTAGCTCCAAGAATAGGATTTCAGAAGCCAGCACTCATCCACTCTACCTTCTTCCCAGCCTTGCAGGGTGCCAGCAGCAAGATGAGTTCCTCAGATGAAAATTCATCAATATTCTTGACAGACACTGCCAACCAAATTAAGAAAAAGGTAATGATCACAAATTTAAAAAGACTCTCAATGCCCATTATTTGAATCAGTTTAGTTTACTTAATACAGGATAGCATCATAGTGGCTCCATAGCTCATTTGGTAGAGTATTTGTCTGAAAATGAATAAAAGCAGGTTCAATTTTCTGCTGGAGTATTCATCATCACTGTTTTATGGCCATTTTTCACACTTGTATAAGTTAGTATTTAGTCCCCTCTGTTCACTAGCCCTTATGCACTCATCAATAAATGAGTATTGTACTGTATATGTGCCATTGGGTGCACTTGCGAATGGTGAAGCAACCATTCAGTAGACCATTATCATGCTAAGGGTATTAGGTAACCCACATTCTGCTGAGTACTAGGAACTGGGATCGGTACCTTGCCAACCACAATCCATAGCACTAAACTGTAACTGGAAAAGGCTTTTTGTGGGCAATTAGTGTTTTAGATTTGATTCAGTTTTTCCATTCTATTGGATATGGTTAGAGTTTGAAAATATAATTATTACATACTGTATATTAGGAATGATAGACAGATAGCCAAACAAAGATACTAAGGAGATTAACATACTGAGTGAATGGAAAGAGAAAAATTAATAAATATAAAGGTGCAATTGCGTAAGTGTTTGGTAGGAAAGGGAAGGGGGAGATTGAGAAGTAATGATGGGGTGAGGGTAATACAGTACTAGATGGGAAATAGAAGAATAAACATTCAGGAAATAGCATTGTGTGAACATGATCAGAATGAATGGCATAAATTGGCATTTGGAGATAAATGTGATGGATGGAGGATATATAAAGCAGTAGGAGTGTACCTGAGTCCAGGTATTATGCTGTAGTATTAAAGGTTTTGCAAGATTTAAATATTAGAGATAAAGTATTAGAGACCTTGGTGGTATTATAATTAGTTTTACCAGTGTGTTATTCACTTTCAAATCAGTGTGCTATGGAATGACATTATTTGTATATCATTTTATTAAATTGTAGTTAACTCTTATGTGTAGCTCAGGTTCAGAGACTGCGAGCTTATTTTACATCATCAGCTCGGCTCTTTTTCATTGTATGTAATTTCTTTCACAGATTAATAAATATGCTTTCTCTGGTGGTAAAGACACGTTAGAGGAGCATCGAGAATTGGGTGGTGACTGTGAGATAGATGTTTCCTACATGTACCTCAAATTCTTTATGGAAGATGATAGTAGACTAGAGGAGATCCGTCAACAGTATTCCTCAGGCAAAATGCTTACAGGAGAACTTAAAGCTGAGTTGATCAAGGTACTGTACTGGAAAAGTTTATTTTAGGTTCTGGTTAGAGCTACCATGATCTTCAAGTTTTATTGTTTATCTGATAGTTATGGTACAGTAAATTTTGGTCTTTCTTATTTTAATTTTTTTTTACCTAAAAATTCAGTTGTACCAAATCAGGGAGGCTTTAGCTCTTGACCACTTTATAGCATTTGGGGAATATTGAAGCTTTTATATAAGCTCTAACCCACCAAACCTTGAAACTACTTGTAACATCTCTATAGTTGCAGATATTGGATGTTACAATTACTGTACTGTACTAGCAGTATACACAACTATAGAACCAATGTTGCATACAATATATCTGTTCTTTTATCTCAACCATATTTCCTTGAGGTTTTTACTTACTTGTCTCCTTCTTCACCCACTCTTACTTTGAGGTTTTTTATTAGCTATTGAGATTTTAAATACCATAGTAGCCTTCATCTACCTCGTTGACATCTCTCCTTGAAATATCTTATGTCTCATATTTAACAATTATCTTTCTCTCTTTTTTTAGGAACTCTAACTGCTTTATAAATGTTTGTTATCATGATGTACTAATCTCTTGTATTTAATACACCAACTGGTCTGTGGTGGTCTGCCCTTTCTGAACCCACACTAATATTCTCTATAATTTATTTGGTATATAGTTAAACTAAAAAAAAAAGGATATAATTCTAGCTTAGCAGCCTTTCCAGAAGACTTCATGACAGCAATTTATATCCAGTGGGTAGTACTAAGATCCAGTGTAGTTGGTAGAATTTGTTTTATCTACTTTTTTATGTCTGGGAATTATAGTTCCTCTTCTGGAAGTGATGGGGATTTTTTCTCATAGTTTTAATGAAGAATTCATAGATTTTAAGCTCCAAATGTTCTCTTCTAAGCTTATTTAATTTCCCTTTACATGATTGGCTCCTGGATGCTTTATTAATATGGAAGCTTGTTATCAATCTTCTTACCTCAGAATTTGGATATTCCTTACCATCCTAGTATACTGACAATAGATTATGTATGTTTTACTACTGTACTGTCCTCTAACTATTTAAGGAATTGAAGATACCAATGCATGGTACAGTTTCTGTGGAAAGAAATAATACAGAGAATAGTAACTCTCATAAATTTAGATTCAGTGTATTGTACGACTTGTGATTTCTACACGAAGAACTTTCCTTCTCATGTATGATTGTCTTACAGATTCTTCAGAAGTTGATAGCTGAACATCAAGAGCGAAGAAAAGTAGTTACCGATGACACAGTTAAACAATACATGACCCCACGAGCACTTAACTTTACCATCCAGAAATGAGGTTGTTCAATCTTATGGAATCTTGTTATTGAGAGTTTGGTAAGCCCTCACTGTACTCTGTTCATTCTTGTGCCTTCAGTCAGGGGAGTGTAATTGATTTTGTATATGTTGATGTCAAAGCCTGATTCATTTCATCATTAGACTTAATGGGTTACTCTCATAATCCAAACAGTCGATAGCTTAGCCCTGCACTGACAAGAGAAGTGGAGAGTTTCTGGTGGGAAGTAAGCAGTACAGTATTACCTTTCCTTAGACCTGATAAAATCTTGATCCTGATTTGTGTTAATAACTTGATACAAAATTTGAATATAGAAGAAAATAGGTGATTTGACAGTCATAAAGTGGTTTTGTATGTGATATTGCTAATGTGAATGACCTTTACAATTCACCTTAGTTTGGACAGTGAATTGCACTGAAGCATTGTGACCAGTGTGGAAATTGATAATTTCAGACTACCTATATGCTCTGTATATGAGCTTCAGTACTGTATATGAGAAAGGGTAAAGTATTCCTACTTGTCTTTGAGCCCTTTCCTGTCTCATTTTAACCTCTACAAGCATTTCTCCCCTGATCATGTGCTCCCTTACTGAAGATTTCATTCCCCTTGATATAACTGACACTTTTTGGAATGGAGGAAAGAAGATAAATATATAGATTGAGTGAGTGTTGCCCTTAATCCCATCATGGTGCCTATCATATATTACTAGTCCTGAATTGTATTACAGGATCCTTTAAGTATAGGAACTTGAAAAATGCCTTTCCAGTGTTAAAATAGTTCAACAAGAAGCCCTCAGTTTGCACGAGTTCTACAAAATTTTAAGTCAAAGATATGAAATAGTGACCTCATTTCTGCTATGGCCATATACCTTTAATACCATTCCTAAAATATGAAAAAGTTCCCTTAAAAAAATATTAAATATTTACTGTGTTGACAACCACATTGTTTTGACAAGTGCTCATAAACTGATCTCTTATGGCATCAGTATGCACTGGTGTTGTGGCTGGATGTGTTCTGTATTTATCAGAACAACGGGGATGACTTCAAACCAGGGCCTGTTGCATCTTTTTTGGTCAAGACAAAATGATGTGCCTTCACTATTAAGGGAAAAGGGCAAATTCTAATATTAGTTTGATGCTTTACATTTGACAACTAACTGATAGAGTACAATATTATGCTGTACATGCGATTATGTTTTAAAACTTTTGATACTTTATATATTTCCAAAAAGTGAAGTTTGTGGGTGGTAACAAGTTTTTGACATCCATAAAGGCACTTTTTTTTTTTCTTTTTTTTTATTATAAGAATGTAACTCCCATGTAAACTGAGCACCAGCTGTATTTTAACAAAATGCTGATGAATTAAAATGAATTGTTGAATCTGAAAATTTAAAAATTCTCCTAAGTTTTAAATAACCAGTGCTTGAAGCATGATAATTTGTCATGTACAGTACTTTATTAATGAAGAAATTTCATTCTTTTATATTACAGTAAACCCTTGCCATTCGTGAGGGTTAGGGTCCAAGAAATGGCGCGAATTGGGAAAATCGTGAATAGCCACTTATATAATACCTTAGTGCACTATATATACCTGTACTGTGTACGTATGAGAAACTTAAGTCACCAATACTTACATTCGCATGTGGAAGTTTGGAGACATCTGTTTACTGAAGCATAGGGGGATCATCAGGATCATTGTTGGAATCTGGTGATGCAGTGGTGGTTGATGGAGAGGCGCGCGACTGGGAGGAGGAGGGTGGAGCGCGGCGGTAGTAGCTGGTTCTTTCTTGATAAACATGGTGATTAGTAATTGTTTCTTCTTTGCTTTGAGGTCTTTAAACATTTCCTGGTAGGGAAACACTATCTGGTTGATTCCTCGGAGCATCTGAAGGCAGCGTTCCGTGGAAGGTTGTAGTCAACAATGAAATCATTTACCATCTTTACCTGTCAAAATAATTCACCAAAATTGTCCAAGCTCTAATCTTCTTTTTGCAATTCCATAATTTCTTCCTCTTCCCCAGCACTTTTTACCAACTCTTCCAAATCCTCTTCTGTCAGTTCCTTTCCATGCCCATCAATCAGCTTTTCCATGTCTTCAGCAGCCATGCCCACAAACCCCTCACCACCAACTGACGTGCAACACTCACTATGTCATTCACACCCTTTACTATGGACGGAAATCCGTGAAAGTTATTCACACACTCAGGCCTTAAGGTGTGCCAACAAGCATTCACTGTCTCTTTGTTTGAGTTCATTGAATTCTTCACTGATGTTGGTAATGCAATCGGCACTGCTGTACTCCTTCCAACACTTGTTAACATCAAGGTCAGGGTCTGCATCCATGGCACTACGGATACGATCAAAAGAGCATTGGGTGTAATATGCCTTGAAGGTGCCTATTACACCCTGATCGAGAGGCTAAATAAGAGCAGTGGTGTTAGGGGGTAGGAACACCACCTCTATACCTGGATGGCTAAACTGCAAACTTTCTGGATGGCCTGGTGTATTGTCTATCAGTAATAACATCTTGAATTTCATCTTCTTGGAAGCAAGGTATTTTTCTGTTTCTGGGATGAAGCATTTATGGAACCAATCCAGGAATGCTTTCACAGTTACCCATGCCTTTTCGTTACTGCCAAAAAACTGGCAGAAGGTTCTTGTTTTTTCCCTTTAAAAGTCCTAAGATTTGCTGAGTGGTAAAGCAAGCCAGGTTTGGTCATGTGGCCAGCCGCATTGCCACAGGAAATGAGGGTCACTGTCCTTGGTTGCCTTGAACCCAGGGGCATGCTTCTCTTGCTTATTTATGTACATTATACCAGGCATTTTCTTCCATTATAGACTAGATTCATCAGCATTAAACACGTGCTCTGGTCTATAGCCTTTCTCTTCTATTATTTTCTTTAGCATGGCGGGAAATGCATCTGAGCCTGTGTGGTCAGCTGTTGCGGCCTCCCCGGTCAGCTTCGCATTATGGAGTGAAAATCTTATATAAAAATTTTCGAACCAACCTTTACTGGCACTAAAAAATGGTTGTCACTGCACTAGCCCCTTCACCACCTGACTCATAAAAATTAGCATAAAGACTTCACGAATCACGTTGCTGTTGGTCAGAACATTTTTGTGGTGCTGGTCCTCAACCCAAATATTCAGTTTTCACTATGTTCTTGTCATGAACAACCTGCGCCACTTTAACACTTGCAAGAGCACTCGCTTGAACAGTATCACGAATTGCTTGTTAATTTTTCTTGATATGCCACACTGAATTTGTTCACACCAAACAACCGACCAGCTGCGGCAGCACTCATCCCCACCTTTAACTTATCTAATAATTCAACTTTCTTTGTCAGGGTCATCACTGACTTTTGCCTTTTATGTTTCACTCCACTAGCACTCGACACTAGGCAGTCTTTTAGGGGCCATTTTCACAGAAGAACGCGAAAGTTTTGAGAGTATATCACACGATACTACGTCACGGGTACTGGGTGAACGCGAACAAGAGGGAGATGAGACACCGCGGGGGTGTGGAGTGACTCGTTGTGCTGCAGGAAAAGGCTCGCCAGCTAGCCACCCGAGCTGCCAGCTGCTTACTGTGAATCGTCGAAATTGTGAATTGCAAACCCTCAAATGGCAAGGGTCTACTGTATTCAGAAGTTCAAGTTTGATAATAATAATAATAATAATGTCTCAGATACAGGCAGAAGTATTTTATCTTTGTGGTTTTATATTGTATTTATATGTATTTTATCTTTCTTTTGCAGATACGAACTGTACTGTATATTGAATAATGATGCTGTCCACTTTGAAGCTGTTGTTTTATGAATGAAAGAATTTGTATACACTAAGATCTCAATTCTGAAGTACTGTACTGTAGTCATTTTTTTAAATGAGACTTACATTAATTCATTTTTAGCTGATAAAAACCTGATTTCTCATGCTTTAAGGCTAATCATGTCATTTTAAATGAATATTTAATGTAAAAATATTGGTAATGGTGTAGAATGGACATGTAATAATTGAGACATTTATATTTTATCTTATTTATAAAATCTTGGATGTTTTTGCAGAATACATTGCACTTCACAAATTGTGTATTTTTACCTAAATATTTCCTCATTTTGGATGAAACAGTTCCAAGGAAAATAATAGCTGCATAGATAAAAAGGGAGACAGGGTGGAGAGAGGTACATAAGCAGGATGTGAGCTTTTACTTTTGCTCGCTCAAGAATGATGAGCATCAGGTGAGTAAGATTCTTTACACTTACCTGTAGCTCACTTGATTGGGTGAGTTCTTGTTTTTTGTTTTTCTTCCTTTCCTTGGTATGTACAGTAGTACCCCGATTTACGCGGTCAATTGAACCAAAGTGAAATCCGCGTAAATGGAACAACAGAACATATGGGATTAATTCCAATAGAGACTGGCCCGACCCCCAAACTCCACTTTTTCCGACACAATACCTATGTTGTAGTAAAAATAACATCTAAATTTTATGATGGTATGCTCACACAATTAATATTTAAGAGAAATATAGTCGCCAGGTTAATGTCCATTCAAATAATAGACTCAAATTCCCCCCCCCCTCCCCCATCTTCCCAGCTCACTGGCCCCTACCTCTCTGAGAAATGATTGGGTGAAACACTAGATTTTAACGTTTAGTAATAAATAATACCTCAGACTAAAGTTAGGATAATATAATTGACATTTCTGGATTCCTTGCAGGTCAGGGAATATTTTAAATGTAAACTTCATATATTTTGCACAAAAGATAAAATACTTGCTTTGTGTAAACCAAATTATTACATTAGATCTAAAATTTGTATGTCTAATGCAAAATCCATGATGTTTATATTCAAAATGATCATCATATTGTAAGAATTCCAGCAATGTAAATTATATTCTGGTCCAGTAATTTGTATGAATTTTATGAGCTAAAACAAATATCTTCAGTTAATAAAAAAAAAAATATTCTTCACGACACTATCTGTCAATCAAAGTACCCCAACTTGCCTCCCCCCCTCTTCCAACCGCGCCAGATGGTCGGTCGGTCCCAACCCTCCCCCCCACCCCCACCTTCCCTCCCTACCAGAGAAATGTTGGGTGAAAAAACTAATTTTAACTTTTAGTAACAAATAATACCTCAGACTAAAGTTAGGATAATATAATTGACATTGCTGGATTCCTTGTAAGACCAGGAACATTTTGAATATAAATGTCATATATTTTGCACAAAAGATAACATATTTACTCAGAGTAAACATTAGATCTAAAATTTGTATGTCTAATGCAAAATCTATGATGTTTATATTCAAAATGATCATCAAATTGTAAGAATTCCAGCAATGTAAATTATATTCTGGCCGGGTAATGTGTATGAATTTTATGAGCTAAATAAAAAATAAAAAAATTATACTTCACGCGTATATGGGTAGATGAACCGCGGAAAGTGAAAGTTCGCGTATATGAGAAATCGCGTATCGTGAAACCGCGTAAAGCGGGGTAATACTGTACAGTAGGCTGTGTGTACTCTTAATATTGTTGTTTGGTTTTTTAATATGCAGATGAAGTATGGTATGTAGGCTTAAAAATTTGCAAGCCAGGTGATTAGTTTTCCCTGGCACAGGTAAACCACAATTTCCAAGGATTTTATTCAAAACAATACAGTTCTGAAAAAAAATCCCATATTTTGAACTATGAACAAAAACCCTGAAGTTACACACACACAAACAAATCACTACTGGACACTCATGGTGTTGCCTACCATTTCTGTGCTGATGATAGACAGCTTTGTGACAATCATAAATGTTAACGATATTGAAGAGATAATGAAATCCTTGATGTCTGATATTCAGATTTGGTTAGCTAGGAGAAAGCTTAAGCTGAAGGCAAACCAAGATTATCTTCATCTAAGGAGATGGCAACGATGATTTTGGCTCTTTTAAACTTTGGGGGAAGTGCAACTCAGTCTTGTCGATTCTATTCATAATCCTAGAATGTACTTTGACTAAAAACTGAATTTTTAAGAGCATATCAATTCCATACAGTACTTTAGTTAAAAAGTTGCAATTTTCTTATTCAAAATCTAAATGCTGTTAAACATTTTTGAATAGACAGTGTCTTGTGACACTATTAGTCACTTACAGTATTTGTCTTAGGTTGACTATTGTAACTTTTAGGGTCTGCCTACCTAATTATCTACTGAAGAAAGTTCGGCGGTGAACAGGGTTGCCAGGCTTATTTTTGCTATCCCACCAAGGACTCCCACTACCCCATTCTTGATCGAATTACATTGGCTTCCAATTAAAGCTAGGATAGACTTCAAACTCTGTTTAATGTTAGGTGAGCCTAAATATTTGGCCATTCTATTAATTCCACTGACTACACATTCTGAAATGATTTTGCATAGTAGTGATGATCCTTAATGCTTTAAGCCTAGAGCAGTACAGGAATGTACTTTTATTGCGCTACCCTTTTCCTATACAACATCCAGTGTATAATCAGTTGCCTGCATCTATGAAACAGCTGACCCCTTTTCACCAGAAAATTACATTACTTTTCTTTAATGCAGTATTGTACTCAGGCATTTTTGTTTACTTAAAAGTATTTACTATTGACTTCAGAATATCTCCTAATATCAAGTGCACATGGCTTCTAAATGCCTATGATATTGGTCATTTAAAAAAAAATATTCTGGTGAGCTTAAAGTGCCCCCCCCACTGGGTTTATTGTAGTATAGTATTTCTTTTTATTCTCAAATCTTTGATTTTGTAGTGTTTCAAGCACTAGTGAATTATTTAGATGAACTGGCACTTTCGAGAAACAAAAACCAGATATTATTATTTGTAAGGATAGACAGAATAGGCATGCAGGGTAGCATCCCCACTCTGTGCAGAGAAACCTTTTAACATCTGCTCACCTCCCCACCATAGTGATGTTAGTAGGGAGGTAACATAGGAACTGTTGATGGGGGTTAGTCAGAGTACCATCCTCATATCTGAGAGTTGGTGACAGTCTTCCACTCAAAATGTTCTCGGGCTGTTTTTACCAAACCTTCAAGGTTATGTATCTCTCTGGGATCTGTTTTTAATTTTAGACATCCATCCCAGTCTCTGCCTTCCCCTGACCTCAACTTTGATCATTAACCCTTAGGCCTCAGGTGACGTTCCAATGTTTAATTTTTTTTTTTTCCCGCAAGAGGGGTGGGGACTGCCAGCAGCACCCTAACCCGGAGCTTTAGGGTTAATATTTCTGTTCTTATCCCCTCATCCATAGTTATTGACCAAAAGTACAGGTGCTCCTCTACTTACAAACGAGTTACGTTCCTGAGGCTTGTTTGTAAGTCCAACTTTACTCTTGTAGATACCAAACATATTGTAAAAAATGAAAAAATTATGGATATTTAATACAGCTATACACTTTATTACAGCCTTAAAACCTGGCTCACTCTTCTCCTCTTAGGTAATGTTTGTTCTATCTGGAATTTTCTTCAGTCATCTCCTTGATATTTAATTCAAAACCTAGTTACATTTCTTGTAGTTAAATACTTTATCACCAGTTTTTTATATATGCATACTTAAGGTGACCAGACGTCCGATTTCTCAACAAGCGTCCCGATAATGTCCTGCATTTTCAGAATTTGTCCTGAAATGCCCCGCTTCATTAACGAAAGAATGAATTTTGACAAGAAATTTGAAACATTTTTGAGAGGTTGGCAGTGGCACAAAAGGTAATGATTGGCATCTTAGCCCTCCAAATTTATATGATTCCTGTTCTGTTCCTGCTGCGTGCAGAGAAGTCATTTGTTACGTGATACATTTAATAGTTTTCGTTCACATGTGTAAATTCTGTTTTTTGCCATTTTAAAGACCTTTGCCAATATAAAAAGTGCAATGCAATGTCAGTGGTTTTTGTACATCATATATTGCATTATAATTCTCGATATATAACATACAAACATTAAAAATGTACATGTATACTGTCCTAACAAGAGAAGAACAATCACAAAAACGGGCAGAAAACTGCAACTGTAAGCTATGCTGCTTACTGAATCCTCAGTATTAGTCAAGCTGCTTGGAGAAGTTACATGAATGACACCACACACAGAAAATTAGAAAAGTTATTTTTGTGTTGGACAGTTTTTCTTCATTTTGGTTGGAAAAATGGCTGCAAGTGTACTTTTAATTCCTTCCTGCAGTCAAAATACCCTTCTTACAAAAATGAAAACAAAATGATGTAGTGTATGAAATATAACCGCTTAGCACTGCACTGGTGGTGATAATGATATTGCTAAGCATCTGATCTCACAGAAACACAAAGCTGAAGTCAGTGCAGTCTAGCAAAACAGTCGGTACCTTTTTTTAAAAGTGTGTCCTGTGGCAGTAAGGATCAGATGGCTGCTGTTGAGGGTTTGTGGGCCTACCATACAATCAAAGAATAAAAGTTTCCCATCTAATGACTCGAAATGCTTTGAGCCAAAATTTAGATGTGCCAGAACGAAATGCCAGACAATTGTTACAAATGCATTTGCACCATTTGCCTTATCAGAACTGGATAAACAGTTGAAGGATGTTCAGTGTGTAACAATATTATCTGATACAAGCAACCATGGGAGCACCAAAATTTTCTCTGTATGTACTTATTCGCTTCTTTCAGCCCTATGACAGTGTTTAAGTAAAACTCTGACTTTCAGTCTCAGCCTGGAGAAACCTTGGATATTGTGGTGAACTATTTAACATGTTATCAAAGAATATGCTCTTGGCTAGAAATTAGTTGCTTTCTGCGGTGATAATACAAACTGTAATTTTGGCAGAGCTTAAGAAAAGGGTTAACATTTTCAGGAAAATTAACTTGTTTAGGCAGAGAATTAATTGATATTGGTTGTTGTACCCACATTTTACATAATGCTGTGCAGACTGCTTGCAAATTGGAGTGAAAACAGTTGTTAAGATATACTCATATTTCTACTTGTATACAGTTAAGTGCAGAAGACTTGAAGGACTTGAGATTTGGAGGGAAATTGAGTACTGTATAAAAAACTACAGTACACTACCGGGGTACAGCAAAACAAGATGGTTAGTACTAATGCCTGCTGTTGAGAGAATTCTTACACCCGTATTATTAAATGTCTTCCCTTGAAGAGGGTCGTCGTGTATCAACCCAAGTTTTAAACTAAATGAGTCCCGAGGGACACCGCACTACAGTACTTAACGGGGTGGTGTGGTTGTAAAATTAACTTATTTCCAATAAAATTAATTTATAATATTGGAATGTTAATTTTACCGCCACACCACCCCGTTAAGTACTGTAGTGCGGTGTCCCTCAGGACTCATTTAGTTTAAAACTCGGGTTGATACACGACGACCTTCTTCAAGGGAAGAGGTTGTTGAATAATACAGGCATTGGAATGTTTCCTGGCTTTGTCATATTTTCTCCGTCAAAGCAAGTGTCCTGTTGTGCCTTTTTTTTTTTTTTTTGAGAACCATTGTGCAGAAATCTGGCTCAGCTTTGTGCATAGTCAGTCAGCCACCTTCCATTAAATCATCTCAAGTCGTAGAAGTTATGATCACAATCAATGATTTGAAGCAAAATCTGCAATCCAAGAAAGACTACAGTATATTTTGTCACATTCAGTGAGGGTTCTAGCTAACAAACTTTAAGACGAATTGACTCCTCTGCATTGGAAAAAACAGTAGATTTTTATGACGTATTCAGTATTTAGGCCTGTGGTCAGGTTGCACATATGCAGTGGGCCTCATTAAAGCACTTACCAAAATGGCAAGACATTGAGAAAATTATGTATTTGCTGTATAAAATAGATTTTATGATTCAAAGTTTGATAAGAGTTATTTGACGCGTTTTACTGTTACAAGTTACATTTCCGAGGAAAAAGTGTCGGAGTGGAATGCAGCTAAGTTACCTACAGATCAGCGCTGGGTAGAAATGTTCACTATAAGGTCAGAGAGATATTATACACCAGCACATGTTAAAATTGGTTCAGTTCATTCTGTCTCTCCTTGGAACAATTTCATCTACCAAATGTTCTCTCAAATTGAACAGACTGTGTACATTTGAAAAATCAACTAAAAGTCCCAACCCTAAAAGCCTTACTAGTCACGAAAGTTAACTTCGAGCAAACCTGTCTGTAATTCTACAATATGCTAAAAATCAATTCCAGGGATGTTAATACAAATCTTATCCAGTGAAAAATTTGAGCATTAGGAGGCAAGTAGGCAAATACCATTGTTATGTACAATTGTTTTGGTTCAAGTATAACTACATACTTGGTGTTGGTGTATGGGTTGTAGGGTTTTTCTTTCATGATTTTTGGTATGCCCCACTTTTAGCTACAAGAAATATGGTCACTTTATACATACTGTACTTCATTTAGCACGAGTTTAAAATTTTTATAAGGTAGTGAAAAAAGCGAGTGGGCCTGATAAATAGGTCAAGTATTAACTGAATACTGTACCTGTACTAATTAAAGATCTATTCCATGTGGTGATGACCTGGACTATTGGACACATGCAATTCCCACAAAAAGGAAACCACACAAAATAAATCCACCAAACATTCCAAACCGTATGATCAAATTTGTGGCTTTTAGTCCTGCTTTTTATAAATTACTTTAACCCCCAGAGCTGTCAGTACTTTATTTTGGTAGGTGACCATTAATACAAGTTGATACAACTAAAAATTTATTTTTATTCAGATATGAAGAAAAATTAAATGCGAAGAGAATGAATGCCCTGTAAAAATCTTAAAATCCAATGAACTGGGAACAATTGGTCCCTAAATGAAGATTTGCAAAGGCTTATGTAGCTTTGATCAGCTTTCTGATCTTTGGTGATAAAGAAAAGGATGAATGCATGAAGTGATATAGGGACATATCTTCAGATCTAGATTCCCACTGGAATTCTTGAACCAAAAAACTCTCTCTCAAGCAAATACAATAAAAAAATTACTCATTTTGTACTTTAAAAGAGAGACTGGTATTAAATTTTAAACACAGCAACAGTTACAACACCTACTGTACTGAACACATAGAAAACGATAAACACCTCGATATAACCTTTACCATCATACCCCTGCCAAACCCTTTACCTATTTCTACTTAAGAAGCCTTTACTGATGTAAATACATAGAAAAATAGGTACCTTTAAGCTATTTGGAAGTACAAAGACATTTAGCATTACTGAAGCACACACATATACACACACACACACACACACACACACACACTAGTAGGGTACACATGAGCTGCTCTAACACTTATAAGATTACTGTAATAGAAAAGATTTTCCTTTTCCTACAGCAAGTCAACATGCAGATTGTCCATTAACTCAGATATTGTATCCTATTATCAATACTAACTCAGATGTTGTATCTTATGGCGGATAAGGTTTAAATCCATTTTAGACAGCAGCCAATGTCAGGGGTGTGATGGTGGTTCTTCAACGATGTTTCAAAATATTTACTCTGCATCTTCAGCAGATTCCTCTGATGCATCTTCTTTTGGGGGATTCTTTGCAGGACGTCCACGCTTTCCCTGCAAAATGTCAAAAACTGTCCACTGAGAGGAGTGCAAAATTTTCATTAATAACTAAATTCATTCATTTAAAGCTGCATTAAAGAACAACAAATAAACAACCAAATCTAAACCAAATACCAAAGTTTAATGAGCGTCAACAACCCCATCTTTACGCATTTGTATACTGTACATCTCCCGATATTCAAAAGGATTTGGTTCCATGATATCTCTGTAAATTTAAATTCTGTACAGGTATCCCCCAACTTGCGATTTTCTTATCATGCTATTTCGCTTTAACAAAAAAAAAAAAAATGCTACTACCAATTGAAGAGAAACTGAAGATATATATGTAAAAGAATTGAGGCTGGAGCCTCCATGAGCATTAACTGAAGAGTTTGGGGTGCAGCAGAGTACTGTAGAGTACTGTACTTTTTACATCAGTTGTATTTAGGTGCATACTCTGTACTACAGTATATAGTATACTTATAACTAAATGTAAAGTAATTAAATTAAAGCAAATAAAGATATCGAGTATGCAGCCCCATCATCCTCTACCTCAAGATTCATCTACCTGTACATTACTGCAATAAATATAAATGCAGTGTAAATGAATATAGTTCTCTTTCAATTTCTTTTTGGGGGGATTTTTTCAGCAAAATGGTCATCGAAAGTGATGCTTTTCCTTGACTACAATACAGTACCAGCATTCACCTGCAGGTCATTTCCTGAGACAATGGGTTACAGGTCAATTGGGGTAAAAAGTATGCACATACAAGGAGAAATAAAGTTACCAATGCATTTTGGAAGTGAGAGGGGAGCATTCAACACTAATGGAACGAGGCTCCTATCAGCACATACTGTTCTCATTGGCCGAGTGCACAGCTTCATAGAGAAGACTGATGCCCATTCCCTTTTCTTGCATGGGACTTTTTAGCCTCTAGACAAACTTTACTTTCTTTTTTAAGCAAAACAAATTTCCAAGAGCATCATTACAAAACACTAGTTATCAAGGTACACTAAATCTGTGCTCTGCAAAATAAATCGGTAAATCTGTTAAGGAACTCAAGATAACTTTAAATTTTAGGAGGAATTCCCAGCATATACCCACATTAGATACAGCAAATTATGTTAACAATAACAATTTGAAAAAGTACATATAGCTTATATATCATATTGATAATTTAAATTTTAAGGTCAATGTAATTTGTTAGTTTTGTTACTATAATACAGTACCCATACAGTAATTACAAATATGACAAAAGGCAACAAAAATTCAATCAATTTATTCCAAATCAAATGAAGTGACCAGATTTACACTAAAAAATGCATTATAGGTAAAATAAATTATTCATACCGTGCCCTTTCCTGGCCCTTTCTTGCTTTTGTTTTTGCTCCCCTTGGGGCGCCCTCTGCCCCTTTTGGGAGTGCTTGCACCATCAGCTTCAGCTGACTTACGCTTTGCAGCCACTTTCTCACTCTCAGGCTTTGGTGGACGTCCACGCTTGCGCTTGGGGCTGTCTACTGGGGTGTCTTCTGCCATTTTTCCAGTTCTGAAATTTGATACAAGCCACTGTAACAAGAGAAAAATAATCAAGAACTTAGGCACCACAGCAATGTTTTTGCATATATTGTATATGGAAGTCTGTATGCTATATGGACTGATATATATATATATATATATATATATATATATATATATATATATATATATATATATATATATATATATATATATATATATATATATATATATATATATATATATATATATATGTGTGTGTGTGTGTGTGTGTGTGGATGAAAACCCTAACCTGTATACCAGTACATCAAAGGTAATTAAAAAATATGAAGGGGCTGGTTAGCAAAATTCAAGGATGGGTAATTTGATTACAAAGCAGTACTGACCATAAAACTGTGATGATGATTAGGAGGAAACTGAGTACACCCTTAACCATTTGTCACACTCTAGAATTGTATTCTGGCTACTCCAGACCATTTCATTCGGTTTAAGAGAAACCTCCAGGAGCCTAAAGGGTTAAAACCTATCAGGTAACCCTTTCCTACCAATTACTGTATTTTAGAAATACATTCTACATCCAAGTATGTACTGTATAATGACGCTGTATGCAGCAGAAGTGTTTAAGCCCCAAAACAAAATTTTCTAGAAAATGCAGTTAAAGTTGCACAATGTTCAAATTGCCAAACACTTGAACTAATGATGATAGAAGTTTGTAACTTCTTTTTCACATAGCTTTCAAACTCCCAAAATATGGTGGTACTGTACAGTATAATGGAAATTAATATTCCTGGGAAGTGCATAAGCCAAGTTAATCCTGGTGTTTGCTACTGAGGATAACGGGAATTGAGCTGGATGATGACATGTCTTAGCCTGCAGTGGCACTTATATACCTCTACTGCACAGCCTACAAATGCAAAATCAGATGTTATTCTCTTCCCCGTATTCTATTTAATGAATTCTCCCAACTTTCCTTGTGAAAACTTTGTTGTTAATTTTATGTGCTAAAAATGTTACAGTACTTACCTACCAAATGCTTGAAATTGATATGGCTGTAATTTCAGCAATTTTGTAGCTCTAAAACTCGTTAGGATAATCCATTCTGCGGTTTCCCAAGATTCTTTGGACGACCAAAACTCAAATAATACCTACAAATTTATTCTTTGAAGCATGCTCTCCGACACAGTGTAGCACTGCTGATGTGTCACTGATTATTGCTTTCAATTCACCAAGGGTGCGTAGATTTGTAGCATACAAATCTGGCGGCGTAAGATTTTATAGTGTCAACAAGTGAAATTTTACCGAAATTCATTGAAAATGCTGATGCAACATTCTATTTACCCTTTCTGGGAAAATTGCAATGGCCTTTCATGCCTTGCATAAGGTTGTTCACTTAACCAAAAACGATTGCTTTGTGAATTTACATCCCCATGGAACCATGCTCGTCTGTAATAAACACAACATCCTAGACATAGTCTTAGTCTCTTACCAACCTCTGAAGTTTGAGTGTCTTAACCGCCTTCCTTGCACTGGAATATGAACAATGAGCTTCTTGTGCTAAACATCTCAAAAGATTTTTTCGGACTTGCTTCCATTATTTTCTGCACTCCATTCACTTTCTCCGGTGCAACAACACTTGGCTGGCGTACACGTTTTTTAACTTTAACACAGCCTGTTTCTCTGAACTGTTTCACCAGTTTCAGTTTCTATATTACTGATTTCGAAGGTTTCGTACGATTACCAAAGCGATTTTTAAATGCAATTTGACATTCCGTAAAGGATGCATTCTTAATGTAATGTTCGACGAGAAACAAACGTTTACCCACAGTGAACGCCTTAATGTGACGAGTGTAAACCGTTAAACGGTACTGACTGTTCACTTAATAAATAACGTGAGTTTTGATAATCCACGATCACGTTACGTCTTTTAGTATCATTAAGCTACATTTACGCAAAACTGATATAGTTTTTAGTGTATGGGAATTATTTTGGGTTCTCGAATAAAATAATCACCCCCTATTAATTACATTGACCAAAATTACCTAAAATGTATTTTGGCTCAACAGATATAACTAGATTACAAAGAAAAAACCACAAATCCACATACTGATATTCTTCAAAAAGCAAATGACGTTTGAATTTACTTATCTGTATCTGCAATATATATAACGAAAATAATTAAGATTGTTGCTGCCTCCTATTTTCCCCTTGATTCTAACGTCTGGTCGCCATTTTCTCAGCATAACCCAAGCCAACAACCTCAAATTTTCACGTCAAAGTCATTTTCACACTCGTCAGCGTTAACATTTTTCGGGGAATTTCTTCTGGAGCGCGCTAAAAGATCGCCCCGTATTTTTTGGCGGGAGATTTAAGGTTGGCGCGCGAGAAAAGACGAAGCGACGCGATGCTGCCGCCATGACCGGCTACGTCGCTTCCACCCGGCCACACCAACGCTTCATCTAAAACTTTTATTTACCAGCTAATATACAAATTGCCAACACTCTGAACGTCACACTCTCACAAGGCAACTCTAGGGCTAAACTTGCAAAAACTTTCAAGAGCCAAATGATAGGGAGGGGTAGTAAAAGGGGTCAAAAACTTACGGTGTGTGCGGGTGACTAGTCTGAGAGAGTGTCTGGAGGGGCTGTGGTGCGAGGGGCCGCGCTGTGTCTAGCCAGCTTCACAGGGTAGCGACACCAGCTGTAAAATATCTTTCTATATTATTTTCACGCTATTCTAGAGGATGGGATCTGTTTTAATTATTTTTATAAAATCGTTGGATACTCCTAATATTATTTTAAAATAAAGTTTAATTCATAGAAAGTGTCTACAGTATTTAAAATAAATAATCGGTGGAGCCTGTGGTTATTCAAGGGATATTTTCGGCGTCAGGGTAGGAGGTCGGGAAAAAATTGATTATGGAAATAATTCTCATTTCCTTAACTCAATTTATTATCTAAAAAATAGGTTATGTCCCAGAGGACGATTACAAAATTTCGCTGTATTCTGGTACGTGATATATGTCGAGAAATAAATTATTCCATTTAATCCACGGAAAAACCGAAGTCTTCTCCACGCCGCTCCAGAGATATATTTCCACAAATTTCAGTGTATTTCATTGAATTTTTTTCAGGTAAAATGTAGAGAAAATATTGCTCAAATTTTAATTTTAATTGAATCATTTGTTCTCCCTTAATATGAGGATAAAATAGTATACACAGACAAGGTCAATATTATTCCCTGGTTAATGTTAATCAATGGTGTGCGTATGTGGGATCGGGAGGCTTGACGACACATCAGCGATATTCACGTGCCAAGCCAACGGTTACCCACTTTTAATTAAGCCTTGAAATTATATAATAATTTTATTTTGTACTTTAAATCTCGTAACGAGTAGCACTATGGGCGCGAACATTTTCTCTCTTTACTGATGCATACAATAAAGCCATGGTACAGCAATGGCGATTGATCTGATGAATTTAAAATTGTCATAAAAATACATGTTGTGCTTTGCTTGCACGTATGTACCAATCTATTATCACGTACGCGGGGAGGTTTGAATACTAAGATCATGTTTAAGCGTAAAATGTATATATACACAGTATATAAAAATATAATAATATTTAGCTTTCTGAGAAATTAATTTAAAGAAATACCTTTGTTCTGTTTTGCAATAGTAACTTCGCGTGGGCTAATTGGTAATGCCTTTATGCAGTTGTATGTCTAGTGAAGGATGTGGTTCACAATTTTGTTTATTTTGTTCACCCAAGAGGAGTGGCTGTTGGCTTACTCAGCGCTATTCAAATTTATGATTTGAAAATTCTTGATATCACATTGGTCATTGGATTTACTCGAGTAGCTGGAACCTGGAAGAAGAAAAATCTTAGAATTGCTAGAAACCTTACCAATACACACGCACGCACCCAGTGTCTGAGGCAAGTATTTCACACTTAACACACTTCAGTAGTAATTTCACACCAATGTGAATCAGACTTTTTCACGAGGATAGATGCTCTACATGCGGTCATCCCGACGGTCATTGGCCTCTCTAAATAAAATATATCAGCTCCATACCATCGTTCAAGATGACAGACGGGACATTATACAGTATGAGTGATTTCAAAGCTACGAGTTTTTTTATTTAGTAATCAAGACAGTGAATATAAATGCTTTAGTGCATTGGGGAGTGGGTCCCTGGATCCACTACTGTTTGCCTTTTTATATAAATTTCAACTAGAAAATTTTTTTTTAAATAACCTGCTACCTGTATGTAAATTCCTACATTTAATATATATATATATATATATATATATATATATATATATATATATATATATATTCCGTTTTCAAAAATGCTAATATCTTCTTTTGCACCGAAGTGCTATTTCTTCATACAATGAGAATTTTTAAAAAAAAAAGCACTTCGAGGAAAACTGATCATCTATAGGCAGGTGTCACTGCGTCCTCGTGTAATATCAGGAATTAAGGTTATTTTTCAACGTGGGAAATATAATTGTTGGTGAGTATTATCTTTTCCTTCCTTTTTAATAAGTTAACTTTAAATCTAATCATTTTATTTCTGCTCCTACTGTGTATCCCAGAAGGTATACCGTTGAGATAACATTAAGACATTATCAACTGTCGATTCACGTTGAAACAGGTTACGTGGCCGTTGAGATGCAGGGAGAAATATTGATTTGCACTTGTCCGTCTCTTTCCTACAGATGTTTATTTTACTCTGAAAGTTGTTGGCAAAATTTAGCAAAGCTTATCCTGCAAAGAAGCAAAGTAGTTCTGTTGGCTTCTTTCTTTACACCATTGAATAACATGGTATGATATTCAAACACTTATAGAATTTTGTACTAATACAAGCACATATTTTTCACAACCACAACTTTTTAAACAAGTGTGATTCTTGATTATTATCTTTAACAATTCAGCTCTTTTGACTTCACACATTATTATTTTTTCCTGAGAACTTAATAAAAAGCAAAAACTTTGGTTAACCGAACCTCGCTTTTGGCTAGGGGCAGTTAGATAGCGACCAAGGGATTGAATATTCCATGAAAGCGACCTTCAACCAGGCTGTGATTGTTTGAAGTGTCTGAGCTTTTTTTTTTTTTACGGACTAATCAAAACAACCAGAGCAGGCCTAACTCAACACCAGAGCTAATCTAATCAAATATACCGAGGGGTAGTTAGATTAGGTGTGGTTGGTTGTGTTGTCTGTTGGCATCATGAGAGGTGTTACGAGAATTCTTGATTTTTCAGAAACACGTCATGCGTTCCAACCAATCAAGCTCTGGCTGACGGGCTTCCCCTAGCCGTATGTGATGACTGATTGTAGCCGCATGAAAACTGAAACTGATATAGCGTAACAGAAATATTATATATATTACACATTAGCAGTTTAGATGAAATTGCCGGTGGCTGAATGTTCTTACTCTAACAAGAAAATTAAAACTACTGTATTTTAATTTATAAAACTTACATGTAGGACAATTTTTCAGCGCATAATTAAAATTTCCATTGAAATTGCACAATGAGAAACGCTACTCCAGGTGCAGATATACAATGAAATTTCACAGGGTTATGGTGTTATGAAATAAACTGGCAACTTTGTCGGATATTATTGGTCAAATAGCCTTACTGTATACCATTATTGTATACCTGCACTGTCTAGGACTCTAGGTACTGTACAATACACATGAAACTGTATACTGTACTCCCACGCCCTACGTGCACCTATGGATGAGCGTGCACTGTACAGTATACTTACATTGTTTACATTAACTGAACTGGATGATGCATACTGTTGTTTATACAATAATAATAATATTAATTTTAGCTAGTCTTTTGTTTCTCAAAAGCGCCAGTACCTCTAAAGAATTCACTAGCGCTCGAAACACAAAAACTTGAAGACTGGAGCATGGTTAAAAAAATTAAAAATTCGATTTCTATCGTTCATATACCCTTAAGTTTTAATACATGCCTATCCAATTGTAAACCTGTATGGCAGTTTTACTTAATAAATATTATTATTTTTATTATTACGAAGTAGTAGGCGATGAGGCAATTCGAGCTTAAAGGTTCGAGTCTCAAACATAGTGAAGTATGGTCACTGGTGAGTAATCAGTTGTTCAGTGGTAGTACAGTGACGCATTCGGCGTGTTGTGATTTTCTCTGTTCACTTGACGGGGGACGAAATATGGGTACAGGCATCTCGACGTCGCCGGGGGATAGCTGCCTCTGTTCCTGATCGTGGTGGTGGCGGGTCGCTTTGGAGGCTTTCGGGTGCGTCTGCAAGCAGTTCAACATACAGGTATGAATAGCCAAGTGAGTTACATACTTCAATGGAATAGACCTGCACCATTATACAATAACCTCAACGAATAAACCCTTGACTGTCAACAGTAATATACAATATGTTTAGTTGTATTCAACACTTAAAGTTCAGTCTAACTCAAAAGAAGAGAAATCGAACAATTAACTAAAAACATAAGAACGAAGGACACTTTCAGTAGGATGGTTTACACCCAACCATTATCACTCGGATAATTTATCTGTGGAACTTCCCAACAAGTTCAAGTTGATGATGATGTTTGGTAACTTGTTCCACTCATCCACGAATCTATTTCCGGGATTAATTTTGTCATCCTTTTCTGATTAATTTCTAGATCTAGGAAATCAGTATCCATTCTATAATACGGTGACCAACACTGAACAGTGTAATGATCAAAGCGAAGTTTCACTAACGCAAGACAATTGTAAAATAGCAATGCTGCTTCTCTGGTAAAAAATCTTTTTTTATCCCTAACCTAACGTAACCTACTATTGCCACGTGGCTATTTGGGGGATCGATTTCTAACTAAAAAGGAATCCTAGTGATAATGGTAATGTTACGAATCCTTCTTTCACCGCTTACCAGCGTCCATCGCCAGTGCCGGATTTAGACCTGTGGAGGCCCATGGGCAGCCTCTTTGTGGAGGCCCCCCTCATTAAAACTACCCAAGAGGGTGGGGTGGCGAGTGAAGCGAGCCTAAACATCTGGGAGTTCCGGGGGGCGCTGTTGTGGGTTATGTGATATTTGGTTCACACTCAGGATGGCATGGAGAAAGGAAACTCACAATGTGCTCTCTGTATACATATTGTATTGGATGTATGGTGCAGCTTGGTGCTGGTAAGTGGCAGCGTGGTTACAAGCGTGATGTAGAGAGAGCTGGTTGGTGAGGATGCCCAGAGGAGGACCAGCTTGTGGGCCGCCATGGTCGCCGGCGGGAGCGAGGGCCGCTAGGCAGGAGTGGAGGAGGAGGAGGAGGTGTTGCTTGCTGGTGGCTGTGGGTAGTAAGAGTGGTCACCACGAGGTGTGGGTCGCCATGGTCGCCGGCTGGAGCGAGGGCCGACAGGCAGGAGTGGAGGAGGAGGTGTTGCTTGAAGACTGGCTGTAGGTAGAAAGATGTAGGTCACCACGAGGTGAGATCTTATATAGCGTAGGTAGGCGTGGCTTAATAGTTGACCTCCGTCATGTAAGGCGGCGCTGGTTGACCTAGACCACGAGACATACACTGGGGAAATCGCGGGGTCGGCTACTCAGTGACAAAAGCGTTTGTAGGGGAGAGTTCCACTACACTGTAAGCCCCCAGGGAAAATTTTGAAATTTGAACACTTCTTTGGAGAGTTTTGAAGCCATATGCAGTTATATTGAGGAAATTAGAACACAGCGCCCTGATG